CATGTAAACGCCTGTATCCGATTACATTCCCAATCGGAAAGTTTAAGTCTGTTCTGATCATGTTCGTCACGTCATAGTGAAAGTTTATAACGTTCAACATGGCGGAGCAGAAACTGGTCTGCAGAGGAGACGAAGTTTATGCTTTGAGCTTTAAAAGACGGCGGTGGGACGGACGTCCAGCTTATGTGTCTTAGAACACGACGTCTTCCTCTCATACATACATGCATCATCTAAACCGCTTATCCTTCTGGGTCACGGTGGGGTGCTGGAGCCTATCCCAGCTGTCATTGGGCAGAAGGCAGGATACACCCTGGACAGGTCACCAGTCCATTGCAGGGCAGACAGACAGACATACACAGTCACACACACCTAGGGGCAATTCAGCATGTCTGCATGTTTTTGGACTGTGGAAGGAAACCCACGCAGACACAGAGAGAACAGGCAAACTCCACACAGAAAGGTCGCCCAGTTGGGAATCGAACCCAGGCCATTCTTGCTGTAAGACGACAGTGCTACCCACTGCGCCACCGTGCCGCCCCGTCTTCCTCTCAGCCTTCTTAAATATATGTGAAGTACATTTTTTTACCATAATTTTAAAGCAATCAAAAACACAAGCGTGCCAGCTGAAAACTCATCTCATTCTGACTGGACCTCACATGAAGCTCGCTGTCATGGTAACGTTTACACTAAATGGTTCTCTACGCATGCGTGTCATTTTGGATCTGATTACTTGTATCGAACATGTAAACAGAGATTTTCCGTTAGATTGTTGAGTAGAGTGAGAATAAACACCTCAGCCTTAATCTGTAACTGGAATGTATTCAATCGGATTGGCAGAAATCTTTGCTTGTAAACACAGCCACTGATGAACGTCAGAATATTTGTAAAACAAGTGGGTTTTAAGAAAAAAAATCTTTTTAAAAACGGTTGGTAAATGAGGCCCAATGACTTCCACGAAAATGTCACTATATAATTCAGATTGTACTTTTGTTTTTCAACCATAGAGAGTAAAATATTATTCTTAATGTTGTATTTATACCCATTTCAGCTCAGTTCAGTCATTCTGTAAGCAGTATGTATTTTGGTTGGTATTTATTTAGTGAAATCCACCATGTGCCACTAATTAACTGGCATGGAACAAGCCAGAAGCTGAAAAGCAGGCTCTTTTTTAAAGCTCACCCATCCAACTTGGTGAAAGAAATGTAGGTGCTCTCTCCTTCATAGGGCTTGAAGTCTACACAGGACTTCAGGCGGTACATTTCCAGTGCTTGAAGGATTACACCTTTTGCATTTAGTTCTAAAGGATCAGAAACAATTATTGAAATAAAAAATTAAATATAAAAATACATGATCAGTTCAGGTTCTCTGAATTGGTAGAAGTAGTTTAAGTTAGTAGTTTAGTTTAGTAGTTTAATGAAAAGGTCCTACCTAAAGTATCAGTCAGTATGTAGGGAATAGGAAACTTCCATCTTTTTGTTTCATCCACGATTGCATTCCTTCTTGGCTAGAAAGTAAATATTTGATAAAGATGCTCAACATTTTAGACATTTGAAATAGAGACCTGGGCTAAAGTCTTGCTTATCTTGGCAGCAAGTGTGTTTTTGCCAGTATAAAGCTCTATATAACATTAGAATAAACGTAAATAAACATAGTATAAAAGAGTATAACATTATATTAAAACACATAACATATATTAGAAGATAGATTTGGCTATCTAAGAAACTTGTTCTTAGGTTTGGCCTCTGATGTCTCAGTGCACTGATTTGTTAAATTCACCTGATTAAACAAATCAGCACCTGATTTCTTTTAATGGACTGATTAGATGAAGCAGGTGGTGGATGGTAACTGTAGTTCCTGCACTGCCTCCAGGAGAGCTTCAGAACAGGTAAATCTAACACACTCACACACTATATCGTAATCTAATGTTTATTTGTTCATTTATTCTGATCTTACTGTTTACTGCTTACTGCCCAGATAAACAGATTTACATATCATTTTTTTCAGATTACGCCTATGACTTTTGCAGAGTACTGTATACAGTCATATGTAAAGGTTTAAACCCTCCTTGACAAATTATACACAGATCAGGCATAACATTATGACCACCTCCTTGTTTCTATGCTCATTGTCCATTTTATCAGCTCCACTTACTATATAGGTGCACTTTGTAGTTCTACAGTTACAGACTGTAGTCCATCTGTTTCTCTGCATACTTTGTTAGCCCCCTTTTGCCCTGTTCTTCAGTGGTCAGGACCCCCATGGACCCTCACAGAGCAGGTACTATTTGGGTGGTGGATCATTCTCAGTGCTGCAGTAACACTGATGTGGTGGTGGTGTGTTAGTGTGTGTTGCGCTGGTGTGAGTGGATCAGACATAGCAGTGCTGCTGGAGTTTTTAAACACTGTGTCCACTCACTGTCCACTCTGTTAGACACTCCTACCTTGTCAGTCCACCTTGTAGATGTAAAGTCAGAGACGATAGCTCATCCGCTGCTGCACAGTTTGTGTTGGTCATCCTCTAGTCCTTCATCAGTGGTCACAGGACGCTGTTGGCTGGATATTTTTGGTTGGTGGACTATTCTCAGTCCAGCAGTGACACTGAGGTGTTTAAAAACTCAGACCACTCAGATCAGCGCAACACACACTAACACACCACCACCACATCAGTGTTACTGCAGTGCTGAGAATGATCCACCACACAAATAGTACCTGCTCTGTGAGGGTCCATGGGGGTCCTGACCACTGAAGAACAGGGCAAAAGGGGGCTAACAAAGTATGCAGAGAAACAGATGGACTACAGTCTGTAATTGTAGAACTACAAAGTGCACCTATGTAGTAAGTGGAGCTGATAAAATGGACAATGAGCGTAGAAACAAGGAGGTGGTCATAATGTTATGCCTGATTGGTGTATGTTTTGTTGATGTTCTAAGTTAAAATAAGTGAACACATCCTCTACAAAGAACACACTTAAATATGGCATTTTCTGCATATTTTAGTGCACAATTTATATTTATTTGCTGAGTTTAACATATTTTGCATTTTATGTTTTTTTTTTGTCTAATATATTCAGTTCAAATTCAGTAAATAAACCATAACTATGCAGTGCATGTGCAGAAGTGGGTTCTCTGTGGAGGATGTGCGACTTATTTTCACTTAGAAAATCAACAAAACATCAAACGAAAAAGCTCAAACTTTTGCATATGACTGATGATCACATATACAGATAATATATGGTATAATATATTATAATGATAATATAGAAATACAGAAGGGCTATTTCACACCAACCCATCTAGGGCCCGGCAGATAATGACATTGACTTTCATGGAAAAATTCCACTCCCATATAATTCAGATCTTGATTTTTCAACCATAGAAAGTAAACTATTATTATATCAAACTGTACTGTGTTTACAAGTTCACCTACATCTCTTGCAATATCTCCCTCAAACAAATCTCTCTGGGATTCTGAAAGAAGAAATGACAAAAATATTCAAAAGCAGGTTTGAACAAACAGAGACTTATTTCAACCTGGTTAAAACATCAAAACGTCCAAACTTCTATAATACATTTCTATTTCTACTTTTTACACTGTAGACTGTGTTATTGCTGAATTCTACATCTTAAAATTTAATAAGCCTAAGATTTTAAGGGGTTAACAGATCATGAACATACATGTACCATATTCTTTTTATTATAATGTATTACAGAGTGAATTACAGCCATTAGATTAGTTATTTTAAAACCCTTATCAATATAACTGAATATAACTGAGGCCATCCAGATACAGCTTTACTATAATCATCCATCCGTTTCTTAGCTGTGGCTTGAATTTTAAACAAGAGACACTGACCTGAATTTATTTCAAGAATGTCCTCCCGCAATTCGCCTGCATCGGCATCTCCACCTAACATTTATTCAGAAACATGAATCAGCAGTGTGAGAATGACGAATTCATGATATACCTTGTCTAAACGCACTGATATAAATTGCGGAAATTTACCGTATTCTGTAGGCAGAGCGTGTAGCTAGAAGTCAATAACAGAAGGAAAATAAATAAGCATTATTAATAAGCAAAAGCATTATTTATGCACATTCATTCAGCTCTGCATGAGATACAAAAACCCCAGTCCTTTATTAACTATAGACAAACTTCACATTTCTAAAGTAGCATAAGTTACAGTGTTTACTGTTTATTACAGCACAAAATGAAGACACACACAGTATGTCGCTGCTGTCGGAACAAAACCTCGTATCTCCATTTTTCAGTTTTTGACATAATTTGAAAATGCATGTTGCTCTTCAAATTGTGTGTAGATTTCATGATGAATGGACCAAAAATTAGCCTAAAATTACTTGGAAAAACGTCTGGTTCCCTTGACTTGCATTCAAAGTAAAGTAGGTTTTTTTTTCCTTCTCCTGTAAAGTTACCATTTTGGAGATACAAGGTTTTGTTCCAACAGCAGCGACATACAAACGTAATAAATATTAAAATCTTATTTATTTCAACTATGAGAGAGAGAGTATAAATGACTTTGTATACTTTTTAAAATTCAGAAAATCATTAAAATACCTTTAACGTGAGCAGAATAGTGAAAAAGATGATTTTCCACGAGAAGTCCATGTTAACCGGAGGAGACGAGCACATGTGTCACACTGCCAGGACAAACATACCAATAAAGACGAGGTCTGAGGAGTACTTTGATCAGAAAATGATGGACACTTGTTGCCTGCGCTTCACACGTGGAGCGAGTCGCCGGTTCACACCATGTGATTTATGGTGTTCTTGTAGATTGTCATCATAATTATGCACTTTATTGCACTTTATCTCTCAAGGTTTTTCAACAGTTTATTACAGCAATCTCAGATCAGATTAAATACAGTCTGAGCTGTCATGTGGATGAAGCTACTCTTTGTGATTAGCATGGGCAATGTGCAATCTAATAAAAGAGCGAAGTAGAAAGGAAAGGAAGTTTTTTATGAAATACACCACAACATGGAGTGACATGCTTGAGATTTATTTAGGCGAAAAAAACTGATTCATAGTCTGTGTGTTTCAAACAAATCACACAATGAAGCAACACTGGGCTGAAATAACTCCAAATGAAGCATTCAGCAGAAGCAAACAGGCCAAAGGTCGTCATTTTGCCAGATGCTTAGTTCCCATCAGATCTTGGTTGCACAAGGTTAATCAGTGGGGTCAAATCTGAAAAGAAAATAAGACATATATTTATGTTTGATGAATAATTTTGTAATAGGCCAATTTGTAAATTGAGTCAAAGAGACACTCCGGCCTAAAACTGGAGTTTAATGCTATCTCTTGTGTACTGGCATTGTATCACTCAGCCTCACTGGTTTGACAGAATTAAGGACTTGATATTACTTTCATGTTTTCGTTCATGTGTTCTCTCACTACAATACTCAGCGTTCCTAATTGGGAATCACTGTGGTGTCAACCAATCCTGAGTGCTGATCAATAGGCTGATCTTTATTATCAGTGTACATATGTATATATATATATATATATATATATATATATAGGCACTGGCTATCAAACAAACACTTGAAAATAATAAAATGTGAAATATTTAAAAATCATTCATATTACTTTTTTACATATTATTCCAAGACTTTTGGAAAAACAAGTAAAAAACATCCAAAGTAACTTCAGACAATAATTTCTCTCACAGATCCCACCTGCTTCCATAAGTTACCCATATATTATTGTCATCTGCCTTATTCTGAATCAGGTGGTACCATTTTATTTTTATTCCAGTTCCTTGTAGTTTTTGTGTGAGAACCATTTTCTTATTGTGCTTTTTTTAGTCTTTGGTCCAATAGGCTTACTTTTTGTATATTTTGCTAATTTTCAAATAAAATATATAATGAAATAAAATGTCTAAAATATATAAAATATCTGGACAACATACAAAACCTGAATACCTGAAGAACAGGGTAAAAGGGGGCTAACAAAGTATGCAGAGAAACAGATGGACTACAGTCTGTAACTGTAGAACTACAAAGTGCACCTATATAGTAAGTGGAGCTGATAAAATGGACAATGAGCGTAGAAACAAGGAGGTGGTCATAATGTTATGCCTGATCGGTGTGTAACATATAATATTATGTAACATCTAATTATTCCAATTGCTCTTCATTATCTAATAGAAATTACTACAAGAGTAAAACCAAAGAAATTGGCCATTGGAAAATTGTCAGGAAGAGGACAGATGAGTTTACTGCCCACACGTGCAGTGAGGAGGATGGTAAGAGAGGCAAAGAGGAACCCAAAGATCACAGTTTCAGAACTGCATGGTGCAGATAAATTTTGTGGTTTTTCAAAATTTCAAAATCTTCTGTTTGACGCCACCAGAAGCTTTTTGTGAAAATTCCACAAATTGTGCCTTTCATAACAGCAAGCCACAGCATGAAGTGCCTGAACTTTGCAATATGTGATTGGAACTACAAATGGAATTGTGTGATGTGGTCAGATGAGACACAAATAGAACTTTTTGGTCATGCACACCATCATCACACTGGGCGAAAAATAGACTGCATACGGTGAAAAACACTCGAGACCCACTGTCAAATACAGAACATTCAATACATCCTTTACAACTCGGACACAATAACTGTCCATTAAGTGGCTAAAGTACAATAAGAAAAAGCTGTAGCTAAACTGTTCGACCAGTTTAATTTGTTGTCTGTTTTCCACATTTGTGCTCAGTGGAGCTCTGAGAATCGCTGTAGTATAGAAAATTAGAAAATTCCAGTGTGGACAGGAATGGGTTTATAGTATCTTTCTAGCAGTAATGTTGGCTATCTGGCTTCCTTCTGCAGTCACCAGATAATGAAAGAAAATATTCAAAACAGCCCCCAAAAATCCAATTTTTAAATGTTTCCTTTCACCTTCCAAGATTCGTCATCAGAGGGTTTTTTTTTTCTAGTCTTTAAACTAGACGTTCTCACTGCGGACACTACTGTGGCACCACTGTGGGAGGCAAGTGAGCATATTTACAACAGATTTAGTGATGGTTACATTTTTATTTTGGCCGGTCGTCTCTTTAAGTAAACTACATTTAAGAAGTGTACCTTCGAACTCAATGAAGAGAATTAGGTCATCATTCTTCAAGTAGCTCCTGCGGCGAAGGTCAAAGTGGGAGAAGAATGCATTGTAGCCCCAGGTCCAGCCGTGATAGCAATCACAGGAAGGATCGTATGTGCCCACCTTAGAGGGATCATCCCAGTACAAGCGGTCAGTACCTGGAGAACAAAAGCAGTTATTGTAAACCCCCTGTCTAATACAGAAGAAGAGATCTAAGTGGGTATTTTTTTTATTTGTAAGCTCATTTATGTTCAGTCAATTCCAGAATTATTGGCACCCAACCAGACTCTAGTGAAGAAACTGGGCAGAAACAATCGATAAAATCAATACAACTCAACACAAAACAATAAAAACAATATACACTGACCAGGCATAACATTATGACCACCTCCTGGTTTTAGTGTGTGTTGTGCTGGACTGAGTGGATCAGACACAGCAGTGCTGTGTGAGATTTTAAACACCTCAGTGTCACTGCTGGACTGAGAATAGTCCACCAACCAAAAATATCCAGCTAACAGTGTCCTGTGGGCAGCGTCCTGTGACCACTGATGAAGGACTAGAGGATGACCAACACAAACTGTGCAGCAGCAGATGAGCTATCGTCTCTGACTTTACATCTACAAGGTGGACTGACAAGGTAGGAGTGTCTAATAGAGTGGACAGTGAGTGGACACAGTGTTTAAAAACTCCAGCAGCACTGCTGTGTCTGATCCACTCAGACTGTCACCATGTCAGTGTTACTGCAGTGCTGAGAATGATCCACCACCCAAATAGTACCTGCTCTGTGCAGGTCCATGGGGGTCCTGACCACTGAAGAACAAGTTCCTTGTAGTTTTTGCGTGAGAACCATTTTCTTATTGTGCTTTTTTTAGTCTTTGGTCCAATAGGCTTAATTTTGTATATTTTGCAAATTTTCAAATAAAATATATAATGAAATAAAATGTCTAAAATATATAAAATATCTGGACAACATACAATACCTAATAACTGAAGAACAGGGTAAAGGGGGCTAACAAAGTATGCAGAGAAACAGATAGACTACAGTCTGTAACTGTAGAACTACAAAGTGCACCTATATAGTAAGTGGAGCTGATAAAATGGACAATGAGTGTAGAAACAAGGAGGTGGTCATAATGTTATGCCTGATCTGTGTGTAACATATAATATTATGTAACATCTAATTATTCCAATTGCTCTTCATTATCTAATAGAAATTACTACAAGAGTAAAACCAAAGAAATTGGCCATTGGAAATTTGTCAGGAAGAGGACAGATGAGTTTACTGCCCACACGTGCAGTGAGGAGGATGGTAAGAGAAGCAAAGAGGAACCCAAAGATCACAGTTTCAGAACTGCACAGTGCAGATAAATTTTGTGTTTTTTCAAAATTTCAAAATCTTCTGTTCGACGCCACCAGAAGCTTTTTGTGAAAATTCCACAAATTGTGCCTTTCATAACAGCAAGCCACAGCATGAAGTGCCTGAACTTTGCAATATGTGATTGGAACTACAAATGGAATTGTATGATGTGGTCAGATGAGACACAAATAGAACTTTTTGGTCATGCACACCATCATCACACTGGGCGAAAAATAGACTGCATACGGTGAAAAGCACTCGAGACCCACTGTCAAATACAGAACATTCAATACATCCTTTACAACTCGGACAAAATGTAGCAGCATAGATCCTCACAAAAACAGCACAGAGAGATCAGATCACTCCCATTTAAAAAGAGCTGCACTGGCTGCCTGGATCATTCAGGATAGATTTTAAAGTTCGGTTACTAGTTTTTAAGGCTCTAAATGACCTTAAAGCACTGCTTTACGGTCTGTTTATGATCTTAGATCTGTAGATACTGACCAGCGAACACCTTCTGTAAAATACAGAAAACATGGAGAGACTCGTTCAGTTATTATGCTTCTAAACTGTGGAGCTCAATTCCACCTTTTGTTAGACAGTCAAGCTCAGAGCTCACTTTTAAGAAGCATCTAAAAACACATCTCTTTATCTTAGCATTTCATTAAAACTCTGCGTCTCATGGTTTTTATCTTCTAATTTGATCTGTGTCACTTTCTTATGATTCTAAATTAATACTTATAATTTTGTTGTATAACTCTTTTATCACCTGTCTGTAAAGCACTTTGAGCTGCCACTGGCATGAAAAGTGCTATATAAATAAAAAATATTCTTCTTCTTATTATTATTATCATATCATTATCATCATCATCATCATCATCATCATTATTATTATTTTATTTTATTATTTTTATTATTATTCATTATTATTCTTATTATTTTTATTTATCTTTTTATTATTGTTAGTATTATTATTATTTTATGACTATCATTGGGGACAGTCGTGGGCTGGAGGTTAGGGAACCAGCCTTGTGACCAGAAGGTCGCCGGTTCGATCCCCTCAGCTAACAGTACGTGACTGAAGCACCCTTGAGCAAGGCACCTAACCCCCAACCGCTCCCTGGGTGCCATGGATAGAGCTGCTCACTGCCCCCTAGTCTGCGTGTGTTCACTAGTGTGTATGTGGTGTTTCACTGCACGGATGGGTTAAATGCGGAGGTCTAATTCTGATGTGTTCAGACACAGTTGGCTAAAAATTTCATTTCATTAGTAGTAGTATTAAAAGCAATGACCTTATCAATTCCACTAAATACCAGGATAAAACTTGGCCATGGGTGGACATTTAATCAAGATAATGAGCCCAAACACACATCAAAATCTACACAGAAATAGTTGCAAGAACGTAAAATCTAAGTTTTGCAATGTCCCTCTCTGTCTCCAGATTTGAACCTAATTGGAAACCTGTGGTGGTAGGTGGTAAGAGGTCAGTCTCAAGCGAAGACCCAAGAATACCAAGGAACTGAAAACGTTCCAAGTGGTCCAAGATCCCTCAACAAGCAGCTCGGCAGGGGAGCCTTCACCAAATGTTAATAATCGAGATGCTAATATTTTTGAAACAAATATTCTCAAAAACATTGTTACTAAAGAAAACTTTTTGTTCCATAACAAAAATATGCAGTTTACCCATTTATTTAAGCTCAAAATATCACTCAGTTTATTAAACATACGTTTTATCTCATTTTAATTAAAGGTGCCAATAATTCTGGACTTGACTGTAGTTGTGATTAACTCTGAAACAACAAGCTCAGGCTTATGCAACACACCTGGTATGAGCTGTTTGCCATTTGTTGTGAAACTGTGGGAGAAGGACTGTCGTTGTGTGACATCACGGTCCTGGTCCAGCACTGTCATGGTTACCTGCCGGTTTCCAGCTGGCCAACGCAAGGTCTTGTCGTTCTCACCACTAGTCAGATGGAAAAAGGCCCCGATGTAGCCATCTACGTAGGAGTTGGGCAGAAGCTGAAGGCCAAAGCCATAACCCTCAGGGCTGTAGAAGCGCGGGCTCTGGATATACTCGCCCACAGCATAGCTATCCAGGTAGGAACTGAAGTTAGCTATTCTCCAGGTAGCACTGGGGCACCGGGTCTCCGCCAAGCTAATGTCGTCCACCAGAATTCCTCCAGATGAATGAGACGGATCACCACTAATGCCTTGGAATGCATAGCGGAACTTGCCATCCATTCTCAGAAGCACGTGAGCGATCTTCCAAGAATGATCATCATCACCTAAAGCAGTCACATGACATACACTGATCAGTCATAACATTATGACCACCTCCTTGTTTCTACGCTCATTGTCCATTTTATCAGCTCCACTTACTATATAGGTGCACTTTGTACTTCTACAGTTACAGACTGTAGTCCATCTGTTTCTCTGCATACTTTGTTAGCCCCCTTTTACCCTGGTCAGGACCCCCATGGACCCTCACAGAGCAGGTACTATTTGGGTGGTGGATCATTCTCAGCACTGTGTGTTGTGCTGGTCTGAGTGGATCAGACACAGCAGTGCTGCTGGAGTTTTTAAATGCCTCAGTGTCACTGCTGGACTGAGAATAGTCCACCAACCAAAAATATCCAGCCAACAGCGTCCTGTGGGCAGCGTCCTGTGACCACTGATGAAGGACTAGAGGATGACCAACACAAACTGTGCAGCAGCAGATGAGCTATCGTCTCTGACTTTACATCTACAAGGTGGACTGACAAGGTAGGAGTGCCTTATAGAGTGGACAGTGAGTGGACACACCACCACCACATCAGTGTTACTGCAGTGCTGAGAATGATCCACCACCCAAATAGTACCTGCTCTGTGAGGGTCCATGGGGGTCCTGACCAGGGTAAAAGGGGGCTAACAAAGTATGCAGAGAAACAGATGGACTACAGTCTGTAACTGTAGAACTACAAAGTGCACCTATATAGTAAGTGGAGCTGATAAAATGGACAATGAGTCCATATTATCCATTTTATGAGTCCAACTTCCTGGATAAAGAGCAGCAGTGTTTACAAAGCACAGTTAAACTGAAACAAGTACATTAAAGCCAACACTGATTTTACTTCTTCAGCATGTGCCTGAAAACACATTCAGAAAACAAGCTTCTCACCATGGAGTGTTGCTATAGCTGTGCCAGTGGGGGTGCCGTCTGATGCTTCCTGTTTTGTCCAGATGACCAGTTGATCTTTTGGGCTTCCAGTCATTTTGTAGAATACCTGAAGGCACTGCAGCTTCCTTTTAGGGTAGAGAATCCTCGACTCCAGGAAGGCAGTCTTTCCAGAGCTTGTGCTGAAGAACATGTAATGTCCTGCATCTTAAAGAGACGATATTTAGACTCTATTACTTTTGGCCATATTCGTTTAATATGTAGTCTAATTATCCACTAATTTTCTCTTGCTGTATTTTGTCTGTATTTTATTTTGCTAGAAAAACTTTGTTTACAGTGGTGGTGATGGGAACCAGATGTCACCTCCGTGTTTAATACCTGTAAAAGTGACCTCAAAGAAAACTATTACTCAAAATCATTATGAATACACTGCCTGAGACAGTGATTTGTGATGTTCTCACCTGAAACATATTTTTAAAATGCATTCATGGCGGAGTGGTACATGCAGGGTGTGTCACAAAATAGCACCCAAAGAAAACTAATTTTCCTGATTGTCACAGCATTAACAACGTTACATTAAAAATAGAGAAGACAAGTGTAGGTTCACTGGTCATTTTGGATAGTAAAACAGCCATATTTCTTTGTTAGTACACTATGAAATCTGTAGTTTATCTCACCACCACTGTGAAGAAATCTTAGGTGCTAAGTTTCTATACAGTGAACCGTTTTACTTTAAATCATTCTAATTGGTTTTATTTACATCTCAACAATTGAATTATGCCGAAATTTGACAAGAAAGTGGAGGAATTCCCATTAAAACAGACACTTCTTACTTTATTTGTCATAATTTGATTTGATTAAATAAAAAAAAAATGGCCAAAGTAGGGTAAAATATATGGGGAGGCCCTCCAGGGTAAGATTTCTCCCCTCTTGCATATGATGCATCACAACTGAATGCATACAGGGTCAGTTTCTCAGACACTGATTAAGGTGGACTGTACTTTACTTTCAATGGAAAATTTCCATTAAAAATCCTGTGCAGTTCAGGACTAGGCTTAATCCCTGTCTGGGAAACCGGCCCTTAATGACTACTTTGAAGTTTCCCATGACTGAAGACATTCTTGGGATTCCCAGAGTATTCATTCTGAAACCTTTCTCGGGTCATTTGAGATTTTCTGATTTTGCTGTCATTGTACAAAAGAGATACATAAAAACATAACCACTAAAAGGGCCAGATTAAAAACCTCAACAAATCCAGCTGTGTTTTTATTTTATTTTTACCATGACCCCAACTGGTCAGTGTTTAGTTCAAAATATGCCAAAACTACAAGGGCAAAAATAGGTACTGAATACTTGAACAATTTAAAAATTATTTTAAATCAAAAGTAATTGTTTTGTATAAAACAATAGACTATATTGGCTGCTTTGCTCTGATGTGGCGCTGTCTCATAGATCGTTGTTGGGGAGGGGGTGGGAGCACAAGTTACATTGCTGTGCATGCTGGGAACTGTAGTGCAGCTCATGGTGAAATGAGCTCATAGTAATAGAAAATTAAAATAATTTTGCGGGCCCAATAGGATCATGCCTGGCTGGGCCTGTGAGCCTTGTGTTTGACACATGGAAGTTAGACCATCAGGCAAGATTCATCTCAAGAGGATTGTCTTATTTGAGCTTTAACAACAAATACACTTTTGGGCCCAATCCCATTTCACCCCTCACCCCTACCACTTAGCCCTTAGCCCTCTGTTTTGCGCGTTCACATCTAGGGGTAGGGTGTCCCAATTCTCGTTGAGATAGAGGGGTAGGGCGAAGTGTTGGGGCTACAGGGCCCTCCAAATGGAAGACTCACTCGGATTTCTCAGACTCACTCCAAAATGAGCGTTCAGAGAAAAAAAAGAAAAAACCGGTAAGATGGCTGCACGAATGACCAAAGAAACCCACAAATGTGAGAATTCTCTCTGTTAAAAAATTACAATAACCACTGTATTATCTTAGTTTAATGTCGTTTCAGTGTATTATGGTCGTTTTCTTCATAACAAGCTTAAAAAATCGCTAATAGCATGCTAATGTCTCGGTAGCTAGCGAGCTAACTTTCCCGTTCCACCTTAAATAGTCCGGCAGCATTGACGCCTGAAGCGCCAGAATGTAACTGCTGCACCATTTAAGGTGGAACGGGAAAATTCAAACAAGAAGCTGGTGAATATCTGACTTCAGCATCGTATCACCAAAGAATTAGTGGTGGGCGATAATAAATAATTGCCCCCCTCTTTGAAAGCATATGATGCCCTAAATGTAACTAAAGCCCAGCAGTGAGGAGCTGAACTTTATCCTCCTCTGCTGTCACTGAAGACGGGCCGGGTTGCCTACAGAGCAGCGCTAGTAGCTGTTAATGAAGTAATGTTTTTTTTATTTGAGGGTCCCATTTCTTAGGGCAAGATTTCAACCACTACCCCTTGTAACTCAGTTCCAAGGGGTTAGGGTGACCCTCGAAAACAAGGGGTAGGGGTAAAAAGAAGAAATGGGATTGGGCCTTGTTCTAACTTGTTTTCCCAAACCGTGCCCTGGTTTATGTGTCATCATCTTTCACTTCCTCCCACACCTCTTCTACATATTAGAACATAATTTCAGCTGAACAATGCTAATGGTAAGGAACAGCAGCTAGTCTTCTCAGTCATCTTAAGCTCAAGAGGAGCAGTGATCATGAGTCTGATCTAAACAATCAAACAGCATCTTAAACTTCGATGAGTTAAGAATGACTGACCTCTGCACTGGCCAACCAGAGTATGGTCATGTGACTGATGGGAGCTCTGCGAGTGCACCCACCGGGATTCACTCTCCTGTTGCCTCTGGAACATCCCACAGATCCCCAGCGTCTCAAAGGAACACTGATCCAGCAATGTGAGAGGTGTAGCTGCAAAGAACAGATCACACTCCATGTTTTACTCTATTTAGTATTGCTGTCATACAAATGGGTAGTTCTTGTTAAAAGTACAGTGGGGTCCAAAAGTCTGAGTGCAATGAAAATGCTGAAAAGATTTTGCTTTCCTTTCTAATTTAAGTTTTCCATTACAAATGATTTTATCAGCAGAAAGATTTGTCACAAATTTTCTTTGTTTAAAGTTTTAATTTTTTCAAGATTCTAAAAATGTTGTTGTTTATTTCCTGGTTTAGATGAAAAACTACCAGATTTATTAGTGTAGTCTCAGACTTTTGGACTCCACTGTATATAGGATCAAAACATCATATCTCCCAAAATATATATATATATATATATATACATATATATATATACATATATATATATATATATATATATATATATATATATATATATATATATATATATATATATATATCGCTGCTGTCGGAAGAAAACCTTGTCTCCATTTTTGTAGTTTTTCAGTTTTTGACATAATCTGCACCTACCTGTTGACCTTCATATTGCGTGTAAAATTCATAAAGAATGGACCAAAAGAAAGAGTCCAAAATGACTTGGAAAAACGTCTGGTTCCATAGACTTGCATTAAAAGTGAAGTAGGTTTTTTCCTTCTCCTGTAAAGTTACCATTTTGGAGATACAAGGTTTTCTTCCGACAACAGCGATATATATATATATATACTTTCAATGTAAATTAAGGCTTTATTTTTAGTCATTTTGGACCATTTCTGTTGTTCTGTTTGTTATGAAATTTTGACATGGTGTAAAAGGCAACTGCCATTTCAAATTATGTAAAAAATGAATATTATTTTCCCAGCACCACATTAAGTATATTGTTCTGTTGTAACAAAACCTGGTATCTCCAAAATCAGAATAAAGAAGAAAGAAAATGCATTGTTAACTTCAAGGGACATTAATGTAACAAGATTTTCATTCCAAAACCATGTATAGGGCAGGGGATTCCCAAGTGTTGTAACTATTTAAGTGTTGGCTCTGTCATCTGGAATGACCTATCATGACCTAGCTACTGGGTAAGAATTGGCCACAAATAAAGTGGGTTGAAAATTAGTTAAAACGTTTTCAAAAATGAAGATAAGAGGTTTTCATCTGACAGCAACAGCACATTTTGGATGAAAAACTCACTGCAGTTGTACATCCGGTTCAGTCTCAGCAAATCCACAGAGCTCAAGTCATTGTACTGGCCGAGTGCTTTGGTGAGCTCTGGGTCCTTGGCTGTGATGGTGGGGTAGCGAGAGTCTACATTGAAGGAGTAGGGTCCGTAGTGCAAAATGGACTCATAATCATAAGGGGTGTTCTGATCAGTTATGAAAGAGTCATCATATTTATCAAAGTTGTGCTCCAGACCTGCAACAAAAGCAAAGTGCAGTTCAACTAATTCATTTGGAACTTTTTACTCCTGTTGTCTCTCAGTTTAGTCACTGCCAATAACCCTGTAACATTCCATGTTCATAAAAGGCTTATTATTCAGTCATTACAGGGACTTCAATGCAAACAAATGTTTGTAGGTTATAAAAGTGTGTAATGAAACTTTAGGCCCATGGCTTGTTAAGGAAATAACCATCATAGTAGTCCAACTGCTGAGTGACAGCCGAGTCCGTTATCCTGAACTCAACAGTGAGTGCATATGCATGCACTCAATAATCCGATCATAATCAGATTTCTGCAGTTATCCAATTATTCAAATGGTCATGTAAACACCATACTCCAGTCTAGAAATCCAATTACGAAATCTGATAAAGGGAGTTGGATTTTAGCTCAGTAATCAGATTTCTGAGTGCATGTAAACTCTTACTCTGATTTCTTTCAGATTTCTCAGTCTGCACATGCGCAAGAACAGACGGTGGATGTCGCGAGTCGCAGAAAAACACTGTTGGAGAGGCGCTGAAACCAAACACGAAACAAAGGATTTAAATATTCTTCATCTTCTAGATGATGTTTGTTCATGTTTTCAGGTAAAGTGGTGTGATGTTTTAAAAAAAAGCAGCGGTATAAAGTTTGAGTTTTACGTTACGTTTACGTCACGTCTTCCTCTGTGAGTTTATTGGCTGGTTGCAAAGCAGAAATCTGACTACTGTCTGACTCATGTAGACCTGGAGTTTCCCCATTATCTGATTACTCAAGAGCATGTAAGCGCATTGATCGGATAACTGACAAAATCTGATTTTCTGCAGTTATCAGATTATTAAGTGCATGTAAACGCACTCATTGCTAATTACATAAATGGCGTGGTTCGCACTCGAATCACAAAAACACAATGACTGCTTAAACATGACAGACAAAAGAGAAAAGGGTTTACCAGGAATTATCTGATTCCACCAAATGTTGATATAATCGTCGCGGTCAGTGCGAGACTGCTCATGGTAGAAACCCAGTGCATGAAGAATCTCGTGCATGATGGTGCCTTTGTAGTCACAGTTTTCACCAAGAGAAAGCTGCTGACCTTTACGGTCTCCAACCATTGACCAGCAACTGTAATGACATCACAGCAGAAGTAGCTTACAATGTCTGAGTAATAATGTACTCTCTGACACTAAAGCAACGAGCCGCTAAGGCCGCGTGTTACAGTGATTTCACCATGCTTAGAAACGAGTGGAGTAAATCTGCTTAAACATTGTCAATCATAAAACTGGCCAATTACAGAGCCTGTAAACAACAACACTGTACAGTAAATGCATTAACTGCATCATAACAAGTAGCTGATCTTTTTGTTTGATGTTTTCCTCCTGTTTCTTCTTTAATAGACTACTTTTTGCAAATGTTTTTCAAAGCACTTATGTGCCACTACAGTTCATCCTCATGTATATTGTGAGTGCCTTCTATTTGTATGATGTTGTAAAATTGCTATATTGCTCACCCGTCTAACTTCTTAAATCTGATGAAGCTCTTCTCTCCTTCATAAGGTTTGAAATCCACACAGGACTTCAGACGGTAGGTCTCAAAGGCCTGGAAAATGACACCCTTTGCGTTCAGATCTGTGAAATTAGAGTGCTCAGTTAGTAAACAGTGCATAGTTTAACTAATGGTCCCAGTTATACTGTGCTCTAAAATAAGTGGAAGGCATTCTCACCAAGGCTGTCATCTAAGATGTAAGGAATGGGGAATGTCCATCTGTATGATTTATCTATCAGAGCATTACGTCCAAGCTAAAACAGAAAAAGTAAGTCATGTTAATGTTCATTTTCTGCTCTGCAGTGATGACAGTGCACGCTCAGTATTGATGGGCTAAACAGGTCCATGGCAAAATTATTTAGTGAGTAAAAGCTCTTTAATGTACTGACTGCAATTCCAAAGTTCTGTAGCACTGGCGTAGAAGAAGACACACAAAACATTGCACATATGGGCAAATGTTGTTTTTAATTTGAACAGGTGCTTCAACAGCAGCAAGAAATGCCCAGCCCAGCCCTACCCCCAACACAGGGACACAGGATGGGCTAATGATATGTTGTCATAATGTTATGCCTGATCGGTGGATCGTTCTCAGCACTGCAGTAACACTGACGTGGTGGTGGTGTGTTAGTGTGTGTTGTGCTAGTACGAGTGGATCATATACAGCAGTGCTGCTGGAGTTTTTAAACACTGTGTCCACTCACTGTCCACTCTATTAGACACTCCTACCTTGTCAGTCCACCTTGTAGATGTAAGGTCAGAGACGATAGCTCATCTGCTGCTGCACAGTTTGTGTTGGTCATCCTCTAGTCCTTCATCAGTGGTCACAGGACGCTGCCCACAGGACACTGCTGGCTGGGTATTTTTGGTTGGTGGACTATTCTCAGTCCAGCAGTGACACTGAGGTGTTTAAAAACTCCAGCAGCACTGCTGTGTCTGATCCACTCGTACCAGCGCAACACACACTAACACACCACCACCATGTCAGTGTTACTGCAGTGCTGAGAATGATCCACCAACCAAATAGTACCTGCTCTGTGGGGGTCCATGGGGGTCCTGACCACTGAAGAACAGGGTAAAAGGGGGCTAACAAAGTATGCAGAGAAACAGATGGACTACAGTCTGTAACTGTAGAACTACAAAGTGCACCTATATAGTAAGTGGAGCTGATAAAATGGACAGTGAGTGTAGAAACGAGGAGGTGGTCATAATGTTATGCCTGATCGTGTATTTTAAGTAAAGTAGATCGCCAGGAAGCCGTAAATAAGAATTAAGAAACGTTAGATGTGTCCAGAATGATGAAGGGAGCCGTAGAAGATTTTGAACATCGAGAATTAAGTTGCAATTAGCGAGTGATTTCTAACTTTTGAACGGTAGCTCCAACACTTCTCAACTGTTGGAGTTATAGTGTTATTTCGATCCACTGTAACTCTGAAATGAAACCAGCAGGCCTATTAAAATATTTTGGTGCTTATTACCAGTTTGTACTGCAAAAAGTTCCCTTTATATGTGCACAAGAAGACGCTTAAAAGTATCAATATTGGTATATTTATCAAATCAAAATGAAAATCAGAGGTGTCACTCATCCCTAACTGAAGGTTTAAAAACACAGGCTCTAAATATTCTTATGCAACAGCAGTTGATAACATCACCAATCATTAATTATGGCTGTCAGGGCAAAGATAGGCATAAATCCTATCAAGATGTAGATAACCATGGCAGGTTCAAAGTGACAAGCACAATAAAAAAGATAAAATTACTGTACGGTACTCACCGGCAACGCCATGTCACCTTCAACCAGGGGTGTCTTTACATCTAATATAAAAAACAGTGTTTTTATGATTCTAGAGGATCAGCAGACAGATAACAGTGTTTTATGGAACTCAACGATGGTGAAGCTAACTTTGAGCATACCTTTATTAACGAAGGGGATGTCCCGTCGCAGAACCTTCTCACCATCGATGGCATGAGCTGCAGCGAGAATGGAACAGACTGAAAATTAGCCCTGCTTGTGTTACCAAATGGCCAAACAAGCCATCATGTTAACTTCAATATATAATGCTATGGTCAACATTTGATGTCATTTGGACTATTATCTACATAATACATGAAAAGGTTCTTCTTTATACACTTAAAAAATAAGATTCTTCAAGGGTTCTTTAGCAGAGAAAATGTTTCTATATAGAACCATGAACAATCAAAGAACCCTTAGCATGATTAAATGGTTCTTTGCATCATGAATGTGTATGAACGAGCTGTAAACAGTTCTATATAGAACCTTTTTGAAGCTTGACATTGTAACAGTGGAAGAACCCTTTTGGGTGCTGTAAAGGTTCTCTATAGAACCATTTATAGCACATTCTCTGAAGAGCGCTTTTACAATGCAAAGAACCATTTAATCATGCAAAGGGGTCTTTGAGTGTTTATGGTCCTATGTAGAACCATTTTCTCTATCAAAGAACCTTGAAGGATCATCTTTTTTAAGAGTGTAGTAAAGAAAATGGTTCTATAGAGAACCATGAACACTCAAAGAACCCTTTGCATGATTCAAGGGTTCTTTGCAACATGAAATGGTTCTTTAGGTTGATAGAGAATGATTAGTGCTGTAGATGGTTCTATATAGAACAGCTGTGAAAAGAGTTATGTAGCATGTTAAGCTTGTAACAACAGAAGAACCCTTTTTAGGAAGGATCATTTTAAAAGGGTTCTATATAGAACCATTTACAGCACATTCTCCATCAGTCTGAAGAAACTTTCACAATGCAAAGAACCATTTAATCATGCAAAGGGTTCTTTGAGTGTTTATGGTCCTATGTAGAACCCTTGAAGGATCATCTTTTTTAAGACTGTAGTAAAGAAAATGGTTCTATATAGAACCATGAACACTCAAAGAACCCTTAGCATGATTCAAGGGTTCTTTGCAACATGAAATGTTCTTCAGATTGATGGAGGATGATCAGTGCTGTAGATGGTTCTATACAGAACGCTTTTGAAAAGAGTTATACAGCATGTCAAGCTTTTAACAACAGAAGCACTCTTTTTGGGATGGACCCTTTTCAAACAGGTTCCATATAGAACCATCTACAGCCCATTCTCCATCAATCTAAAGAACGCTTTCACGATGCAAAGAAGGGTTCTTTAAGTGTTGATGGTTCTATATAGAACCATTTTCCTTACTAAAGAACCCTTAAAGAACCATCTTTTTAGGAGTGTATCTCTTATATGCAAATACAGGATCAAAGCGAGGGCGGCGAGCTCTTACAGGTCTCTCTGGAGAATCGTCCAACCTGCAGTTACACAGAAAATAAGTGAAGTTTGAGTCAACAACAGTAAAACAGCATGAAGCAGCTTTAAAGCTTAGCTCTAATGGATTTCACCGAGAGGAAAGGAGAGAGGCCCTACTGTGAACGACGAGGAGAGGGGGAGGAGAGCCGTGCAGCACAGAAGCCCCAGCAGCTGCATTGTGAGGCGACACCAAGACTACAGCTTTACAAATTAGTGGAAGGATGTAAGGAGAATCAATCAGTTTAAATAGGCTTCCCGTTTATTAGGGCGAAGGACTTTGCTCTGCAGCTCCTTTTAATCTGACCATACATAGGCAGCCCTGGCAGTGGTGGACGTATGTGGACTAATGTGGGGAGGAAAGGGTAACCTAAGGCCACAGACTGGCAAAGACAGGAGAACTGCTGAGTGAGTAAAAGGCCAGTTTCTAAAAAACGCTTTCGCAATGCAAAGAACCATTTAATCACGCAAAGGGTTCTTTGAGTGTGTATGGTCCTATGTAGAACCATTTTCTCTACTGAAGAACCCTTGAAGGATCATCTTTTTTAAGAGTAGTAAAGAAGTAAGTAAAGAGTAGAAAGGAAAATGGTTCTATATAGTACCATGAACACTCAAAGAACCCTTTGTATGATTAAATGGTTCTTTGCATCATGAAATGTGCATGAATGTGCTATAAACAGTTCTATATAGAACCTTTTTGAAGCCTGACATTGTAACAATGGAAGAACCCTTTTGGGTGCTGTATAGAACCATTTTCAAAAAGGTTCTTTATAGAACCATTTATGGCACATTTTCTAAAGAACGTTAAGTAGGGCGAAGGACTTTGCTCGGCAGCTCCTTTTAATCTGACCGTACATACACGGCCCCCGGCAGTGGTGGACGTATGTGGACTAATGTGAGGGGGAAAGGGTAACCTAAGGCCACAGACTGGCGAAGACAGGAGAACTGCTGAGTGCATAAAAGGCCAGTTTCCATAAAATGATCACCTGTTACTTCTCTGATAAGACCTGACAGCAAGATACTCTTTGCAGATCAGTACACAACTGGATAGAAGTGCAGGTGTAAGTTAAAGGTTCTAAAGGGCAGATTGATACTTCTGATATCAGACATCATGTTTTCTTTTGAGATGTAATCATCAGATGAAAATATCACTGTCAAATGTTTTCTTTAAGCAGTTATCATCGTTTATGACATTGAATACATAGCTGAAGCTGAAAAAGTGAGAAAATAAATATGTACACTCTTTAAATAGATGGTTCTTCAAGGGTTCTTTAGTAAAGCAAATGGTTCCATGAACCATGAACACTCAAAGAACCCTGTACATGATTAAAGGGTTCTTTGCATTGTGAAAGTTTCTTCAGATTGATGGAGAATGTGCTGTAGATGGTTCTGTGTAGCACCTTTTTAAAAGGGGTTCTATATAACACCAAAAAAGGGTTCTTCTATTGTAACAAGCTTGACATCGTGACTATACCAGAACCCTTTTTGGTGCTATATAGAACCATCTACTCCCTCAAAAGATGGTTCTTCAGGGGTTCTTAAATAAAGAAAATGGTTCTATATAGAACCATGAACACTCCTGAAAGAACCTTTTGCAAGATTAAAGGGTTCTTCGCACAATGAAATGGTTCTTCAGATTGATGGAGAATGTGCTGTAGGTGGTTCTATATAGAACCTTTTCGAAAAGGGTTCTTCTTTTGTAACAAGCTTGATATCGTAACTATACCAGAACCCTTTTTGGTGCTACATTTTAAAAAGGTGCTACATAGTACCATCTACTCTCTTAAAAAAAGATGGTTCTTCAGGGGCTCTTTAAAGAACCATGAACACTCAAAGAACTCTCTGCATGATGAAAGGGTTCTTTGCATTCTGAAAGGTTCTCTTTGTGTTGTATATGGATCTATATAGCACCTTTTTAAAAAGGGTTCTATATAGCACCAGAAAGGGTTTTTCTATTGTGACAAGCTTCAAATAAATAGAACTATATATATACATAACTATACCAGAACCCTCTTCGGTGCTATATAGAACCTTTTCAAAAAGGTGTTATATAGGACCATCTACTCTTCACTGTCTACGATTCTTCAGGGGTTCTTAAGTAAAGAAAATGCCTCTGTATAGAACTGACTCAAAGAACCCTTTGCATGATTAAATGGTTCTTTGCACCATGAAAGCGTTCTTCAGATTGATGAAGAATGCCCTATAGATGGTTCTATATAGGACCTTTTTGAAAAGCGTTCTATATAGCACCAAAAAGGTTTTTGCTATTGTTTCGATATCAAGCTCGTTACAAGAGAAGAGCCTTTTTTTGGTGCTTTATAGAACCCTTTTCAAAAAGGTTCTGTATAGAACCATCTACAGCACATTCTCCATCAATCTGACGAACCGTTTGTTCAGCTGAGAGATTGGTATTGGGGTTCTACTCATCCCTGGCCTGAATGTGTTTATGTGAAGAACAGAATATGACTTTTCATCTAAAACATACAGTCGTATGCATAAGTTTTGGTGCCCCTGGTCAAGTTAGTGTGTTGTTTGATTGATTGGAGTTTTTAAACACCTCAGTGTCACTGCTGGACTGAGAATAGTCCACCAACCAAAAATATACAGCCAACAGCGTCCTGTGACCACTGATGAAGGACTAGAGGATGACCAACACAAACTGTGCAGCAGCAGATGAGCTATCGTCTCTGACCTTACATCTACAAAGTGGACTGACAAGGTAGGAGTGTCTAACAGAGTGGACAGTGAGTGGACACAGTGTTTAAAAACTCCAGCAGCACTGCTGTGTCTGATCCACTCGTACCAGTGCAACACACACTAACACACCACCACCATGTCAGTGTTACTGCAGTGCTGAGAATGATCCACCACTCAAACAGTACCTGCTCTGTGAGGGTCCACGGGGGTCCTGACCACTTAAGAACAGGGTAAAACGGTGGCTAACAAAGTATGCAGAGAAACAGATGGACTACAGTCTGTAACTGTAGAACTACAAAGTGCACCTATATAGTAAGTGGAGCTGATAAAATGGACAATGAGCGTAGAAACAAGGAGGTGGTCATTATGTTATGCCTGATCAGTGTATAAATAAATATATATAAGGGCTACTGGTCAGCCAAAATGGTTAAATGTTGAAGCAGACATTTAGTGAACATCAGAGCAGAAGCACATCATTTTAAAGGAGCGCTGCACTTTTTTTCAACCACAACATGAACAGTATGTGATAAGATCCAATCATTACTGAAGAACCCTTTAAAACAGCTACATACACATTTACCAATTTAAAGACTACTTCCACAGTGGCAGCTGTACACATGCACATACACAGAGCCCTAAAACCTTCTGCTTGCTTGACTGTATGTGCCCTGAGACGTGCTTACAACACATACTCAACAGTAATGTATGCATTTAACAAGAACAGAACAATTACTCCACAGTACATCTGCTCGTATAGTGTAGTGGGTAACACCGCTGCCCTCTGTTTGGCAAACTGGCATTCAATGACCAACCCGAACAAGCACACCACACTATACATAATAAGGTCTTTGGGCAAGACTTATAAGGCTGCTTTCACCTACCATAGTTTTAAAATTATATGTGGCTCTGAATTGCCAAATTCCAAAAAAAGGGAAACCTTAATGTGTAAAGCTGCAGTTTGAATCAGTGCAAGAGGATTAAATCAATAAGCCGACAACAACAAATATTTTTAGACTTTATTAAGAATTAAAAAATGATATGCAGGAATGTATACCATGTACAGCATAAAATACATGAGAGAAACCACATATTTAATTAATCTGATACAGAAACACAAAGGAACAAATCTTCATTCATGCAGTTTCAGTGCATCTTCCTTTGAAATTCTTCAGATCTCCGGGACCAGCAACCAGGATAGAAAACGCTGAAATGAGAGACACACAAAGACATGTCCCATCATGCAATTCTGACACAATTCCGGTGTACCTAAACGTACCCAGTGTACTCAGTGATTGCCTAAGCTTTGGCACAACAGCATGACAACTGAGGACTAGTTCCAACTGACATCATAGACTCTTAGAGATGAACGTTGCTGAGTGGTTCTTGGCTTGGAGGTGCTATTCTAGGAATAATATTATATGGAAAAAAGTAAGTTAAAAGGTTCTTCAGAGAACCATCCAATGAAATGTTCTTTAGGGCAGTGGTTCTCAAACCACTCATTTTTGCTCTATCCTAACTCTTAACATACCTGCACCAGGTGTTTATTGTTATTAGCCTGGTTCAACTATGATGGAGCAAAAATGAGGACTGTCTGGGGGTCCACTGGTTTGGGAATAACTGTATAACAGGTATCACTCTGAAGAACCCTTTATTTTAACAGTGTACTAAAACTACACTAAACACTGCACATTTTAGTGGTGCAATATTTACTGCAGCACTGCTTTTTGCCTCTTTTTTGCTGCACTAGTAAGTTAATGATTACTGCTTTAAAGCTGTAATTCACAGACATATAAGATCAATAAATCAGCTTATTCAATTACTACACGAATCGAAGCCAAGTTGTGCAAAGATTAGTCATTATTGCTCATGCAGCATTATTCATGCAATTTGGCCCCTACAAACAGGGAGAGCAAGATTACAAGATTACCCCACCAACCCCCCCAACACACAGACACAAACACCCTGATCTTATCATCAGATACAAGTCAGGACAGGCTGACAAAAGATAATACAGTAACTGGTGGTGAAGTCACTGGTGCAAAATTCTCTCAGCTCAACTTACAGCAAGTATTACAACACTGTACACTGTAAAAAGTGGCTCATCGGATCTACTTATAAAAATTACTTAATGTAACGAGCAGTTGAACTAATTTTATTCAACTCAAAAAACTACATTGATTGAAAGAATCATTCGTTTAAAAGTATTTATTTAGGTTGAATAAAACTAGTTAATTTGCTTGTTGCCACAATAATTATTTTTTTTTTTTTAGGTAGATCTGACAAGCCTTATTCTGTGTTCTTATGCAGCACCTTTACTTTATCCCAAAACAAATATTACAAAACAAGAACATCAACATAAAGGTAAAAAAAAAAAGTTCAAAGTTAACCCTCCTCTGCCCTGCCATGCTGTGTATGACTCTAAATGTCTCCTTATGTTGTGATGAATTCATTTCTCTTGTAACTCAAGCTGAGCCTTATTTGCAGAAAGAAAAAAAAGCATAATTTATGTTTTTGCCACATTTTTGTCACATTTGAACACCTGTTAATACAGAATGTGCAAAATGGTAAAACATTAGCTTTTAATGGTCTTAACAACAAATCATTACAAAAAAGGTAAAGTAACTTGGGCTACGTTCACATTACCAGGTTTAAATCCGATTTTTTGCTTTAATGTGACTCAGATCTGATGTTTTCAGAGCTGTGTGGACACACAAATCTGATCTTTTCAAATCTGACCTAAGCCACTGTCATATGTGGTCCTAGATTGGATACGTATCCGATTTGTGGCCATGTGACCTTAATGTGACGCTCAGATCGAATTCATGTGCTTTTTCTCCACTGCACATGCGCCATCATTCAGCGTTACCATGGCAGCGGTGCTGAACAGAAGTTAAGGCCTGGAAACGGAGGAAAAGCAACACGTCTCACCTTTTTCTCCTTCGTCTCGCTCTAATAATGAAGCTGAGAGCTGATCAGAGTTAATTATCTTCAGCGAAGCTCGTTCTGCTCGTTAGTTTGTGCTGATGATGCTCGTGATTCATTCACGTGATGTTACTGAGTAGGATGTGCTCATGAGGGTCATTTCAGGACGCCGGTTCGTTCACATTAATGACAGATTTGAATCACTTACCTAAACGAGTGTGAACCATTGTGTCAGAGATCGGACTTGAGCAAAAAATCGGATTTGAGCAACGAGGCTTGTAATGTGAATGTAGCCCAAATGTTCTCTGAAGGGTTTAAATCTGGACCTAAACCATCAGTAAAAACCATAATTTTTACAGACTTGGCCCATTTTTTTGCATGAGAATGTATATCATCACTGTCAGAACAAAACTTATTTTCTCCATTTTTTAAATAATTTGAAAATGCCATTTCTGACGGGTTAAAGTTTCGTGGCGAATGGACTTGTAGAAATGCTCCAAAATTCTTTAGAAAAACAAATTTTGTTCTATTATCTTCAATTCAAAGTTAAGAGCATTCTTTCCACCTCCTGTTAGCATTTTGGAGATTAGAGGTTTTCTCATAGAGAAACACTCCTGTCACTACTGGAACACAGTATTTTTAGTTTTAGTCTGTAGGTGGAGCCTTATTTTAGCCACACCCCTGCATTTTAGAGCAGGAAGTGAGGCTGCATCCCTGTCCCTCATGGCCACATAGTAAGCAGTTAAATCCCACTGTTTTGAAGTAAATGTGTCCCAAAATTTGAAAATCAGTGTGTAACATTAAGAACTGTCACTACTGAAGCATATTTTCTGTAATTAAGTCAACTTTTCCAAGTTTTAATGAAAAATATTATGAGTTTTTATGTGTACAACTGTTCAAAGCTGTGTTTGCTAGTCATGTACTGGCAGTTTTGAGTTCTGCTCAAAATTAGCTAAAATTGTCACTACTGAAACGGTCACTACTGAAACATTTGATTTTTCGGTAATGTTATGGTTATTTTGATAGTGACAAAATGGAGTGTTCAATCTTCTGTTTTAATAAAGATTATGAAGATAACAAAGAAAAAGGGTTTTAGTATAAAGTGCAAGTTAGTTAAAAGTGTGAAATGAGGTTTGAACTCTGACTTTGAACCAGTTTGGTAAAATGATCCATATAAAACAGAACAAGACTAATTATACTTACCTATAAGTTCTAATATGTAAGTTAATATACAAAACTCCCATGTATTTTTAGTGCAGTATTTTGGTCTGAGCTGTAAGAATATATCTGTAGTAGATTTGAGTGGAGAGCATCGTGTTTTGTAGATCTAAAAACTGACATGAAATTGCTGAAATGAGTCACAGTGTGACTTCTAGGACTTTCCATATGACTTTTATGACTTTCAGTTTTACTTCTAGACGCCTGTCATGTGAACAAATTGTGAAACAGCTGGGTTGCTAGCCACTGGTCTGCGTGTCCATGTTGCAAACTCACCTCTTCATGGTTTTACTCTTCTGTTGCAACAGGAACTTCACTGTTCTTCAAGGGTGTTAAGTCTTTAGGAAGATGAAATAAGCACACAGAACAGTTTAAAAAATAAGAATCAAGCTAAAATGGTAGTTTTTCAGGGAGACTGAATCAGTCGTTATAAGCTTACCTTCAAAGTCAGCAAAGATGATGAGGTCATCATTTTTTAGGTAGTTCCGTCGGCGTAAGTCAAAGTGTTTGATGAAATTCCTCCAACCTCTGGATTCACCTCTGTAGCACTGGCAGGTGGGGTCATAGGTCCCAACCTTTGTTGGATTGTCCCAAAGCAAATTCCCATCAGTAGCTGAGAGAAGAAAAATTGGTTAACAAGCTCTGGACATGATTTCTATAGATGACAACAGTCTCGTCACACCCTACATAAAATAATAAACCAAATAATACACATTCACCCTTTAGACCTACGTAACTTACAGGGGCATAATGATACATATGTTTTCATATTTGATATGATTTACTTTGAGTTTTTATATGTAGAACATGTTTTGATTCTACAGACCTCTAACTCTATATCACACAGATCCCTCCAAACGGCAACCCTTAAGATTTATCAGCAGCTTCAGATAAAATCCTGGTTACTTGAGTGTGAGGGTGTACATAGCATGTGATACAGTTTCAAATTTTGATCCGATTTTTTTTTTTATATTGTACCGAATAACTTACATGTGCATTTTATAGCAGTTACCAAATAATTTGCAGCAGGTACTGAATAATCTGTCCTAGGATTAATAACTGATAAAAAAGCCTCAGGTTTAACATTTAACCCTTGTGTGGTGTTGATGTGTTTGTTACTCAGTGGTCTGGTGGACCCACCACATTATTTATTTAAATCAATACAGCCATAATAATTTATGTAAAAATACCAGATGTTTAAAGTATCATAAGTGTCCAGTGTAGGGTTCTCCTTTAGCAGCTGTAGCCAGTCAGCAGCCTGTCCATGTTGTCCACCCTCACACACACTAACAGCAGGCCATGTAGGAGGAGAACAGAGTGAAGGACACAGCACCTCCACACTTTTACTCCCCGCAGGTTCACCCAACACAACATGTGTAATATAAATGTGTGGGGGGTGAACAGAGTGAAGACACTGAAAATGGGTTATTTTATATGTTCTTCACAGAAAATGAGCAAAGGCCAAGAATCTGAGGGTGAAATAATAATAAATCACATTTTTTTCTTTCTGTAAACATTGAAAATGGTGTCCCACAGACCTGAACACCACACAAAAGCTAAAGGTTATTGCCAGCCAAAGCAAAAACCTGTTGTAGTGTTATATTAGTTATTTCTTGCTTGCAGCTTATTGAAACAAGTGTGTTTCAATTTTTTCTGTCACTACCACAGTGGTACTCTTAAGCAACAAAGAAAACTTTTTATTATGGTATGAATTTGATGAAGATTTACTGCAGTACACACAGTCTTCTTGTGTGGGGAATAAAAAAAAAATCATTTTTACCATGTTTTTGCTGTTGATATCAAAACCAAAAATCTAAATAAATCAGAAGTGCACAATTAACCTCTCAGTAGAAAATCTAAATTAAATGTAAATGTAATTTATTCTATATCTTACTATGTAATTAATGATGTATTTATGTTAATATTTAAAAAAAATACAGCAAATGACAAAAATAACCACATCTCAGGATAAAGGGGCCAAAGAATGAGCTCAAGGGGCCTCAGAGATAAGCGAAAGCTATACCTGTTGTAAGGTCTGTGGTGAGACTTCGAGCGGAGGACATCCTCAGTTTGATGTCTGGATCCTGGTCCATTACTACTAAAGTAGCCTGGCGGTCCACAGCTGGCCACTGCATGACCACATCATTCTCCCCACTGGCCAGATGGAAGTAGAGGCCAGTGTAGTTGCCGGTGTAATCAGTGTGGCTTGAAAGAGGGTACACGCGGACACCAAACGCATAGCCTTCAGGGCTGTAGAAGCGCGGGCTGTCCAAGAAAGTGTCGTGATTTGCAGTCTCCATGATTTGAGAGAAGTTCTGGATGCGCCAGACAGCGGAGGGGCAGCGTGTCTCAGACAGGCTGATGTCGTCTATGAATATGCCCCCTCCGGAATTAGCAGGGTCCCCCTTCACTGCCTGAAAGGCATAACGGAATTTCACTCCAACTTCCAAAGGCACGTGAATAATCTTCCAGGACTTATCATCATCAGCTAAAGAAAGACAACACAGAGCTGATATCAAACATGTTTGGTGACACATATACACTGAATTTCCAGTTAGTTAAGTACAACTACACTCTCAGAAATAAAGGTAGTAAGCTGTCACTGGGGCAGTGCCCCTTTTGTCACTGGGGTGGGACCCTCAAGGGTCCATCTCAGTACCTTTAGTCAGGGAACATAACTGAACCATAATCCACTGAAATGATATGTTCTAAGCTGTACTGACTCCACACACCCCGTCTCGTCTCCAGGACTTTATTTTACTGTTCTGTTTTAAAACATTCGGTTATGAAAAGGTACAAATACGAACTTTTCACCTGGAAAAACTTATTTAAGGTTCACAATCTGACCTTAAAACCACTGTTGTACCTTTGAGGGCACATTTACACTGTTTGTACCTTGATGAACGAAAAATGTACCTGAACAGAACCTTTATTTCTTACAGTGTACATTCACACTGGCAGAAACAGCTACCATACAGGTTTGTAGGTGTAAAATTACTGACTGAAGCTCATCTGTTCCCGCACAATTTATCAGCACTCCTCTACCAGGTTTATCAATGGAAAGGGGACCACCGCAGGACCACCGCAGGACTACTCTCAGCACAGCAGTGATACTGACACAGAGTTGCAAATAAATCTTTTTGTGTCACATCTTTAAAAACACTTCTAAAACGAGTTTACAGGAAACTTTGATTTGCTTTGTTTCATTCAGTGGCTGTATTTTACATCATAAGAACGCAGAGTCAGACCGCACTGCCAAACGTAACAGGAACTTTTGCCAACAAAACTTTGATAAGATAAAAAGTAAACTTTAATTTCTTCATTTAAGCAATAGAACACAAGAGGGAGTGTGTTATCGCGAAATAACATCACGGCTGTGATTTGGTCGCTGTAGATCATCACAGTCGTGATGTTATTCGTGATAACACATGACCTCGAGTGTTTTATTGCTGTTATATAACAGTTAAATGAATAATGTAAGAAATTAATAAACTGGGCTGTGAACGTGGCGTTTAATATGTTTTAATGTTCGCAATTCCTTCACCAAATTATAGTTCCTTAATAAGCAGCTTGTTGCTACGTCAGAGTAATGAACTCCGCTCACTCGCTGCACAGCCAGCAGTTCGTTCTCCAGCTCCTCACACTAAATTCCCAAACTGTCATCACCACTGAGCAGCTTTTTTGTTTTTTATTGCGGCAGTTTTATGGCTCAGTCCAAGTTGGTCAGACTCTGAAGATCAGACTACACGTTTGGCGAATGGTATTGGGTTCATTTCTGGCTGATTCCAGGTTGTTCAGCTGTTCTTCTGTCACAGCTGCCGACTGAAAAGCTGCTCAGTGGTGATGACAGTTTGGGCATTTAGTGTTGTCTCATCTTCAGAGTCTGACTAAATCGGCTGTCGGTCAAATGTGACCTTAAAAGTGTCCATTTTCTGTTTGTGGCAAAGTAAGAAGTAAAAACGTTCAAATGTCTTGAGCGTCTCCTACAGCTGTCAAAGTCATTGCTTAGCAACAGCGTCTCAGCAGAGTGATACAGTGTTTGTGAAAAAAACGTGATGTTATGGCGAAATAACAGCACGGTTAGAACGCTGCTCAACCAATCAGCTCGCGTGGCCAGAACTAACTGTTGTATAATAGTCCACTAACACTTGCTGCCTTTCATTATGTTTAGTTGCTATAATCAGGCCAAAACAGAAACACCTGATCAGTCATATGACTTTTTATACACATTTATAGTATTTATTGTGTAAATTCCATCATAATCTATCATGCTTCTTTTTTAACTGACAAAAATGATCCACTTCAAGGATCAATACAAGCAGTCTTAGGATATTATTTGATATTTGCTGTTTCCATCAAGTCTTTTTTATTTGATACGGAAATCATAAACCTCTTCTGGACTCCAGCCATCCAGGACCAGAACTGAATACTGCTGGATTTGTGGACAACCAACACAAAGTGTGCATGGAAAAAGGCTATAGTTTGTCTGTAGCTGTGCGCCTACAGCCGTATGCAAACGTTTGGGACCCCCTGGTCAAATGACATGTTTTGTTGATTTTCTAAGTGAAAATAAGTTAATACATCCTCTACAGAGAACACATTTTAATTACTGTTAATTTGACATATTGGGGGGGAGAACATAAAATGTGTTCTGTGCGAAAGTTATGGCACAATTTATAGCTGATGTATTTCCAGTATGTTAAACTCAGCAAATAAAGAGAAATTTTGCTGTGATGTTATTTTCACTCAGAGAACCAACAAAACATGTTATTTGCTGGGAAGGAACTCGGATTTTGCATAAAACTGTACACGGTGGAACAACAGGGTAGGTGTTGCAAATAAAGTGGTCAGTAAGTTTCCACAGTGTTTAAAAATCCTAACACAGCCCTATGTGACCAACTAAAGGCTAACTAAAATTGACCGGATGGGTTGTGTAGCACATAGTAAGAGCTAAAGTGAGAACATGATATGATCATGATATTTCTACCTCTTCACATACTGGCTACTTTAGAGCTGAAAGATGGGAGGTGAAATAGGCTGTAAACATAAGCTGAGGAAATAGACTATTTCATTTGTCTGTTCATCTAAAGGATCGACTGCCTTTCTTGGTGTAAATTTCAAGCCACTTTCATGTCATCTACTGTCAGTGTTTGTGGTCTCAATTTGGGTTTAATTTAATACTGTAATAGCAAAATTCTGAGTGGTGCGCTGTGACACACAGAGGAATCAAACATTGCTCAGAGTTGCTGAGCCTTATCATGCATATCACCACCGGTGTGAGCACCTTCATTAAAAATCTGTGTCACTGCAGCTAAGAACGGTCCACCACCCAATAATATGGTCAGTGGTGGTCCTAAGATGGTCCCTTTCTGTGGATGGGCCTGGTAGAGGAGAGCTGATAAACACACAAAAGACTGGCAACTCAGTGAGCATAGATAAAACATCATGCTGGTCATTTTATGAGTGAATCATAAAGCAAAGTCATATGTATGTATATCATGTGTGCTACATAAGTACCCCAAATTGTGTGCACTTTCTTTGGTTTGCGCACTGTCCCTGTTCCATCGTCCATCTTGACCCAGATGACCAGCCTGTCTTTTGAGCTGCCAGTCATTTTGTAGAAGAACTGAAGACACTGAAGCTTCCTTTTAGGGTAAAGTAGCCGGGACTCCAGCATGGCAGACTCTCCTGCCGTTCCAGCCGCAGTGTCAAAGTGCATGGTGTATCCTGCATCTGGAAACAGAAGATGTGAGCTAATGTTAGTAAAAACCAACAAGGACCAAGCACTGGAAATTCATATGATAGCCGGTGATGAGTACTGACCCCTACACCGTCCTATAAGAGTGTGGTCTTCAGAGCCAGGGGTGCTCTCTGTGTGGACCCAGTCTCCATCATCTCCAGAACCCTGGATCATGCCGCATATATTGATGTATTCAAAAGTGCACTGGTCCAGCAAGGTCAGGGTGGAAGCTGAAAAAAAAATATTTTCATATATACAGATCAGGCATAACATTCTGACCACCTCCTTGTTTCTACACATATTGTCCATTTTTCAGCTCCACTTACTATATAGGTGCACTTTGTAGTTCTACAGTTACAGACTGTAGTCCATCTGTTTCTCTGCATACTTTGTTAGCCCCCTTTTACCCTGTTCTTCAGTGGTCAGGACCCCCATGGACCCTCACAGAGCAGGTACTATTTGGATGGTGGATCATTCTCAGTACTGCAGTAACACTGACGTGGTGGTGGTGTGTTAGTGTGTGTTGTGCTGGTCTGAGTGGATCAGACACAGCAGTGCTGCTGGAGTTTTTAAACACCTCAGTGTCACTGCTGGACTGAGAATAGTCCACCAACCAAAAATATCCAGCCAACAGTGTCCTGTGGGCAGCGTCCTGTGACCACTGATGAAGGACTAGAGGATGACCAACACAAACTGTGCAGCAGCAGATGAGCTATCCTCTCTGACTTTACATCTACAAGGTGGACTGACAAGGTAGGAGTGTCTAATAGAGTGGACAGTGAGTGGACACAGTGTTTTTAAAACTCCAGCAGCGCTGCTGTGTATGATCCACTCAGACCAGTGCAACGCACACTAAATACCACCGCCACGTCAGTGTTACTGCAGTGCTGAGAATGATCCACTGTTTTTCAATACGTTAAATTCAGCAAATAAAGTGGAATTGCAGAAAAATGCCATATTTAAGATTTCAATAAGTACAGTATGTGCACTTATTTTCATGTAGAAAATCAACAAAATACAATATACAGTCTGTCTTGTACCATATACAGCAAATAGTAACATGTTGGGATTGTAATTAGATTGGGGTGCCAAACTTTTGAATCCATTGCAGTTATTTGAGTGGACAGCAGTTTTTTCGTTTTCACAGTCGTATGTTCACATTAACCGTAACCCTATCTGGACTAAGCGGTGAATGATGATGAATGAATGTTCACATTACAGGAAACCGAATGCAAACTGACCATGTTTTGGTCTGTTGGGTTTAGACAAATAGATGTAAATAAACAGACTGCAGAAAACACTTTAATTAGAGATATTGTGGGTCTTATGAAAAAAACAGAAGTTTTAACTTCTGACTGATGCTATAACACTAATTAGAATTAAGTATATACATATTTACGTATATATATATATATATATATATTCATAATTGAGTATTTTCCCACTTCAGGCATTTGGAAAGTTATTTTTAAAGTACTTAGTATTCTTTACTTTTGGTAGTGGAAATAATAATCATCACTTACAGCAGTTATACATTTTATTCAGTCTCACGATGTCCTGTTCACTGAAGTCCAGGTACTGCCCGATGATGTTGAAGAACTCTGGGATGTTGGTGGTGATGGTGGGGATGTTGGGGTCTTTGTTGAAGGCAAACGGCCTGTAGTGCATGACTGACTCGTAGTCATATGCAGTGTTCATATCAGTCACAAAACTGTCATCGTATTTGTTGAAGTTGTGCTGCAGGCCTGAAAACGCAGACACGGCACGGCTGTAGTTGATGCAATATTATTTACATTTAAAAACCACTGCAGAGTAGTGGCTCTGTGTGCCCTGCAGCCATATTATTCAAAAGGAAATTCCACTTTTTAATGTCTTCATAATTCAGTTGTTCAGATGTGAACGGAATCATTCAGAGTGGTTTGATGTGAAATGCTCTGTTCTAGAAAAATTTCAGTCAGAATTGTTCACAGTGGTGGTGATAGGAACCAGACATACGAAGAGTTTAATGCCTCTAAAAATCTAGATATCTATTACATTAAAAGTTAATGAATACACTGTCTGATGCTTGAGATATTGTTTTATGATAGTTTTGTGGGAAGTGTTGGGCCTAAACCGTCATTTTTAAAACACATTCATGGTGGAGAGGCACAAAAAGGTTGTTCCAAGGCAAACTAGTCCCCAAATATATATATATTACATATCGTTGCTGTCCAAAGAAAAACAAGTATCTCCAAAAAATGTATCGCAAAAAATGGAGATATATGTTTTTCATTGGACAGCGACGATATAAAATTGATTCACTGGTCATTTTAAACAGCAAATAAAATGGCCATACTTGCGTTGGGGATATTATGACCCCCTGGTTACTATCACCACCGTCTCTACAAAGCACCATTTCACATCAAACCACTCTGAAAGACTTTGTTTACACCTCAACAATTGAACTATACAATTATTATTTTGGAAAAATCAGTGGAATTGCCCTTGCCGTTAGCCTAATATGGAGACTAGCCAGCTTTCCCTGTGTACTGCATACAGCACCCCTCACTCAGCCAGCTGCTTAAGGAGATGCTGTAGTCAGCCTACAAGCCGTGAGGCTCCACAGCTAAAACTGATATTATATATATATATATATATATATATATATATATATATATACACACTGAAACTGTCAGTAATCTTAGTTATACCATCATATACATTTTAGCCCATATTGCTCACTACTAGCCCATATATGGGGCTGCATTTCAGTTTTGAATTTTAATGTAGTTGCTGAAGAATTTATAACATTCAAACTCAATAACAGGCCAGTTTCCCAGATCCAGTTAAAGATTAAGCCTAGACTAAAAAGAATTTCCAGTGTTAACAATTGGCACTGCAATTTAATCCAAGACTAGGCTTGATCCATGTCTGGCAAACCGGTCTGATAAGTCTTAATAACTGACCAGAAAGCCCAGGGTTCAAGAAGAGTTAAGTCTATGCTTAGGCTTAATCAGGGAAATAAGCCCTTTCATACGCAAAATCAGTGCTTAGGAGTTTACCATCAGTGACTTGGTCCAGCCAGATCTTCACATAGTCATCTCGATCCTGGCGCGACTGCATGTGGTAAAAGCCCAGCGCGTGCAGCAGCTCATGCTCAACTATAGCCTTATGGTCACAGCCTGACCCCAGCGAGAGCACCTGCCCACTGGGCTGCATCCCCACACTTGAAAAGCACCTAGACGCAATAGTAATGACAGGAACATTTAGTATAATGCAGTACAGTACACTCTCAGAAAATAAAGGTAGTAAACTGGGGCAGTGCCCCTCTTGTCACTGGGGTGGGACACTCAAGGGTACATCTCAGTACCTTTAGTAAGGGAACATAACTGTACCATAATCCACTGAAATGATATTTTCTAAGCTGTACTGACTCCACACACCCCGTCTCACCTCCAGGCTTTTATTTTATTGCTCTGTTTTAAAACATTCGGTTATGAAAAGGTACAAATACGAACTTTTCACCTGGAAAAACATATTTAAGGTGCACATTCGGACCTTAAAACCACTGCTGTACCTTTAAGGGTACATTTTTACTTTGTTTGTACCTTGATGAACGGAAAATGTACCTGTACAGAACCTTTATTTCTAACAGTGTATATAATGAATACAACACAATCATTACACTATACATCAGCACAATATGCAGCCTGTTCTGTGCTACATACAGTAAACAGCAACATTTGGGATGGCTGCGTGTAACATGTTAGAGCTGAAACACTTACCCGTCTCGTTTCTCAAATATGACGTACGCCTTTTCCCCTTCATAAGGCTTAAAGTCAACACAGGACTTGAGCCGATACACTTCAAAAGCTTGAAAGATCGTTCCTTTAGCATTCAGGTCTGGAGCAGTCGGACAGAAATAGAGCGTTAAAGTCTTATAGTAAATCATAGAAAACAATAAATAACCACAAACTCCTGTCATCTATCATATCAGGTGGTTTAGTTATAGATAGTACTGTGCAAAAGTCAGAGACCACTCTTCATTTTATTTCCAGTCAAAATGGCCATTAAATACCAGTTACGGAGATATTTCTGAGGAGTTCAGATATAAGATAATCCACTTGCATAAGAAAGCGGAAAGTCAAAGGAACTGAATGAAAAATAAAACTGGAATTCAAAAAAATGGGAAAATAAGACTCCTAACAAGACCTTGTAGACCACCACAGCGGTCCCCATCAGATAAACAGCACTTAAAGCTTTCATCTCTGAGAGAGAGGAGAAAATCAAGCTGCTTCAGATCTGAAAACATCCACAGGTGTTTCTGTCCATCCTTCCACCGTGAGAAGACGACTCAGCGCTGTGGGTCTGAAAGGATGTGTAGCTGTCAAGAAGAACCTCACTGAGAAAAGGAGACGGACACACCAAACAAAGAAGCTGAACAATGGACTGACCACCCCAGAGTCCAGACCTCAACACCACTGAATGTGTTTGTGATTATTTGGATCGTGAGAAGCAGAAACTGCAACCAACTTCTGAGACTGAACTTGTTAAAAATATCCCTGCAGATTTCTTGGGAAAACTGAAAGCAACCAAAAAGAATGGAAGCTGTATTAAAGGCAAAGAGTGAACACACTAATACTGAAACATGTGATATTACATTAAACTGTTAATTTTCTGTTACATAAATGTTTCTTTTTTTTCCTGAGGATGAAAAACGAATAACTTGCACTTAATGGCCATTTTGACTGGAAATGATGTAAATGAAGGGTGGTCTCTGACTTTTGCACTGTACTGTATGTCTCACCACAGAAGTAAATCATGTTAATATTATCCTGACCCACCAAGGCTGTCGGACAGAATGTAAGGGATAGGGAACGTCCATCTGTAAGCGGTGTTGATCAGAGCATTTCGTCCAGGCTGTTGACAATGAAAGGCACAGTCAATCATACACGTAACAAATTCTAAATACACTACAGCATGTTTCATTTATGTTTTGTAATAGATTGGCCTTGTATTCCAATATATTCCATTTTTATACTGGTACAAGATTTTAAAACGAAGTGGTGAGATAAATAAACTTAAGCACCCAGTGTACATTAAAAATAGCACATGTACTCACAGGAAGAACAATATCTCCCTCAATCAAGGGGGTCTTTGCACCTGTTAGCCAAAACAGAGACATTTTCATAAACCAATATTATTAAACCTCCCTAACATTTTGCCATAATCTTCAACCAACTGTGGTGCAGATGTTTCACATCTTTTTAACGTTTAAAACAAGGTTTACATTCAAGGAAAGTTGTATAAGCTCACCCAGGTTAATGAACGGATTATCATTCAGCTCATCTTCCACCTCTGTGAAAACAAACAGCTCAATGCATCTTATTTTCACCTCATATGTAGTTTATAAACAGGTGCACATACACTAGTGTTCAAACGTTTGGAATTGATGTTCAACAGTTTGAAATCATTGGGCCTCAATCACCAACCGTTCAATTTCTTATTAAAACCCCCATTTTGATGAAGATTCTGACTTTCACCAGTTTTCTTATTTGGTATTTGTTCTTAGGTAACAACAGAATCTACACACACTCAAGAGCACAAAGGTGCCAGCAATTCTGCGGTTCAAGAACACGTCGTGAATCAGACGTAGACTTTTTCTTGGACCTTTCTCAAGAACACATTTAAGGAAAAACTTGAGGCTCAATGATTTTCAGAATTATACGACCAACTTTGGCTGCAGATAAATGTATAAAAGGATTCTAATGCGCCCGTCCCGTTTAACTAGAGACTCAGAAGCTGTAAATAAAAAAAGAAAATGTGTTCAGAATGATAAATGAGTGTGTAAAATATCCTAAAATGATTAGCATTGAGGATTAAGCTATAATTAAACTGATAGCCAGAATTCATCATGAAAGTAGAGATCCAACCTCAAGACAGACAACACAAAAAAATGAAATGAAATAGATAATTATAGTATTTAATTTATCATCTTATTAACTTCTTGCTCACATGTTTAGTGGTGGGCTGGAAGTTAGGTAACCAGCCCTGAAGGTTGCCAGTTTGATCCCCTGAGCCGACAGTATGTGACTGAAGTGTCCTTGAGCAAAGTACCTAACCCCCAACTGCTCCCTGGGTGCTGCGGATAGGGGTGCCCACTGCTCCGGGCAAGTGTGCTCACTGCCCCCTAGTGTGTGTGTGTTCACTAGTGTGTATGTGGTGTTTCACTGCACGGATGGGTTAAAATGCGCAGGTGAAATTTCCCCGTTGTGGGACTAATAAGGGTCACTTAAGTTGAAATACTAGATAAAACATCTAAAAATACCTTTTGGTGAATAGATCATAATATTTAAATCCACAATGTAAGTTATTATTGTATAGAAAATTACAAAAAGTAAACATGACAAGACTTATAGATTTGAGCTCTGACTCACCGTGCACTCGAGATGATACTGGAATCTATAAATAAAAGTATTAAAGTATTTAATGTACTAAATGAGACAAAGCAATGCAGACATATGTATTTACTGCAAACATCAAAACAGAATAGAATTTGGTTGCTTACTGCAGAGGAGGCGGCCCCTCCGGCCAGCCCGGTGATGAAGAGAAGCCCAAGCAGGTGCATACTGAGTGTGCAGCAGGGAGAAGTTCTGCGCCGGCTTAAATGGTGTGGAGAAAGAACTTTGACCGTGTTTATGTTAGTTATGGCCCTCAGAGTGCTGAAAGGCCTTGAAGCGAGTCGGTGCAAAAAGTGGCATCATTTTATGACCCCAGAAACACGTGTTTCACCGAGTGCTTTAACATCAGCGCCGGGCTACCTTCACCACAGCGTGCGGCACAGCAGTGCCCCCGCCAACCACGACTGACATCAGACTTCACACATCAGGCTTCAACTTTATGCAGTTTGACCCAAATAAATAAATAAATAAAAAATACTGCATTTGCGGGTAGTTCCTTACAGACAGGTGCTAAAGTTCAGTAACAACAACAAAACAGAAACAAAGCAGAACAAATGAAAGCTGAGAGTATTACCTGAAATAAACAATAACATTTGATACAATTAAAAATACAAAAAGAAAGAAAGATTGCGATAATAAGCTTAATGAAAGAGTGACAGAAGTGTGGAATGCCACCACACTTCATTTATTTAATGTCCACTCAAAATGGCCATTAAGTATAAATTTATTCATTTTTTAGCTTCAGGAAGAGAAGCAGAAAACATATGTAACAGAAAATTACACAGAAGCCTCAACAACTAAGCAGAATGTGTCAAATCTTTGTCTTTATTCCAGCTTCCATTCTTTCCAGGAGACTCGCTTTCAGTTTCTCAAAGTAGTCTGCACATCCCCAAAGTTCAGTCTTAGAAGTTGGTTGCAGTTTCTGCTTCTCATGATCCAGTAATACCAAACACATTCAGTGGTGTTGAGGTCTGGACTCTGGGGTGGTCAGTCCATCGTTCAGCTTCTTTGTTTGGTGTGTCCGTCTCCTTTTCTCAGTGAGGTTCTTCTTGACAGCTACACATCCTTTCAGACCCACAGCGTTGAGTCGTCTTCTCACAGTGGAAGGATGGACAGAAACACCTGTGGATGTTTTCAGATCTGAAGCAGCTTGATTTTCTCCTCTCTCTCAGAGATGAAAGCTTTAAATGCTGTTTATCTGATGGGGGCAGTTTTGGGGTCTACCAGGTCTTCCACAGTTGTTAAGTCTGATTTTCTCTGAATCTTTTAATCACTTTTTGACCTCCAGATTTTTTCTTTTGACTTTCTTGTACCTTATGCAAGTGGATTGTTTTATATCTCATCAGAAGAAAACCCTGAAAAATGAATAACTTGTACTTAGAGGCCATTTTGAGTGGAAATTGAGTAAATGAAGGGTCTTTGACTTTTGAACAGCACTGTACATTTTCAAATGTTTCGTAAAAGTGAGCACTGAGCTTGACTGTCTGATAAAAGGTGGAATTGAGTTCCACAGTTTAGAACGTAACAAGAGTCTCTCCTCATTTTCTGTAGTAGATCTAAGATCTTGTGTGGGAATATAAACAGACAGACACTCTGTCAGGTACACAGATGCTTTAGAGCCTATTAGATCCTTAAAAACTAGTAAAAGAACTTTGAAGATACACATAACCAGTGTAGTTCTTCCAAAACAGGGGTGATTTGAGCTCTCTTCCTTTTTTTAGTTAGGATCTGTGCTGTTTCATTTGTAGAAGATGTATTACTTTCTCAGGAAGCCCAGAAAAATAGCATTGAAGTGGTAAAAAAAAGCTATATTTATTATTTTATTTTAATGTTTATCTCATGTGCAATGACCAACCATTCTGTCTTTTCTATATATCTACATTTACACATCCACTTATTTATTTTATCTCTTCTGAAGCTGTATATTCTTTTATACTGTAATGCTACCATGGAAACAACTCAATTTCCCATCAGAGATTAATAACATTACATACTATATAGAATTAATGATTTAAAACCATTAAAAATATTACATATATCATAGATATGTTTGCACATATGTGTAGAAATAAATAAAAGTACAATGAATTTTCACTTTATTATTATTATTATTATTATTATTATTATCTTTAATTTATCCCTATTTTATGTATGTCTTAATTTCTAGGTTCTTATTCTGTTTTCGTGTTTCTTTTGCCAGCCTGTAATGACAAACTGTGCCACTTGGGGAGCTGTTGCGCACTCTTAGGCTGAATCGCAAATGTCTCCGTACTCCCTACGTAGTGCACTACGTAGGCTATAAAATAAGGGCATCTGCTCCCAAACACTGCGATATTTTACATTATATATTTCATAGAAAGCCGTTTCAATTCTGCTAGAAGCTGCACGACTCTTTACCTAACATTTATCGCTCTATTGTGGTACAGAATCCAAAGTTTCCCGACCTGTGCGGCGCACTTGGTAGGGAGTACGGAGCCATTTGGGATCCAGCCGCGGTCTTTCATTCCACCAGTCACCAACCACACCGGAACTATGGCAGGGCAGCTAAGTTGTGGTGCAGCTAGGTTATGTGAGCTGTTGGGTAGGACAGAGCTGGGTTTCACTCTGACTGCAGCCCGGGTCTATGTTTAATTTTGGTAGGATTGTACAGGAGCCGCTGGTCAAGAAGATTTATGAGTGGTCGCTCTTAATCTCAGGTAAAGTAAGGACTTTTATCTGACCTGTCAATCTATCAGGAGCTAACGTTAGGTTAAGTTACTGGCTAGCTTATCTGGGTAAACGTTAAAGCTATGCTGTCGAGGCTTTTTTGAAATGGATAAAAAACATTATTGCCAACTTTTTTAGCCTAACTGGCTCTATTTCTGAACTAGCAGTGATGTTTGAATGTAATAAACGTTTATCTGGTTGTTCGCTGGTTTCACTGGTGGCGGTCAGATGTGTTGAACTGTCCTCACATCACAAGAGCCAAGCGGTCACGTTGACACTGTTTACTGAAGTCCCAGAGACGGTTAAATCTTGGGTTTGGCCCCTGAAATCTGGCTCTGTTGGTTATTAAACAAGCTGATTTAACACGGGCAGTGGACTTATCTTCATTCAGGCCACTGGAACAGACTAACATAGGTTAATTGTATGTGTTTTGTAATCCATTGCTTGCAAATTTTGAGTAAAGGAGAGAGTAGCATCACCCATGGTTGGCTATTTCACAAAGAAAGGCAGGATTTCTCAGTAAACTGGGTCATTTAAGCCAAAAGGTTGAAGACTGTCTAATAGCAATGCCCTCCAGCTCTTCTCCTGTCTGGTTTGTTCTTGTTCCAAGTCATCAGGCTAAACGAGAAACACTGCTTTGTGAGATAAACAGCCAGAACTGATCTCAGATCAGCACTTGTGGTCACTGTCACCTGATTCCACAGCAGCACCCTTACTGCTGAGGTGGTTTGTGAACACCACAGATCACGGCTAGCAGGCTGAGTTCAGCACACTGATCACTTGACAGAGGTTAATTTTGATGATGAGGCTGCATTTTCCTTTTGAGTCATGACATTATGGCTGTCTAACAGGGTTGAAGTGGTGCCATTTGTCATCTGTTGCAATGGGGAACGCCAGCTGCCATAACAACCACTTGGGAATACCTCCGGGAAAAGGGCCACATCAGGTGGGATGCGCAGACTTAATGGTGGGCCACACAGTACAGGTAAGTGAGTGAATGAATGAATGAATACCAGCAACGTGTCTAAAGGAAATCATGATACTATGAAAACAATGAGCTGTTCTGTGAGGCTGTTTAATATGATTGCGAAAGATCAGTGATATCACCAAGAAGGCATTTGGAAACTGAACAGGGAACAGACTTTTTAACTTTTTATGTAATTATTATTCCGTTGCCTCTGAACCACCGTGAACTTTTACCCGTAATTGAGTACAGCCTAGGATAAGGTCAGGGTGTTGCTGCATCCCATTATGACTCAGTGAATGGGCACTTGTGTGACACTTGCTCATTTTTCTACGTACACATTAAAATGTAATCGCCAGCTGTCTTTTTCAAACCAGAAATCCATCCATTCGCAGGGAACTTTCTTCAGGTTATACTATCCGTGCCAAGCTTCCGAGGGTTCCGAAAAGCCGGACTGGATTCCATGCCGGGAATACTTCAACGGCCTCGCAGACTTCATGAAAATGAGCAGAACGCTGAGCGAACGAATTTTCAACTACCTCTTTGGTAAACTCTCCTCGTACACCTTCAGCTACCCTGCTATTATTTAGGCTTGCAAGGAGAAAATGAATTGTAATCTGCAGTTCCAGCTAATATTCGGTCATTACAGACCTATGTATGATTTACAGTATGACTTAAAAGTTTGTTTTTCCTCTGGAAAAAGGGTCGTACAAAATCCCAGCAGCGTGGAACGCATCTTTTAAGCCAGATGGAAAATACCCAGTAATCATCTTCTCCCATGGGCTGGGAGCTTTCAGGTACATTTCATTGAAAACAGCTCCTGTTTAAAGACCTCTGACCCTGTAGTTGCCTGCAGTCACCCATGGAGTTGTCCGTGTTGTATTTTACAGGACATTGTATTCAGCCATATGTGCAGAGCTGGCCTCACAGGGCTTTGTTGTCGCTGCAGTGGAACACAGGTTTGTCCCTTTTTAAACTAGGATTTGAACACAAAGTCTTTCTAACTGGACATGTGTATGGTCGAGGCATGGGGTTAGAGATCATCGTTGACTGTAAATGGACGTGCCTAACAATAGAAAAGGACGCCTGCTAAATGAACTGTTCTGTGTCAGTGAGATGCTGATTATGTCATAGTAAGTGTGTGAGAAGTGTGTGGACAATAGTACGAACTAGGTCATCACATTCTTATCAGTATGCTTTGGTGTGACCATATGAAAAGCATGGCCAAGCTGTAGAGTCATTGTAGATCTGGGGACTGAAAGTGGCATCAGACAGTTTTTAGTAACACTTTACCTTAGGGTACTGCTCATAAGGCTTTATGACACCTTCATAATGCTGTTGTCGGAAGAAAACCTCGTAAACTTCACAGAAGAAGGAAAAAAAAACTACTTTACTTTCAATGTAAGTCAATGGAACCAGACGTTTTTCCAAGTCGTTCTGGCCATTTCTTTTGATCCATACATCATGAAATTTATACAAAACATAAAGGGCCACAGGCATGTTCAAATAAGCACCAAAAATGGAGATATGAGGTTTCCTTCAGCAGTAGTGATAAGCTTCTTATTACAACTGACATAACTCTACATAAATGTTCATTAAGCTTATTCCAGTAAGTGTAATTTGCTATAAAGGTTACATTTACCAGTTTTGATCAAAGTTAGCTAAAGTAGTCTTTATGACAAGAGGACACATAATGGAATAAGCATTTATAAACAATTATGTAGAGTTGTATCATTTGTCATGACAAGCTTATCACTGTTGGAACCAGTGGCATTAGACAGTTTTCAGTAACACTTTACTGTTGGGTACTGATCATAAGGCTTTATGACACCTACATAACTAGGTGGGGTCGATTCTTAGATGCATCGCGCAATGCAGACGTGGACAATTGTGAATCGATTCACTAAAGAAAATGTCAAAAATCGATTTTCTAAATTTTAATTTATAACATGATGTTGACGGAACGCAAAAGGTGGAACTTGGAAGTGTGGAAGTGCAGCGCCCGGACAGTCTGTGGCGGCACACAACAAAAACACTACTGGATGAGCGAGAAATCCGACCAGCTCCCTCTGCATTAAAGCCAGGTTAGGTCAGGAGTCTCAACACAAATGATAAGAAGAGCCATTTTGTCCTTTCCACCAAAATCAAACTACCTTGGGAGCCACAACATTTAATGTTCAGTATGTCTCAGTGTGTGTTAATGTAGTAGTATACGCTAAAAAATATAAACGAAAACGCTGATTTACTTTGCTCTGCTTTAGCATTAATAGCTTTAATTTCCTCCCATTTTCGCCAGGACACTTTTCCTCCAAAGTTAACAGTTTCTTGTAAAATGTCTCTCAACATTCGGCTGTCTAACGAGGCTGAAGTCGCTTCTCATTCTCCAGCTTCTTGTTTGAACTTTCCCGTTCCACCTTAAATTCTGCCTGAGGCACCAGAATGTAAATGCGGCACCATTTAAGGTGGAACGGGAAAATTCGAAAGAGAAGCGACTTCATCTTCACAAATCTTAAATCTGTCTCTTTGCCTTTTCGTTAGCGACTAGCTTGGCAAGACTGCGTTGCCATGTGACCTGCAGTCTGCACACCAGTTCTCAGTCATTAAGAACCAGGGCTTTCGCATTCATCATGTAATTTACACACAAAGTAAAGAGCAACAGGTTTTTTCAAATTGTCAAAAACTGAAAAGATGCAAGGTTTTGTTCCGACAGCAGCGATACGTAGATTTCATGTAGCCCAAAGGTGTAAGTAACGAATTACATTTACTCATTACTGTAATTGAGTAGTTTTTTGCGTAGAATTAAATCATAGTACTTTTACTCGAGTTAATTTTTAATGAAATACTTTTACTTCGCTATTTTAATTTTCATAATGTTACAGAGTAAAAATAAATTATGAGCACATCAGCTCAGTGCAGAGGTTGTTTGAGTCAAAATTGAGTAAATTGCTTAATTAATAATGTAATTTTAGTGAGTGTCCTGCTGCCCATCAGCTCCCTGGACTCTAGCTTACGTTAATAGGTGTGAACTTACAGACAGTAAACACATTCACAGCCTTCACACTGTATATTTTCACTGATATCTTTTCAGAACATTTCTACCATTAAAATCACTGTGTTGCTATGATTGACCGTGTGATTGTAGCCCTCTCGTTCAAATACAGCTCTTAAAGATCGTGTTTCATTGATGGCTCTCTTGATAAAACCAGTGTTATTTCCAGCTAATCCCATAGAGAACTGGTTTAGCATAGAGGTACGTACACTCTCAGGAAAAAGGGTATGAAACTGCCACTAGGGTGGGACCCTCAAGGGTCCATCTCAGTACCTTCAGTCAGGGAACATAACTGTACCATAATTCATTGAAATTATATTTTCGAAGCTGTACTGACTCCACACACCCCGTCTCGTCTCCAGCCTTTTTATTTTATTGTTCAGTTTTAAAATATTCGGTTATGAAAAGGTACAAATACAAACTTTTCACCTGGGAAAATGTATTTAAGGTTCAAAATTAGACCTTAAAACCACCTTTATTTGTATTTTTTAGTGTCTAAACTAGAGTCTAAAGTGTCCAGCATTTTACTGTTATCAGCCACATACTGTTACCTGCTATTGGATTGTTGCCATCTCCACTGAACATGTGCTGAGCTACAAGCTCAGACAAATCATTACAGAAACACTTTGATCTGGGGGAAAAAAGCTCCTTTTCTCTCCTCTTCAAACAGATAAGATGTTCTTGATAAAGTCTTGAAATTCGTGTATTGTATTAGCATGTGACGTCCTGCGTCACTGAATTCTGTAATCCCGTCATGGAAATATAGCCGTGCATCATTACAGTATTTTTCCCCTCAAGCAACTTTTTCCTTTTTTTCAGGGATGAGTCAGCCTCGGCAACGTTCTACTACAAGGAGAAGGGTGAGGCAGAACAAAGGCCTCATGCAGTGCATCAAAACTTCCGGCCCATATCTGACAACCTGGAGGAACAGTGGATGTACTACAGGGCGCTGAAACCAGGCGAGCTTGAACGTCCTCTAAGAAACAAGCAAGTGAGAGACTCACCACCTTATCACTGTTACAGAAAAACTAATTTCAGTCAGTTGTACTGTTGCTGTTGGCACAAGGGTCATATTGGTTATATGCTACAGACACTCTGGGGCTATTGCTCTTTCGTTAGCTTAGCAGCAGGTAAATCGCCAAACCGGTAACTTCAGGGGTTTAACATGCAGCTGCGTGTTAAATTAAACCTGACTGCTCTGTTAAAACAAGCACGAGTCTACCTGATCTACCACTAACCCCAGTGCTGGGCGATACAACCTCAAATTAGTATCACGATTAAATTAATGTTTTACCTCGATTACAATTAATGAACGATTTTGTTTTTGTTTTTTTGCCATCATAGTTCACTGACAAGGTTTGTACTGTAAATATGCTCTACATATTTAAATGTAAATCGTCTCAACAGCCAGATCAGAAATTATGCGACTTTCACGTCAGTCCAACTCAACGTTAGTCATAATTTCGCGCTGCTGAGACCTCAAACATTTGAGGTGATATTTCTGTACAAAAATTAGAAGAGACTCATCCAAAACCCTCCGTGTTTGAAGAGTTTTTGAAAGAAATGGCCGAACGAGGCTGCTGCATCAAAGAACAGTTCAAAGTCTGAAAGCAAAGCTTGTGACCAAAGAAGTGACCGTGCTCTTTTTACAGCGAGCTCCAACACATTCTTTGTGATGAGCCCAGCTGTCAGTCAGTGAAGCTTCATGATGGCTCCTGTGATGCTGGTGAAGATGAAGCTGAACCTCCGGGAGCGACTGGCGTTCATTCATAGTCATGATTGTTTACCTCTGGATGAGCCGCGTGAAGCAACGTGACATGTTCTTTTGCGCATGTGGGTCAGTTTAGGAGCTGATCTGTTCAGACTGAAGTTGCATACAGATCACATTTAAAAGATATTGTGAACAGCCAAACAAAACAGTCTGATTTGGTGAGAAAGTCAGATTTGGGCCACTTCTACCTGCTGTGTGAACGTAGCCTTAGCTCCAGTGTCGCAGACTGGACATGGTGAAGTCACATGACAACACGCGGTTGTATGTTTTTTAGGGGGACAGTACATGAACACAAAAAATCGAAACAACAGACATGGGCAAGATCACGTCGATTAGAGGTTCTGAAAGCCAGTTTCGATTACTTTTCGATTAATCGCCCAGCCCAACACTAACCTTCCCCTAAACCAGATGTCCTGTCCAGTTATGTCATGAACAGCCCAACTAATACAAAACACTGCTTAAGGTTACATAAAAGCTTTTAAATTGATAAGTCAGTATATTGTGAAATTTCATTCGTTTTTTCTTTCCAATTCAAAGTTCAAAGCATTAAAACTTTCTTCAGTTCATTTACACTTACAGCACACAATAACAGCCTTTTTATTTCGAGCTCAACCTAACACTGAAATGAAAAGTAAGTGTGTGCGTCACTGGGCAACTTAGGAAAACTTGTAATTTAAAACACATTAACTAAAACTGTGAAGCCACTACAGCAAAGATATGTTCATTTTTTTAAATGATTAGCTGATATGAAACTCAACACCGACCGAGGCTACGTTCAAAAAAGGCTCATCTCACCCGCGAAGCTACGATTCAAAAGAAGCCAGAAAGCTCGCTGCTGCACTGAACAGCCTTTCTGCATATTAAAGAGCTGCTCTGCTTGCCTCACCAACATTTTCACTCAGGCAGTTCTCCACTATTTGACAGTTGACCCAAAGTATTCATAAGCTGACAGAATATAGCTGAAAGGATGTGCTTTGGAATATGATAAAGCAAAAAATCCATTTTCTCTCCTTTTTTTTTATTATTAGGTGAAACAAAGAGCAGATGAATGCATCAGAGCTTTGAATCTGCTTATCGACATCAACGCAGGAAAGTCTGTGGAAAACGTCTTGCAGTCCACATTTGACTGGACAACATTAGAGGTGAGTATTAATAATGATAATAATGATGATAATATTATTATTATTATTATTATTATTATTAACAATAACAACTAGAAACATGCGGTTGCGCATGGTGTGTGTGGGGGGGGTATATTTAGTTTTTTGTACTAAACGAGTTACCAAGTGGTAGCTATGTGTTGTTGAAAATGAATGGGAGTCTGTGTGAGGAACAAGGGATGAAAAAATGCTACGTAGAGGAGTGGAGGTCAGTGTGGCTGTGGATTGTTGTTTGGGGACCTACCCTGACTGAGGACATGTAGTTTGTTAGCTGTCAGTCAAAGGAAAGTATGTGTCTTGTTTGAGGGTGAAAATGAATGAGTCTATGAGAGGAAGGAGGGATGAAAAAACACCACAAAGAGGAGTGCAAGTCAGTATGACTTCAGATTAGAGCTTGGAGATCTGCCCTGAGTGAGTACATGTTCTTTGGTGGCTGTTGGGCACAAAGAAACCTTAGGGCTTTGTTTGGAGCAAAAATGAATGGAAAGAATGAGTGATGAAAAAACGGCACATAGAGGAGTGCAGGTCAGTATGGCTGTGGATTAGAGCTTGATGACCTGCCCTGAGTGAGGACATGTAGTTTGGTGGCTGTCAGGCAAAGAAGTAATGGAGTTTGAGTGGTGGCGAAAATGAATGAGTCTACGGAAGAAACTAGGGATGGGGGAAAAAAACGACAAATGGATGAGTGCGGGTCAGAACAACATTGAATTTGTGCTTGTGGGCCTGCCCTGAGATGTGCATGTGAAACGGTGTCTTTAGGTCAAGCGGTAGTTCAGTAGATTGTCATGCAATTTTTCACCCCATTCATTCTCTATGGGAAAAAATTCGGCAAAATTCCATTGCTACACGGAATCAGTGCATCTGATCCAAAAGCTCTATACAAGCCCGAATCACACAACCAGTCAGGACAATCTGAAGTTGGAACAGTGTTGATAACTGGAAAACTGAGGGACGAGTTACGCGCCAAAAATCTGGCAGAAAAACAATAATAAAAAGACGAAGAATATAAATCGGATAACAATATAGTTGCCATGATCATCAAATATCAGACGCCCACAACATCTGAAGAACATTGGACCACTGGAACACTGGTTGTGAAACCAAATATTAATTTTTTAAGCCAAAAATACAGGTTTTAATGTGGTTTAAGAGCAAAAACAATTGAATATAATAAGCTAACAAGAAGGAAAAGTTCCATTTTCACAGGCAGGCTGTCACTTTAGGTTCAGTACTTTCATATTCATATGTTCTTTCACAGAACTGCATGGACCTGTGCAGAATAGCAGTTATGGGTCATTCCTTTGGTGGGGCCACAGTGATCGAGTGTTTGTGCAAGGAAGTCAAATTCAAGTACGTATCACAGTGGTAACGCAACGTTTTGAATGTCAGTCAGTTTGCAGCCTTACAATTTGAGGTTGGCTTCATTTCAGGTGTGGCATCGCACTGGATACCTGGATGTTTCCCCTTGATGAGGAGATATTTCCAAGTGTGAAACAGCCGATTTTTTTTATTAACTCTGAGAAGTTTCAGTGGGCTGGGAATATCATTGGCATGAAGAAGCTGGACTCTGCGATGATTCCAAGGAAAATGATAACTATCAAGTCAGTAATTTTTGCCAAACTGCTGAAATACCAAAATAAATAAATTAATACATAATAAAAACACAAAAGTAGCTTTGCCATGCTAAGTGAACATTTCTGTAGTAGACAATCAGCACGGACTGTATAAACAGTGCTTTAAACCTGACTGTGTTCTCTTTGTGTAGGGGGACAGTCCATCAGAGCTTCCCTGATTTCACCTTTCTAACTGGTAACTGGATTGGGAAGATCCTGAAGCTGAAGGGAGAAATTGATCCTCATATAGCAATGGATCTTTGCAACCAATCATCATTAGCATTCCTACAGCGCCACTTATGTAAGTTGGAAGTTTTCCTAAAACTTACTTTCACCCATGTTCAACTAGTTCTGTTCTTCTGTGTCTATGATAAGTGTGAGTACTTTTAGGGACTAAAATACAGGGTGATTCAAAAAGATGCATCCGATTTCCAAATGATTTTTCACTTGTAAATCATTACAGATCAATGCAGTGAACTGTAAATGGTTTAAATGAGCATAAAGTTTATTATGTAATTGTACAAGTGCTCAGTATGAACCTCCTCCAGCTGTACAGACAACATCAACACCATAGTCAGATTCATCCCATACTGGATTGAGCATGTCGGGTGTCGCTGCACTCACGGCTCTTTCAGTGCGATTTCGGAGATCATCCAGTGTTGTGGAACCAACGACGAACGTTCTGAGCTGTTGGAGTTTCACTGGCCACGAAAATCACACTGCACAGTTATGACGGATTCACTCTTATTGAAGTGGAGAACGCAAAACGCTTTCTGCTCAGGGGTCTCATCTCCTCACAGACTGAAGGGAGCCATCTTCCACTGACCGTCAGAAACTCTATGACCCCCTCTTTCAGGGGGTTGTGATTGGTTCCTAGGCGCCTCACAGTTGTAAAAATGTGGCGCTTTGAAATCGGATGAATCTTTCTGAATCACCCTGTACATGCTTGAGTTTTTCCTACACAAAACATAGGCCTGCCTCCCAATGTCAACTTAACATCAGAATTAGATTAATAGATAATCTAATAGAATTAGATATTTATAGATAATGTGTGTCAGAAAAAAAACATAAGCAAGACTATCTGATTCCCCTGCTGGTTGAGGTGTGATGATTTTAGGCATACAGTTTTGCACAGTGCTAATTGTTGAGGTAAGAGCTTCCTTTACTCAAGATGCAAAGTTCAGCCACTAGGTGTTGACCACATTAAGATATTGACCACATTAAGATAAGGAGAAAACTGTGCAAATCTGCTTGTACCCCCAAACTGTTGCACCAACATCCGCTATGGTTAGCTTTGCATATCCACTTATCTTGCCGAGTCATTTCATTAATTTCACACAGTAAGAGTTAGGGTGTTAAGTGTGAAACTCCAGCAGCACTGCTGTGTCTGATAGTACCTGCTCTGTGAGGGTCCTGAGCACTGAAGAACAGGGTAAAAGGGGGCTAACAAAGTATGCAGAGAAACAGATGGACTACAGTCTGTAACTGCAGAACTACAAAGTGCACCTATATAGTAAGTGGAGCTGATAAAATGGACAATGAGCGCAGAAACAAGGAGGTGGTCATAATGTTATGCCTGATCGGTGTATATAATAATAGATTAATACATCCATTCATTGAGTCCTTTGTTTCGAAGGTGTAAATTGCTACAATGACAACAGTAATTGTATCGTTGTTGTGGGGATTTCTTTAAAATAACACCATAGTTTCTTTTGGCCACTTCATACTAAAATGTTTTCCCATATTTTTCATCCCTACCTGAAGCACTTAATTTAGTCCAGACTAAATGTGTAAGCATGTTTATCCTCCCCTTTTTGAACTTTTTACTCACATTCTTTATCCAACTTTTGCACTTTTGTCAGCCAACAGGCATCAAAACTCTGAATTGCATTGGTGTGGAGCTTTCTGACTAATCAGATGTATGTTTTTCTTTACAGCTCTAGAGAGGGATTTCAATCAGTGGGATCATTTAATCGAGGGAAAAGACGACAACCTGATTCCAGGCACCAACATCACTATACCTCAGTCATCAATGTAATCCATTGAGAGAAAATGAGCACAGTGCTTCATTTTGTGGCTCATATTACTGTTACCGACTAGAAAAGAGTGAACAAGATGTTTAAATGTACAGTAAAAGAAGAAATGTGAAGTATGTAGCCACTACTATGAATATTTGATGTGCTAAATTTTCAATTCAAATTTATAGTGACATTTTAACTGCTGCATAATTGAATTTCTAGGAATGGACCAAGTCAGAAATATTACAAGTGGCAAATGCAATCAACTTAATTTGAGGGGGGTGGGTGATTATTTTTTCCCCATAGTAATACTTATACAGGTAATTCAAATTAAAAGGTTAATTAATCAGTTGAGGACATCAACTTCTCTCCGCCTCATGTGCCTTGTTTCTACAGTTACATTTAGCAGTACTGAATTTTTTAAACTGAGAATCACGTGGTGAATCTGGAACACTGCTAAATGAAGGGATCTCTTTCTGGAGACCAGTATATACATACATACATACATACATACATACATACATACATACATACATACATACATACACACACACGTTATTAATTACCTCAGTACCCGAGTTAATCATTGATCATAACTTTTTCTATCAAACAATAAGCATGTACATTTGTTGGCAATCAGTTTTAAGCATGTGTCAAGTTTATCTGGGTGATTTATCAATTTCTAAAGTTTTTAATGCTCTTTAAAGCAGTCAGTACAAAGTTTTTACACTACAAAACACCTTTTCTCCTAGAATGAAATGTTTAGGTTGTATATTAATGTATGTTGCAATAATAAAAGTGAAAAGCACTTAAGATTTTACAGCTTCGTGTTTACTGATTTTTAAATATACTGCAAAAAGTTGGATGTCTTCCTAAAATTTACTTTCACTTAGGTGCAACTAGTTTTGTTCTTCTGTGTCTATGATATCATAGACTATGCAAGTTGTGTGCTTTTAGGGACTTGATGCTTGAGAGTTAAAATACATGCATTTTTGTCTTTCCTAAACAAAAAACATAGGCCTGCCTCCCAATGTCAACTTAAAATCAAAGCAAAAAATCTAATTTGCACAATCCCCCCCCCCACTCCAAATGGAGTCAATCAGCCAAGACGTGTTTGACATTTTAAGCTTTGTTGTACTTTAATCCATTTTTATAGAGCAGGGGTCACAAATCTTATCCACAAAGGGTCACTGTGGCTGCAGGTTTTCATTCCAACAAAGCAAGAACTCACCTCATATAACTAGCCAGTTGTTTGGAGACAGGCCAACTGACTGAAGTAGTAGAATCAGGCGAGTTTCTGGTTGATTGGAATGAAAACCTGCAGCCACGGCAGCCCTTTGTGGACAAGATTCAGTGACCCCTGTTAAAGAGTAACATTAAACTAAGATTTTAATAAATGTGTCAGAATGTAAGATTTTAACTGGTCAAGCTTTGTATTCACTCATTTTTAAGTATACTGCAAAAATAAAGGAGATGAACAGTGTGGTACACACTACGCTTAAGACTTCATTTAAAAGAAAAAGTTTTTGTAAATTGTGTAAAAAGACAACGGACCCTGGTGTAAATTCACTACGTCGCCCTGAACTCTGCAACACTGACCCATGAAAGGGTAATTAGACAGCGCAGCCGACGACATCTCTGAGCATTTTTTATTTGTAGAAAAGGTTTAAGCCTCCACTGACTAATTATAGTCTCAACTATGATGTGTTAGGTTTATAGTCAAGTGTACAGCTCTGTTCAGAACACCAGTCAATGATCTTCATAAATATGGACATGATACTTACAATGTGCAACTTCTTCTGCTTCTGCAAAACCCAAGTCCTTGATTTCTTTTCCAAAACTCAAACCTCTGTACAGACTGGAAATCATGTCAGTAAAATGTAAAAAAAGTACTACAAAAAGTATGAAAAATGCTGTTTATTTTTATCGCACAAACAAAAAAGTGTTTTCCTTGTTGTCAATTCGCAACATGTAGCACTTAATGTGGATCACTTTCAGACTTAACATTTTACTGAAACCATGAAAGAAAATCTCTTCTGTAATGAAGTATTTGATTTGGTAAAGCTGAAGCACTCGAACAATAACAGGAAACCCATGGTGGGAAAAAGTAAACAGAACATTAAATCTCTAGTTTTCAGAAATAATAATGATATTACAAAACAGATAAGTGCTCATTATAGAATTACTAATCAGCTTCTCAAGCACAGGTTTCAGACTGAGTGGAAGCCCCAGCACTTAAAGGTTACTGAAAAGTGACGGCAGGGTACAAATCAATAAGTGGCAAAATGAAACCAAGTGACTTCCACAGATCTGTCTTAGAATAAGAGTGTGCTTAAGTAATCAGCAGTTACTCTCCGCTATCTGGCTCACTTGCCTCTGTTAAAGGTACCTGCCACGCTTTCACAAAGATAATATCATCGTCAGACGTGTCCTGAACTCTGAGAGCGAGGTGAGAAACTCTGGAAACGCTGAGCTCTTCTGAGTCAGGATGTTCAGAAACGGATGCTTTTGCATCCAAGCCTGCAAAGCATGTGAGTGATTTCTGTGTAAGTACAGAACCTGATGACAGATAGAAAAAAGACCTTTAATCTTGTCTTATCAGAGGTTTTCCTGTTGTTTTTCTGAGAACTCACCAGAAGATGCTGTCACAGCAAGAGGAGGTTCAGTGCCCACCTTATCTCCTGGAAGCTAAGGTTAAGACAAGCAGTAATTATCATAATATCTACATACCAAGAGTACTTCAAGCGGACAGCAGCATTATCGTAACATACCGTGTCGTCAGATGCAGTGTCCGAGTCCAGTTCAGGATCACTCACAAAATCAATCAGATCTTCTGTAAAACCTATTAAGAACCAGCAGGATGTCAGAAAACACTCACCATACCATTTAACAAGAAATTAAAGACTTCTGAGACTTTTTTAAAAGGGTTTTTATTTTCGTCTCAGTTTTGCTTTTGAAGACTTTGCTTACCTAAAGTAATAACTATGCACTCATGTCCCACAATATGCCAATGTACCAAAACCTGTTTACCCTGTGAGGGGAAAAAGTTGCTTTTCTATTGGCAAGAGGACTTACTTTTCTTTTTTTTTTCCACCCAATAGGTTCCTGGTTTCCTGTTTGGTGTAACTTGTGTTTCCTCTTCCGTTAGCATAGTTAAGAGGTATCAGTGACAGGGTGGCATACACATAGGGACATTAAGTGCAACACCATTATTATTATTTGAAATAAACTAATCATGCTAATCAATGTTTTCACCATTAGAACCCCTTCACACTTGTATAATATGTTGTGCATGTGTTCATTGAAAATCAACAGGACAACAAGTCACTGTACTTTAAATAGGTTAAAATGTCTTACTGTTAACTTCTTCAATCAAAGCATCCAGATCAGGTTCAGCCCCAAGTTCCACATTCTGGACCTACGAGCCAATATTAAGGTTTTAGCTTTATAATACTTATAATCCATATATTTACTGGAACTAATGCAAAAAAAAAAAAAGTACCTTCTCTAGCGGTGTTGCTGCAAGGAAATCTATCAGCTCATCTTCCCCCTTACTGACCTCACTGGCACTTTGATCTAATGTTACAACATCTTGCAAAAGAATAAACAAAGAGATGAAGATTATTTCAGATAAGGTGAATTAAGTTTTAAATTTTTCAATAAATGAAAGAAAACATAAACAGACCTCTCGGTTCCTCGACCGGAGGACGTGTCTCCACAGCATCTTCAGTTTGAGCCTAAACGAAAACACACACACTGATCAGCCGTGACATTAAACCTTGTTTCTACACTCACTGTCCATTTTATCAGCTCACTGACCGTACAGGAGCACTTTGTAGTTCTACAGTTACAGACTGTAGTCCATCTGTTTCTCTGCATACTTTCTTAGCCTGCTTTTACCCTGTTCTTCAGTGGTCAGGACCCCCATGGACCCTCACAGAGCAGGTACTATTTGGATGATGGATCATTCTCAGCACTGCAGTAACACTGGCGTGGTGGTGGTGTGTTAGTGTGTGTTGCGCTGGTACGAGTGGATCAGACACAGCGGTGCTGCTGGAGTTTTTAAACACCTCAGTGTCACTGCTGGACTGAGAATAGTCCACCAACCAAAAATATCCAGCCAACAGCGTCCTGTGGGCAGCGTCCTGTGACCACTGATGAAGGACTAGAGGATGTAAAGTAGATGTAAAGTCAGTCTCTGACTTTACATCTACAAGGTGGACCAACAAGGTAGGAGTGTCTAATAGAGTGGACAGTGTGTTTAAAAACTCTAGCAGCACTGTACCAGCACAACCTGCTCTGTAGTGGTCCTGTGGGGGTCCTGACCACTGAAGAACAGGGTAAAAGGGGGCTAAAAAAAGCATAATGAGAAACAGATGGACTACAGTCTGTAATTTTAGAGCTACAAAGTGCTCCTATCTGGTCAGTGAGCTGATAAAATGTACAGTGAGTGCAGAAACAAAGTTTTAATGTTATGGCAGATCAGGGTATTTTGTAACACAGTTTGCTTGAAAAAGGTAACTTTATAAAATCCCTCCAAAAGCAAACAATTCAGTATTTTACCTGAACCTCTGAATCAGAACTGATGTTCTGTCCTAGATCTAATACTGGATCCATCTCCAACACTGGTTCTGCTCAGGAAGAATGAAGGAAACCACTGAACTTCTTTTCCTCCAAAAATTTTACAGCATTTTATCAAGTACAGTTTTGATGTAATACACCATGCTGTCCTTATAGTAATGCCTTACTTTTATTTGTACAAAAAGACAAATGTGCATTTAAAATTACATACAGAAATAAACAAAAGCTGAAGGTCTTGTCTCATTCGTGCAGGAAAGCATTCTGATTTAATGTAAATTAATTAAATATGAAATGTGAAACAAATATTCAAAATAGAAACACCAAAGTCATACATTGATTATGAAAATATTTTACTTACCTTTTTGCTCAGCCGAAACATCTTCAAACATTTCACCCTACAGAAGAAATATTCTTTTTAAACATCATTAAACATTTCTGGAACTGGTCTTAAAGATCACATCCTGTTTGAAATAAATGGGAATGAGAAATCAACACATTTTCCATCTGTAACATGAGTGAAACTGTATCAGGATGCGTCTCAAAACTAGCTTTCACTTGGATGACAGTGGTGAAAGGGGTAGGGATGTGAAACGAGTACTTAAGTACCTGCGAACAGCCCAAGGAGTGGTATTTATCTTTTAATTTGATCTGTGTCATTTTCTTATATGATTCTAAATTAATACTTATAATTTCTTGTATTACTGTTTATCACTTGTCTGTAAAGCACTTTGAGCTGCCACCGGCATGAAAAGTACTATATAAATTAAAACTATAATTATTATTATGATTTTTATTATTGTTATTGCCAGTATTATTATACAGTGCCAGTATTTGAAAACTGAAATGAATAATAACCTGGATAGTGATTTGTTACATTTCATCTTGGAAAGATGGAGAAAATATACAGGCCAGCAATTCAGTGAAACTAAGTTTTGCTTGTATGTGTGATTAAGAATATTATACTTCGCTACTCTGAAATACGTGTGCATGAATGTGACCGCGCCTCCAACGGTGCACTGTTGAGGACATAGTTGAGAAGAGAGACAGCGCGGCCATGTTACTAACAAGGTTAACTAGCCTGGCTGATATTAGCCGATAAAAGTCCAGGAATGATTTCTGACAAAGAACATGTTGGCACGTCGTCCACTGAGGAGAAAATCCTTGTGTAAAAGACAAATACTCATCAGCATCCGACATGACTGTGGTTAGCTGTTAGCTCATTAGATTATTTGAAGAAGAAACCTTCAGTACTCACCTGACATAAAAAACCTACTAATGTCCCTCAGCTGTTTTTGAATAAAAACATATTTTCAAGTGCATTTCTCAGTGGGTTGCTCTACACCTAAAAAGCTTACAGCCATACATTATTTTCAGCCTTTCCAGTTTTTCCCTTCCTGCAGTTAACCAGACATCTGTTCATTAACTTTTACGGATACTCCTTGAATATTTGACTTCTGTAGCTGCCCCAAGACTCTGGAACAGTCTTCCGCTTTTCACAGAGGAATCCCCCACAATAGAGGTTAAGTTAAATCTTAAAACCCATCTACTTCCTCAAGCTTGAGAGTCTTTTTTTAATGATTATGCACTCAGTAACTGTTCTGTCTTGGTTGGTTCCGTCTTGCCACTGTAGCTTTTCTATTTTGTTTTATTTTGCGTTTGTTTGTTTTATTGCTTTTTATTCGTCTTGTATCAATGTATTGTATAGTTTTGATTAGATAGTAGTGGTTATTTTAATTGATATTGCGGGGCACTTTGGTCGACACTTGTCTTTTAAATGTGCTATAGAAATAAAGGTCACTTGACTCCCCGAATAGCAAAATTATTTTATCGTTTAACTCCGAAGTCATTTTAGAATCAGACACAAGTCATTATACTTTGATGGAAGCTTATGGAAAAACAAGAACTTTTGCCTTTTAAAAGATATCATGAATCGTGCCTAATAATTCATGAACTAATAATGTAAAATGGTCCATTGTCAATTTCAAGTTGAGGCACAGGTCAAGCACCATCTTACCATTTCCAGAGGAATATCAGGGCCTTCATCGGAGCCTTTGTGCTCATCTTCATACAAAGGTTCTGCTAATCAAAATTAAAAACAATGATGGGCATCACATTTTCCATGATGGTCCCACAGCTGCCCCACCAATGATAGACTCTATGTTGGCTAGACAAATAAGATTACTCACTCTCAGCATCTCCCATCAAATAACCTGACCAGGAGGCATCTTTATCTTGAGGCTGCAATAACAAGCACAGAAGACAGCTGGAGCAATGAAGAAATGTTCAGCCAACTCCTCCAGTGATGTTCAAATTTGACTGCATTCACTAAGTCTCAAAACATATTTACCTGTTCCTCAGGGATAACAAACAGATCCCTCACAACCACAGCACTAGACTCTTCAACCATCTCCTCGTCGTCTAATTCTAAAGAGGCATTTCAAAGATTTTCAAGTAAACAAAATGTCAAAAAAAATAATTTAAAACAAAAGAATAAATTCTCTTACCAGAAGGTTCCACAGATGCAAAACTGGCTACAGCTTCATGCTCTGTTTCTTCAGCCTATTAATAAGTGTGTCAGAATTACTATCACTTTAACCATGTCTGTAATGCATTTTTCCTTTGATTTCCTCCTAAATAACAAAATGACATGCATACCTACCTTTGACAGAAGATCAGAATTTCGTTCCTCCAACATCTCTTTGCCTTCTTCTATGAGGCAGCATTGCAGATTAAATGTCAATGTGACATACAATATTGCGATTGTACAGTAGTCAATCACATCTACACAAGATAACTGTTAAATCTGTTTACCACTACTTTCACAATTTATTACTAAAGCTAGACTGTTCAGCTTAGTCTAATGACTCCATTTCTTTTTGTATTTTATCAAACAGCACAAAGAATCATGATCAGGTTTTCAAGTCTGCACTGCCTTAAATATATTGCAAATATCTGTTTAATTCAGAGGTGATTGTACCTGGTATACTGGTATCGCCACCACAAGGAACCTGTAGGTATAAATCACAGTAAATTAAAACATTTAAAATGAATGTGGTGCCAGTGTTCAATGACGCCACACAAAATTCTACAAACATTCAAACAGGAGCAAAATGAGCAACTGTAAATCCTGTGGCAAAAGATGTTTTACAAAGGATTAAACTGTCTTAAACTGTGCCCCAGTTTAGTGCGATCAATAATGAAATTTTAATCGATAGTCATCGCAAATCCTCCACTTGTAGTCTTGACAATACTAACTAACTTTTTAAGGAATGTGTTTTACTTAATAGCATCAGACATACTTGAGACAGTACACACCTCACTCACATCAGGCGTTTCTCCTAACCCTGCATTCACACCAGCAGTGACGTGACAAAGCGGCCAGAGCTGGCGTTTTCCGGCCACAGGAGGCGGAGCGAACGTTGGCGACGCAAAGTGGGCGGAGTCAGTGACGTGACAAAGTTGAGCGGAGTTTTACCTTTCTAATAAGGAGCGAAGCGATGGGGCGACTACCAATAGGAACTGAGCATTGATCCAGAGCCGTTTTATGAGGAGCCTGGCCACTTCCTATTCTCCCTGTTATATCAAAAACAGGCCTGTTAAACAGCAGAGGGTGCCCGCAAGTGAGTCCTCAATGAATGGGAGTAAATGGAGCTCAATGGCTAAAAACGAGAAGTTAAAATAGTTTCTAATCCCTCGGCCAGAACTTTTCTTTAAATTTTAGAAAGTAGGAGGATGTATTTCACTAAAAAAAAACAAGGAAATCTTACCGATATATTTCCTTTTTTCTACACCAAACGGGTTTTGGGCAGCAGAAGGAGGGCATTACTGCTAGAGCGTGACTGATTGGCGAATGGAGCAGCTCATTAACGTCATGGACGTACATGAGGTGCTGTTTTAAACTCCTATAGCTCGAGTTTAAAAGCTCTTAAAAATATAACAGCGGTGTTAAAATGTTTTATGCTGTTCTGTGTTCAGGAAATGATCGCATTCTTTTACATTAAAAATGTTTAAGCATTCATAAACTATGGTTTTGCTCAAATGCTCCATATCAACCCATTCATTTTGGACTCACTCGGGAGTGCCCTCGTCTGAAAAACCTGGAAGACATTGCAGAGTGGTAATTCTCCTCTCTACAAGTTCTCTGATTGAGCAGTGTAGTACGCGCTTCATCTCCGCCACTGTGGAACGGTACACTCCATTTTTTGGTTCCTAGATAATTGTTCCTACTACAGGTGGAATAATGGCAGCAGTGCTTTTGCTGCCAATAGGCAGTAATCGCAAAGACCAAAGACCGCTTTCCTCACAAACTGACTGCACAGACATGGGGATTAAACAAAAATAAGCACACAAGTGATTTCTCACCAGGTCTTTTATTTCTAGTGGGAATGCATCCGATTTGTGCTTGGCGTCAGTGAAACCATGGCAACCAACGGTCCACTTGAGTTCAGAAACGGCCACGGGCGATGAGCGATAAGCAATTTGGACGACAAGAGGCGAAAAGTCGCTGCTGGTGTGAACGCAGGGTAACAAATTAAAAAACTGCAGTTGTGAAGACTCTTAAAAAAGAAAAATCTAGCAGTGGCTTTCTATCCTTAAATAGCTGTATAGACAAACTTCAGTCAGGTTTTTGGAATAATCATAGTACTGAGACGGCTCTAATTAAGGTTGATATTCTTTTAAATATATTTGTGGAAAAACATCTGTTCTACTATGGCTTGATCTCAGCACTGCCCCTGATACCATTGACCATAAAATAGACAGACTTGAGAACTGGGTTGGTCTCTCAGGAACTGTCCTAAAATGATTCGCTTCATACCCGCAAGGCAGAGACTACTCTGTGCAAACAGAAAATGTATCTGAGAGTGTGCCAGTGACCTGTGGGGTTCCCCAGGGTTCAATTCTTGGGCAATTCTTAATTTATACATGTTGCTACTTGGCTAAATAATGTAAGACTATAGGATATCTTATCACAGCTATGCAGATGATACTCAGATCTACTTGGCCCTCTCCCCAAACAACTATGGTCCCCTTGACTCACTTTATAAGTGCATTCAGCACATCACTAACTGGATGGGACAAAATTTTTTGCAGTTGAATAAAGATGAGACAGATTATTACCTTGCCTATTATTTACCTGCAATAGTTGCGCTGGTACGATTTCAAAGATGTTAACAGGATCTACCACCACCTCAGAATCATGGTCCAAAAGCAGTACCTGTAAAACAAGCACCAAATATTGTTTCATAAATTATATATATCATTATTTTAGAATTGCACCTGAATACTGACCATTTATTGTGGGTAAAAATCAACAGTTAAGGTTATGATGTTCACTGCTATGAGTGAGTTCACAGCAAGATATATACTTACCAAGGTAGTATCGTCAGAAATCTTTAAAATCTGTGCTCGGCACCAGTTCTTGTGCGCATGGGACCAAATCACACATTCTGATCCAATCTGATTTCTCTCTGCAGCCCTCCGTATGTACCCCAAGTCTTAAGAATCGAGAATTTTAATATATGCATAAAAATCATGTAATGCAATGCATATCCTGTAAATGTGATTTGAACATACCTGATTTAATAATCTCGGGATCGTCCTCAATCCTGTTGTGTTTGTGTTCTGGAGTTGATGAATGTTTTTCATCTTTTTCATCACTGAGCTGGTCTTTCTGAAGTGAAATTTCCACCAGGTTCTCATGAACGTTGTTCGAAACATTTAAACCTGAATCCATCGCTACAGCCAATTCATTAGTGGCAAGATTTTCAGTGCCTGCAGAGGTCTCTGTCAACTGGGACTTCTCGTTTGTAATTAGATCTTCGACTACAACCAGCTCTCTTATGTTCTTTAATCCAGACTCCTCATCCTGAGATGGTATTATGCCCATGTCAGCATCACTTGTATCTGATGTATCCTGTTTCTGATGCCCAACCATTATACTTTCACATTCTACTTCTGGGTGATGCGTTTCAACTGTTGAACTGCAAATGTCATCCTGTGGATACTCCACAGCTGTCTGAGGAAACTCCTTGGGCCTTACTGTAGCTTCAGCTACACATTCGTAAGATCCAATTTCAATAACCACCGAAGGATTAACAGAAGGAACTAGTGGTGCATTTGTTGTTTCAAATGACGTGCTCTTGCAATTCCAACAATTTTTCATCGCATCATTGATGACGAGTTCACCACATTCTAGACTAACAAAATGAGGAGTCTCTACATCAAACAAGCCGCCCAGTTTCAAAACTGTGACTTTCAAGAGCTGGTCAGTGATGAGCTCAAAGAACTGATCATCTGCCTTGTCATTCCAGGAGCCCTCTGAAATATCAAAACCATTAAGCTGGCAGGCAAATGCCTGAGGAGGCAAATCGGACACCTCACACGGCAGGGGTCTGACCTCACTCATTTCAACTTTTGACTCGTTTCCATAGTCAACAAATCTAACGGATAGTGTATCACATTCTCGTGAGGTCACCTTTGCACGATACCACAGCTTGTCCTCAGGATAAAGGGCAATGCATCCACTTCCAATCGTCAAGGATTCATCACTCAAAGCTTCAGTTTCCAAAGCATTACCAGCCTTTTGTATTACATCAGAAATCCTCTGCAGTTTTTCTGTCTCTGCATTCTGACACCAGAAAAGCTGTGGCCCACTGACGAATGAGGCATATCCAGTGATGGTCAGTCCTTCCGAAATATCAGGATTCTTATAAAACGCACCAAGATTGATGGCAAACAGCCCGCACTCAGTGACTGAGCTCTTTAATGCATTTGTTGGTGCAGTTGTGATGGATGCATCACTGGAGAAAGTAGATCCCAACAGCTTACCACTGACCTCAAGTTTGACCTCCCACACAGACCCTACCAATTCGATGAATGTGCATGTAACCTTACCAGCATTTCCTTCAATTTCTTTCTTGAAGGTAGAAGCCACTTCACTGTCAGCGTTTCTCATTCCAGTCAGTGAGCAGTGAATGCTGTATCTTGGATGTGAAGACAGTAATCTGTCCAGAGAGCATATCTGCGAGACTGAAACCTTTGCACTGTTTCCAAAATCAATGAATTCCACATCAACTGTGTCACTGATGGGCATCTTCCTGACAACTGCGCGATACCAACAGCTATCGTCAGGGAACACTGCACTGACCAGGTCACCTTCATGAATGTCATTAGGGTTGACGGGCACAAACTCTGACTGGTCATCATTTAACTTCTCTACCAGAGAGCAAAGGTCATCTTCATCGTTTAGTAACTGAACAAAGAAGCTCAAAGGACTACTGTAATGAGAGATGAACACTTCCTCTTCCATTCCGGGTTTTATCTCTTTCAAGGGAAGCTCGGCTTCTTTTAGGCCACATGGTTTGGTACTACTTACACTTGCAGATTCAGTATGGGATTCTCTATGAGAACCAAGATGCCTCGACTCCACTTGGGTCATGTCTCTTCCCATGTCTCCACCTTGGGACTTCACTGGGTGCTCAGCTGGCTTGGACCCATTATTTTTTAGGGATTTCCAGTCATCAGGAGTCTGCTGTGGTTCTTTTCCTCTTTTAAAGCCATGCACGTTTTCATGAGCCTCAATGACTGAACGTGCTCCGTCACGAATGAAGCCTTCATTCGCTCTGTGCGACACATTTTGTGCGTTCTGATCCTTGAAATTAAATCCTTTTACAGTAACCTGTTCATTTCTCTCTCGTTCAATATGAAATTTCTCTCTGATCATTGCATTCACCTGAGTTTTCCCATCATAAAGCTCAACAATTAGTTTGCCGCTTGGTTCTTTGGCTACTACCAATGCTTTGAGAGGGCGATCAGTTGCAAAATTCTCAAACCAATTATTTACTTCACTTGGCACGTTTTCAGGTATGTCAGAAAGCCCACCCTCAATTGCCTGTACAGGTACGGACATAATTTCACCAGCTTCAAATGGAACTGGAAGGATATCAGATTTCTCAACTTCCTGCGTGTCCCCATAATCCACAAAGTTGACAACAATTGAAGGCTTTGCAGATGTAATCTGTCCCCTGTACCACAGACCATCTGTGTATTTTGCAAAGCAAACTTTTCCAAAGGTCTTTGGGCAGTCAACGTTCTCCAGCTGACTGCATAAGTTGTTGACTTTCTCTGCAAGTTCTTCAATCTGTGCAGAATTTCTTTCAAGCTGGCAAAAGAAATGACTGACACTTTTTACACTGGTGATGTTTACATCTTCTTCAGACCCAGTTTTTACACCATGTGTGGAATAGTAGTATGTGTTCAGGTGAAAAGGTGGAAGAGGGCCTTTTTTAGATGGTGCACGGTCAGCCAAACCTCTCTGGACAAGAAGGTTGCAAACACTTTGGAAAGGAGTCTCCAGATCCACCACATTGAACGCCACTTTCTGAACATCATACATTACAGCGTACACGGTACATTTCAAGACCACATTCATAGAGGCTGCGTTATCCACAAAGTCTTTAAACTGTGATGTGGCATCCGGGCCCCAGTCTGATGGGGAGTGAGAGACTGGATGAATCAGGTTGTATAAGCTGCACCGGAAGGCTTGTCCGTTCAGCTTCAGGAATGCTGGATTAATGCGGCGAAGGTCATGTATGGCAACCTTTATCGTCTGTCCATAATCAACAAACAGCACAGTCACATGGGGAGTCTGGTGCCTTTGAATGACCAAGGCTCTATACCACATTCCATTCTCTGGATGACGAGCAACACAGGCCGATTCTAAAGGCGTTTGAAATTGACTGTTTGCATAGTATTCCTGGAGGTCTTGCATTAGCAGTTTCAGACGTTCTGCATTGTTAGCTTTTTGACACCAAAAATCATTTGGGCTCTCAATACAAGACACAGTAACCTCAACTGAACTCCCAATTGGAAACAAGTACTCCTTGAAAGCAGCTCTGGTCTCAGTTACAGCAGGTGAACTGGATGTTGGAGACATGTGTTTCTCAGTCATGTTACAGGTGTGTCCCTTTTGAGGGTAGCCTTTGACAACAGGCTTATCTATAGCTTTCTTCAGTCCTACACTCTCTGCAAAGCCTACACTGCACAGCAACTTGGATAAATCTTTTTCTCCATCTGACTCAGAATCAATTACCTTGACAACATGAGTATAATTGCACTTGGCAAGTACGTGCACATCAAGAACTTTATCTAGAACAGCTTTTGAGAAGAACAACGTGGACTTTTGATCCCAACTTTCACCACTTGGTTGGATGCCGTACAGAGCACACTTTACTGCCAGGGCTGGCAGCTTTTGAAATCTGAGAGGCAGCTCACGAAGGTTGGAACAGTCAACCAGTTCTGTGTTGCCATAATCAAGGAAGAAAACATCTGCTTTCTCATTGCTGACTTTGCAAACAGCAGCCCTGTAGAACACACCATCTTGAGATTTGGCCACACAGAGTAGACCAGGTACAGGCTTCCTAATCAATCCCTCAGGGCTGGCCAGATCACTATATAGCTCTTCTAAGCCTTCCATTAGCTGGTCAAACTCATCAGCATACTTTTGTGTCTGAATCCAAAACTTTGCAGGACTGTCAACATGCTTAACAACAGCCACATGGGAAGTGTTGGGTGTCAGACTTTCTGTAAAAAACACAGGTGTGTTTCCTTTCAAATCCAGGTCAGTTAGATTAGTGCCTTCTGGCTCATTTCCAACAGAAATCTTGCTCTTCTGAGATGATGAGCTCTTGTGAACTGTATAGTCTCCATGGGACTTTGAGTCGATTAAGCATTTTTCTCTCAATCCAAACAAGTTGTTAATGTTTGTGTTTTCATCTCCATAGAGAGTGACATAGTGGACACCCTCTGAAAGGCTTTGATACTCAAACTTGGCAATGACCGTTCTGTTGAGCAGTAAGGATTTCAAGAAGTCGATCTGTGAAGCTGTCCAACCAACCCCTCTGTCAATAATCCCATGGAGAGAGCATACATAGGTCACAACAGGCATGCGGAAGAATTCTGGGGCCAGTGGTCTGATATTCTCTACTTGGACAAATCGTTTCTTTCCATAATCCACATGCAGTACCTCTGCCACACTGTTTGAGGACATGACCTGCTGCAGAATAGAGCGATACCACTTGCCATCACTTCCTCTTGATGCACAAGGGGCTCCCAGGTTCTCAGTCCTGGCAAAAAGAGCTCCAACTCTTCCTTCGTAATGCTGAGTTATTTGTTCTGTTAGTTTCCTGAGCTCCTGCGAAAACACCTTCAGCTGACAGAAGACTCGAAGAGGATTCGTCACCTCTGTGACAATCACAGTCTCAACCGTTTCTGTTTGCAGCTCTGGATACATGTAACAGTGCTGCTTTTCAGCTTGATCAAGGAGCTCCACTGGTTCGTTTTTGACGGTTATTTGCGGATCTACGGACTCGGTGTGAGACTGCAAAGAACGTGTAACAAAGTCTTTGAACCTTTCATTCGACAATTTCTTTGCAAACCCCATCTCAAACATTTGTTTAGACAGGCATGGTATATCGAGCAGAAATGTACGCTGAGGTACTACAACATCCTGAACACAGGCAGTGACTTTTCTCCCAGTGAATGTTTTCATGAACTCCAAGGCCATTTTTGACCATCTATTTTCAGGGGACAGGGGTAGGACATTGGCCAGAACACAAAATTCAACTTCAGGAGGCAGGTAGAAAAAGTCAGTCTGGCCCCATGCCAGAGTGTCAGTAGTGGCGCGAAGCGTTCTGCCCTCATCAATGAGAAACACACTGTAGTCTGCAGCATTTCTTGACACTATTCGGGCTCTATACCATGTTTCGTAGACCCGCACAAGGCACAGGTCACCAGGACTGCCTTCTGCCTCGTGAAATACTTGCCTGGGGTACTGAATCTCTTTTTTCATTCGCTGGTAGGCAAGTCTCCGGTCCTGGTCAAAATTGCACCAAAACTCTACCAGAACGCAAAGAGGGTTCAAGTTCACTCTGGTGATGAGCACAGACACACTGGAACCAGGTGATGGAAGTCCAGGAATGGAACACATTGCAGCGTTTTCCAGAAATCAGGTTTTCCTTCAAGAGACTCTCAATGACTAGAAGCATGGTATCTATAAAGAAAGTAAAAAGGATCAAACACCATAAAAACAAAGATATGCTAGAATTAAAGACTTGACTTAGACCAGTCAAACTGGAGATGAGGTGAGGGGTGATCTACACATGATTTCTACTCCTCCAGCTATACTGTTACTAATTTAGCTGGATTATTAATGCACACTGAAAAACAAACAAAAAAAAACCTTAACACTTTAATGCCTCAAAATTAGAGATGGACATCTGAACTGTTGTTACTAGTTACTAGGGGTGGGTGATAAAACGTTATCGATAATTATGGCGATATAACTTTCCTCAATAGAAGTATAAGAAATGCTCGATAAATGTTCAGGATAATACACCATTCTCACACTTCCACGTTCTAGCAACAGCCCTGGTGGCGTTTTCTACTGCAAGGAAAGCGACACTACTCTGCTGTCGCCATGAGAGGGCGCACTTCTGAGTTTTTCGACATGACTAGAGAGGGGAGTCAAGGAGCGAAACGAGTCGCCAAATATACTTTAGCACTGTCTGAAATGTGGCGTTATATATTCCCTGTTTGAGTGCAGCGACCGGTGATCTGTTGTCCTGTGACCAAGTGTGAGTGATGAAATAAGTGGTGTAACTATTCTGTCCTACAGCGAACTGACCTCTGTCCTAGAGGCACTCATCACCAGACAGCTAAATATAATCTGTTTTCTTTCTTAAATTATGACTATTACAAAAATTGTGGCCGTGCTTTTCCAGCTGGTAAAGACAGCTAATCAGAAACTTTCTCCCACTCTCCAATGACAGATTTGTGAAATGTTCCACTGTTTGACAGGTGTTTGCCATGTTCTGACCATAAAGGACAGTTTAAAACAGTGACTGACCACTCAGGAGCAAAATCAGCCTTCAAACTTGCAAGAAATAATGAATTGACATTTATCACAATATGTATCGATATCGACTGACATGAAATTTTTTTATGGTGATGAGATTTTGGCCATATTTCCCAGGAATACTTGTTACAAATATCCACTTTTTCTAATGAATAAAAACAATGAGAATTTTAAATTACATACACTGGATTAGAACTGTATAGGGCCAACAGTCAATTTATAAGCACTTCATAGACTTCAAGACTTTACATCCCAACAAAATGACTGAACATTCAACATTCTATAGACATCATCTTACAGTTTAATTAGGGCCATCCCAAACTGTCTATTTGTTTATTTTTTGCCCCTTAATCTGATAAGATCCTTAAATACTGAGTACCAGCCAGTTTTCATAGACAATACAGTTGCACATTTCTAGTTTCAGTATAACGTGACATTCTGGATTGATGCGTTTTATTTTTTAGACAACCTTTCAAAATAAACACTCTATAGAGTTCAATATTGGCTTAGAATAAAATCTTTAAATCTTTGACTGATTTGATGATTTGGCTACCAGTTTCTTTAATGTGCAGTTAAATCACTTCTTTTTTTTTTAGCACAGTATTCTACAACAGACTTGTGCAATAACCATATTATAGGGTCATGATTATACTTCAGTTTCATACAGCTCTAACATGCCACGGTAGCTGGTCTTTTCTCTTTGAACCTTTAAGCACCTTTTTGCTAACGCCAATCTTAAACTTGAAATGGCTCAAGTGGCCAGTAAAGCACAACACTTCTGCGAAAGATTAATTTTTAACCAGATGTGACAAAAAGGTGATAAACATTATGGGAGTGAATTTTGTACATGGTTTTGGCAGCATGGTGCTCACAGCAAACGGCAGAAAGCAGTCTCTGGCCGTGTGCTCATACTTTACATCATAATAATTCTTATAGTAAACAATTAGACTTTTTTTAGATATTTTATGACCTGCTATTTTTAATATCTATTTATAAGACTTTATAAGACTTTTTAAGAATATTAAAGTTGAGTTACACCTTTTTAACAGAGGTGAAATAAAAGAAGAGTAGAATACTGTTAAACATCTTTGGCAAACACACGTATGTATGTATGTATGTATGTATGTATGCATATATATATATATATATATATATATATACACACACACACACACACACACACACATACATATATATATATATATAGGGCAAGCTGATTATATCGTGTTTACATAAAGTTAATGAATTCACTTGGGGACTTCACAAGTTAAATCTAACAAATTGTGTTAGGTTGTTTATAGCATGAGGTAGAGCTGCCCAATCAGGCGAGCTGGGAGAAAAGCTAACGTAGAGTACACTAGTTTAGCTTTAAAGGATTGTATGAAAAAAATAAGAAACAATTATTTTTATTACACAGACAATTAGACTTACAGCCTCTAGTCAGAGTCAAGATATATATGGACTTTGGTAGCAAATCTCAAGTTTTTTGCCTGTCTTGCTAGCCTACATGTCTCCACCCATCCTGGTGAAGTGGTTGTGACTGTTTGTGTGAAGGCTTAGGCAAAATCTAAAAATAATCAGCTTGATATTTTCTAGTTTAAAAAGTTTAACAGAAAAAGTTAATTAAACACTGTGTACATATCACCCTTTTCTGAGTACTTTACCAGTATCACATAGGATATCGGTAATCAGAAAGTGATAAGAACTCCAGGACAGCAACTAGCTGCTCCAGGGTAATATCCAGTCACCTCAGCTTGGTTTGTTGTAGTGCAGAGTCACACAAACAAGCTGGAGTTACAAAGCACAGCATTTATTTTTGGTCCCACACACTAAAGCTAAACTTAACGAAGAGTAAAATAAGTAAGTTAAGACCCATGCAGTGGGTAAAGCTAGCATAGAGAACTATAGCGTCAATTTCTTAGGGCAGCTTCTCTCACAAACAAGAAAACTGACTACTGGGGCTACACACCCACAAACTTCTCAAATGCAACAACTCAATTTCTCAGCATATTTACAAGCTGTTTAACAGTAAATTTGTCCTCTCCAATTCTCTTACAGTCCCCCCCCCCAAAACAGCAATTATCACCTTTTACATGCTGCCATCATGTTACTTTTCCATCGTCAACGACATCCAATTACATCACCCAGGCCTATTTGCATGTGTTTAAAAACAGGCTAAAATTGCAAACTGTACGCCAGGTGGAAATATACCGAGATTTAATGTTTATAGTGACCAACAAATCTGTATCCAACTGCCACCGTCAGCAACACTTTTCTATGCAAGCAGACCCTCGTTCACTGCCAGCTTGTATCACTTGTTCATTAGAGTGGCAGCGTACACTGGACCTCATGGTCTCAGGTCGTATCAGGTGTTAGTATCGGTGTATTTGTATGAGTAAATGAGCACGGTATCAAGCTGACACCCAATACCAGAATCGATGCACCCCTAGTTGCTATGAACATTTTCCCCCTCACATTATATAAATGAGTGCTTGAAAGATTGTTGTTGTGATTATATTAGCTATTTAAAAGACAACACATGGCCACAAAGACAGTGGCCATTAAGCTACTTCACATGGTTATAGAAAATCTATTAAACATTTAGCAAAAACTACAATACAACAAAAACTGCTAAACCATACCAAAAACAAAGTTTTAATTTCTGACCAGAAAGCATGTTTATTTATTTATTTATTTAGTCACCGGTGTTACTGATAGTCATTGGTGTTACACATAAAAAAGGTAACACCAGTGACACTTTTAATGAAAAATGCATTTTACAAAATGGCTGCTACAGAGCATCAAACCACATGTCGTCAATCATCAATATCCACTAAAATATGTAATTTAATCCATTTGTATTCTATTTTTTCCACAATTACCTACGAATAAAGTTGGTCACACCAGTGACTTCAGCTAAAAGCTTCATATGAAATCATGAGCTAAATGAGAAAATCTCTGATAACTGAAAGACTCAGTGGACTCACCATGTGCTTTTCCTCACAGATCCTCAGAAAATAGATAAAAGGAAGTCAATGATAGACAAGTAACCTGATGGCTGAGTAAAACACGACAATCGCCATGTTGGGAAAGAGAACTGAGAGAAACAGAGGACGAATTTACCGTTAAAAAGCTAAATATTTCAGAAAATTGGTTCACATTTCTTTAAGCACTTTGCAGGCACCCCAACAGTCAGATTCTCTTACTGTTTACCAGAGAGAGAGAGTAAAAGAGAGAGACAGAGAGGCAGACAGGTTAAGAAGCCGTTCGTTCTCTCTGCTACGCACTATGATACCAGCTGTACCAAACACAGCTCTTCCCCTTCTATTTGTTTTACTGTACATTTAGCTCTCTTTAAATCAGCTCAACACTGCAGACATTTAAAACGCTTTGCTGCCTTCTAAATCCACAGGTTGTGGATAAAGGAGTAAACGGAGTGCAAAAAAAAGAAAAAAAAAAGGATCAGACCTGGACTGAGCTTATTTCAGCAGATACCTGATCCATTCAAATATGCTGTGATCAGACATTCCTAAATTTAATACCGTTAATAGTAAAAGACGTTTAGACATCGTGACTTGACATTTTCAACATCTACTTTAACACTTTATAAGACTTTATAAAGCCATACTGTTATACATATAAATACTGTTATACATCATCTTTGTTATACCTCATCAATAGAACACAAGAGGGAGTGTGTTATCGTGAAATAACATCACGGCAGTGATTTGGTCGCCGTAGATCATCACAGCCGCGATGTTATTCATGATAACACACAACCTCGAGTGTTTTATTGATTTTATACAACAATTAAATAAATAAAGTAAGAAATAAACTATTTGGGCTGTGAAAGCAGCATTTAATATGTTTTAATGTTCGCAGTTCCTTCACCAAATTATAGTTCCTTAACGAGCAGCTTGTTGCTACGTCAGAGTAACGAGCTCCGCCCACTCGCTGCACAGCCGGCAGTTCGTTCTCCCGCTCCTTAAACTAAAACTGCCACAATATCAAGTTCAGCTCAGTTTTGTCATTTTTTGCCAATGTTGTTTTGTTCCAGCCAGTCTGTAAAGCATCTTACAGCCCATTTAGTTTGGCGAATGGTGTTGGGTTCATTTCTGGCTGATTCCAGGTTGTTCAGCTGTTCTTCTGTCACAGCTGTCAACTGAAAAGCTGCTCAGTGGTGATGACAGTTTGGGAATTTAGTGTAGTCTCATCTTCAGAGTCTGACCAAATCGGCTGTCGAATCTGTTTTTAAAAGTATCCCATTTCTGTTTGTGAGCAAAAAATATTCAAATGGTTTGAGCGTCTCGTACAGCTGTCAAAGTTGTTGCTTAGCAAAGTCTGAGCGGAGTGATAGTGTTTGTGAAAAACCGTTAGAACGCTTCTCAACCAATCAGCTTGCATGGCCGGAACAAACTGTTGAATAAGTTTTTTTATAATTACCCTTTTTTCTAAAACAGTCCAGACACACACTGGAAATCCAGCACAGTGCCAGGGAACTTTAAGCCCTTAGGTTCCCAGCCCTGGTCCTGGAGAACCCCCTGTCCAGCAAACAGCGTTTTCCTGCTCTAACACACTCCTGTCGACTCAGGATCGGCTTTTTGAGGAGCTGATTAGTTGGATCAGGTGTGCTGAGAGCAGAGAAACCACTAAAATGTGCAGAGGAAGTGGAACCTGAGGACCAGGGTTGGGAACTACTGTTCTAGGGCTCTAGAGTCTCCATCCCTGAGCTCAGAAATGTAAGGGAGGTTCCTGTCATTTAGGGCGACTCGAGAGGGAGGGGATCATGAACCCTAATGAACAAAAAGCTGGGAACCACTGTCAACAGAGCTGTGCTTAAACCGGTTATTGAAACGCACTGTAGTTATCGGTGTTGTCGCTCAGTCGAAGGACATGAGCAAAGCGTAACATTTTTTAGGTTCAGTATTTTCTACAAAGCCTTTCCCTTTTCATTATAAATCAGTTTATATGCACTATACTGTGGTTTATTCAAAATATTTCGTGTATATCGTCTTATTATATTTAGGAGTAGGTTATTATGATGTGCTCTCACCCTTAAAATTCCCAAGGCTCGTCCTTCCTGACAATTTGGCTGCAGGGCTAAATGGGTATTAATGTGAAAGAAATGATCCTTTAACCTCTTATGCTCGTGGGTATATTTTGGTTTTTCCATTTGAATTCACATGACCAAATTGTGAGACAAATTATTCAGTAACTGCATGCGATAAATGAAAATTATTTTATTTTTTTTTTGTAAAAGTTCCCCTCAAATTAACAGAACATGGTTTTTATGATCACACATATTGCTATATGCTTACAATTTACTGCTGAAAGCCAAAAATCTTAGACACTCTTTGAATTGTTTACAATAATAATTTTTACAGAGCAGATCACTGAAGAGACGCCATCTGTTTATAGTTTATAGCCCAGATTTGTGGAAAAATGGGTCGACTTTCAGTAGACAAAAAAAATGTGAGTTCAGCTTCTTTTATTATAAGGGTTTAAAATGACATCACCCATCTATTTGACTGGAAAGAACACAGTTACAGCTCTCATACGACCCCCACCTTCTGAATGTAGCTTATGAAATATGAAAGTTATGAAGAATATGATGACGTGCGTTTTGGAACCACCGGTGGTCTCAAGGAGTTAAAAATTAAGTGTTTTTAATTTGATTAGTACATCACCCAATTTTTTCCTTTTCCATTTTACCAAAATGTTGAACCGAGGTTTGCATAGAACAAACGGGCTAATTTCACTCCCACACTAGATAATCGCACAAGCCTCATCAGAATATGAATAAAAAAGGACGATGCTACACGGCACGGCTACGTTACCGAAACTTTGCACAAATTCTGTTCTATTTGCACAGATTTTATGTCCAAACCCAGCTTATATGGTCTTGCCAACCGATTTGATGGAAAAAGGGATATATGACAATGTCTCAGATGTGTCGCTCACCCTAACCCCCTTGGAACTGAGTTACAGGGGTTAAAAACTTGCCCTACGAAATGGGACCCTCAAATTAAAAAACAAAAAAAAAAAAAAAAAAACACCACCACATTGCTTCATTAACAACCTAACTACTAGCGCTGCTCTGTAGGCGACCCGGCCCGTCTTCAGTGACAGCAGAGGAGGGTAAAGTTCAGCTCCTCACTGCTGGGCTTTAGTTACGTTTAGGGCATCATATGCTTTCAAAGAGGGGGCAATTATTTATTATCGCCCACCTCTAATTCGTTGGTGATACGAAGCTTAAGTCAGATATTCACCAGCTTCGTGTTCGAATTTTCCCGTTCCACCTTAAATGGTGCAGCAGTTCCATTCTGGCGCTCCTGGCGTCAATGCTGCCGGACTATTTAAGGTGGAACGGGAAAGTTAGCCAGCTACAGAGACCTTAGCATGCTATTAGCGATTTTTTGTGAAGAAAACGACCATAATACATTGAAACGACATTAAACTAAGAGAATACAATACTTATCGTAATTTTTCAACAGAGAAAATTCTCACATTTGTGGGTTTCTTTGGTCGCTTGTTCAGCCGTCTAGCCGGTTATTGTTTTTTTCACAACACTCCGTTTGGAGTCTCTGAAAGACCTCTTTTTGGTTGGCCATGTAGCCCTAACACTTCGCCCAACCCCTCTATCTCAACAAAAACTGGGACACCCTACCCCTAGACGTGAACGCGCAAAACAGAGGGCTAAGGGCTGAGTGGTAGGGGCGAGGGGTGAAATGGGATTGGGCCCATGACTCAACATGGAGGACTGGTAGCGTAGCTAATTAGCGGAGCCCAGTTTAGAAAAGTAGCCAAAACAGCGCGCTAAAGCAACGCTAACTCAGCATGAATTCCACTTCAATCATACAATTATAGCTATATATCATCTCCATCTGCAAAGCAGTCTAACTCAAATGTCGTCCAGTTGTGGGCTGTGTTGTCGTTTACTGAACAACGCCAGTGGTTGCTTAGCTAAGTTAGCTAATTGGCTAACAACTTGGGCTAACGGCTCATACGAAGCTGACAGCGACGGCGTTCATACTTTAAACGATCTCCTGTTATTCGACTCAAAAAATGTCAGTGAAAGCAAAATCAATCATTCTGACCGCGTTCTCTGTTTAATTCGCCTTACCTGAGGTCAGCACTGTGGCGAAAATAGCGACAGCAGCCGCGCAGCTCGGTCAGTTAACTTAGCTACATGTCGGCTTTGAAATAACGCCAAATTAGCGAGGATAGTCAAGATGGAGCTCTTAAAGAAAAATCAGTTTGGCGCCCCTTATTTAAAAGCTCCTCCTCCGGTACGGAAGAAAATCAGGAGTAAAGCTGTGAGCATAGATATACTTACCTAGACGCCGCCTTGGGTCCAGCCAGGCACGTCAACGGCGCCACCATTTTGGGGAGGTCAACATCGCGGCTGGACTGCATTCAGTACCATTACAGAGCGGTAGTTTAACAAAGATACTGTCCAAAATTACACTATTTCAAGAAAATTGCACTCAGAAAGTGGGATAGGATTATATAACGGAGGGAACGCAGCGATCCACCCTCATGTTTGTGTGACGTTTATGTGTAGATGTGGCTGTGTGGTTAGTGATGTGCAAAGAACGTGTTGATGTGATCGTTTTTCCTCTGGTTTTATGTTAAGCTTATTTCATTTAACAGTCTATTCAGATGGTCTTAATTTATGTAGTAGTTATAAAGTTATAGATGTATGGATTATCGTTAGCACCTTATTAGACAAACCTTAAGGTAGCTTCCTGTTTGCCAGCTTCTTGTTCGAAATTGCCATCCACCTTAAATGGTGCATCAGCCAGCATCTTGTTCGAATGTTCCCGTTCCACCTTCAGTGATGCACCTTCAGGCACCAGAATGTGACTGCCGCACCATTTGAGGTGGAACGGGAAAGCTCGAACAAGAAGCTGGCGAATAGGAAGCCAACTTTAGCTCCGTCCTTCTGTGTATAAAGATTAGAAGTGATTCACACACTGATGGATTTGCTGATTGAGTGCTAAACTTAGATTTTAACCTCAGGTGCAGACTGAATACTTTCCTGCTGGTCCGAACGGCTAATTAGCACAATCAGTTATTAAAGTAATAAAAGCTACCGAGAGCAGCCCGTGTAGCCCAGATTAATCTGTGTCTGAGGATTATAACAAAACAAATTTGGTGAAAATCGGTTGAGTAGTAAGGAAGTTGTGGCTGATTTAATCCTGACTCTTCATCTCTCAATACAAGTGAATTCGTTCACAAGCAGATCTTGACCGCTCCAACATGGCGGACGAGCAGACGTATCGCCTCAGACAGAGAACAACAGACAACGTGGCATCTAGGTATGTATATCTATGGCTGCGAGGTACCGCCCTTACTGCCATATTAAAAACGTTTATTTAGGTATTTATTGATTTCTTTCGACTGCAGTTTTGGAAATACAGGAGCGCAGCAGGTGGTGATTTAGTAGGGCAGTGCACACTGATGTGAATATTAATGAGCTTCCAATGTATTCATAGTAGGCTTTGTCATCACTGTATTAAGTGTAATTCATGAGGAGCTTCAAATGATCAGTTGTCACTCTTCTATTGATAAGAAGTGAGTCATTATTATCAGTGTCAGTCAAACAATGAGACACTTCATGTACAGATTCTCTGTAGTCTGTACTGATGGAAATACATAAACAGGAGTGCAAAGTTCAAGCCTAGATGTGTATATTCTGTATTTTATATGATGCTACTATGGAAGCAATGGGAAAAAGTTAATCAAGACTGGCACAATTCACAATGTTTCCATTTTTAATTACAAAAATCCTCTGGGTACATATGCCTAATAAATCGTCCAGACATCACTTCTGCCCAAAATATTGACAGCATATTAAATGCATCCAGCAAGAAAAACATGCTTGACCAGCACAATATTTAATACATAAGAATTATGGGCTATTCGCTGTACAAAATATGAGGTTCATCATTAGTCTTGCTTAAACAGGTGGAGGAAAAAGGAAGGGGCAGACCAACAATATTAAAAGAAGTATGAAAAGAAAAGAAAAGAAAAACTACTTTGGAGGGTCTGTGTTTATGCCGTATTTCTCTTTGAGCAGTTTCAGCTGCTCTTCTTTTTTCTTTGTGTCCATCTTCTGGAATGCCTGAAAGAGAGAGAGGAAGAAAGAGAGAAAATGAGATTAAAAAAAAATAATTCTGTTTTTCCACTCAAGATCAAAACTATCCTGAACAGCGGACGTCGTGAAATGTGTCTGTACTCTGAAGGTAAAAATCAAACGTACTCTGTTTGCATTGTAGTACAAAACAACCAAGTATCTGTTGCAGACGTTGAACCCAGAAAGGTGGTCACAGGCATTCTTAGCATCAAAGATGTCCTCGTAGACCACATAGGCGGTTCCTCTGGTTTCTGGTGTGTTCCCACTGTGAGCATAAACAATACAGTCATTATGAATGAACACTTTCAATTATACACGCATCCTACACAAACATTACAATAGCATCTCTGGGGGTCCGTCTCACAAAACAGGATTTCTTGTTTAGCCAGCTGACTTCAAACTTAGGTCGATCTAATGCTGCCTTCAAGTCCTCGTAAGTTCCTACTTACGACTTCAGAGGTCGTAAGTACGACTTGATTTGTGTTCGAGTGTTTTTGGTTGGAAATAAGTAAAAACAATGTTTTTGGTTTACTTTTTTGTTATTGAAGAGAGTCTGTGTATATACATTATATCTGTATTTGCATGTGTGGATGGTTTCAGCCTGCAGTGTTAACGTTGTGGTTGATGAATAACTGGCCAGCTTATCAGCGGCTATGACTGTTTTTTTGTTGACACGCCCCAACTCGGAAAATCTGGGCTTATTAAAAAACCCATGTTTCCCCATCTTCATCTTCTAGATGATGTAAGTTCATATTTTCAGGTAAAGTGACTCGATGTTTTAAAGCCGCAGCATGAAGTTTGAGTTCTACGTTACGTTTACGTCACGTCTTCCTCTGTGGGTTTATTGGCTGGTTGCAAAGCAGAAATCTGATTATTGTCTGACACATGAAGACCCAGAGTTTCCTATTACCTGATTACTCAAGTGCATATAAACTTGTTGATTGGATTACTGACACAATCTGATTTTCTGCAGTAATTGGCACTGTGCACTTTTTACGAATCTGATCTGCTCCAGGGCAGGTCAAAATTTCCTATCATAAATACCTCTTGGACTAATTAGGCGACGTGTGACGTTTGTGGTCTCAATCGCATGAAAAATATCACTTTTCAGAGAAGAAAACAAAATCATAAACCAACTGTTATTCCAATTAGCTCTAATGCAGTGGAGAATGCGTTGCTTCCTATTGTTGTAAACTCTACTCCCAAAATATATTTTGTAGTATTATGATTCTTCTTTACTCGACTCCTCTTCTTTAATGTGATTAGATTAAGTGACCCTTATTAGTCCCACAATGGGGAAATTTCACCTCCACATTCTAACCCATACGTGCAGTGAAACACCACATACACACTAGTGAACACACACACTAGAGGGCAGTGAGCACACTTGGCCGGAGTGGTGGGCAGCCCTATCCACGGCACCCGGGGAGCAGTTGGGGGTTAGGTGCCTTGCTCAAGGGCGCTTCAGTCACGTACTGTCAGCTCAAGGGATCGAACCGGCAATGTTCCAGTCGCGAGGCTGGTTCTCTAACCTCCAGCCCACGACTGATTGGCTGTTCATAATAAACATTACACTTTCATGTGCACATGCATGAGGATTAATCAAAGCTTGAGCACCTGAATCTACATTAACAGAAAACGCTGTGAACTGCCATCATAAAATGAGTTAACCAGGGCAGCGTTTGTGAGGTTTTGTGAAGCTGAAACTTGGTCAGAAAGTTGGTCAGTCTAAATTGAACATGCTTTGTGAGACAGGCTCCAGGTCTTGGTTCCGATTTTCAACCACAGCATTTAGAAACTACGTTTAGACATCACTGAGTACCAACCAGATTGTCACCTGTCAGAACGCAGAACATGAAAAGCTCAACTCTGCCATGTGGACTATTATTGGTTATCTATTTACACTCTGTTTCAGTACATGCATACATTGAATATGTTAAGAAAGCAGCTCCGTGCAAACCAGCCAATCAGAATGATTCTTTACTGTAGTTTCAGCTTGGAGAGATTAGTCAATAATCCATGGACACTATAAAACTGGACTGAATACCCTTTCTGTTTTGCTTTGGGCTCATTGAAGTAGAAGTGAATTAGTGATCTTTTAACTTGAGAGTGAAAAAGAACATTTCCCTCCAAGTCAAAAATGAAGAGGGCATGAGATTTAAAACTGTGAAGAAACAAAACATCAAGCTCAGTAAGTCAGATCAGGAATTAGCTGAATGGTGAAAAGGTAAGAAAGCCCATCTTGTCAGAATGAATTCAGAAGAAAAATGAGTTCTGACAGGCATCAACAAAAGGCCTGTATTCAAGTCAACATGAATCAAATCACAATGCATTTTCCTTCCATCCCGAGTGAAGCACAGTGTAACGGAGGCTTTCTGAGCAGCTGAGCGTTTCTGCTCAGGTAAAGGTGGCGGGAGCGGGAGGTAAAACATTATTGGTTAATATTATTTTTCCCTGCCCAAAGATGCACACTGATATATTCAAAGCCCTGAAGATGTTTTACAGGTGAGCAAAAGTCACTTCACTTTGATCAAAGATTACGGCACAACAAGAATTGTGTCTTTTAAATGGTATATTATGATGGATAATGCTTAGTATGACTAAGGACATGACCTAACAAGCTCCATTTTGATTTCATAATGACTTTAATTAAAGAAATTTCGAAGCATGAACTGGAACTTACACTCTGATTTGACGAATAGGACCATATTTCCCAAAGATATCATACATTTCTTCTGCTGTGATCTTGTAGGGAAGGTTACGAATGTACAATATCCTGTTCACCTCAGGAGGCAAGCGAATCTGGGAAAAAAATACAGGGGGGAAAACGTTAATATTGGTCAAACAAATATGAAATGCAAACGAAATACAGAATTAATTTGTTTCCTTTTGGTGATGTAGCAATCCCATCTTGACCTTTATTTTTACACAATGCTCAATTTCAAGACCTACATGTCTCACACTACAACAGCTTGATTTTCACATTTTAGAATAAAACACATTTTGTCACACAAAGGTAAGATATGCAACATTTGCTGCTATACAAGATGACATTTTCATTCCATTTACTAATATAATGTAATATAATTTTGTAATACAAGGTAGATACTGTTAAATTTAAGCCTGTCCCTGTTCTGTTTTTAAGTGTGCAATATTTGTGTTCATGGGGAAAATCCACAGATTTTTCGAAATTTCTGCATAATTTAGTTGTTGACATGTAAAAGTCATTCAATGTGGTTTGATCTGAAATGGTTCACTGTAGATAAACCTGGGCTATGTTTACACAGCAGGTGAAAGTGGCCCAAATGCGATCTTTTTCTTCATATGTGACACAGATGTGTTTCTGTGTGTCAGTGTGAACAGCAAAAACACATTGAATGTGACATTTGAGACGCTTTCATATGTGGTACTGAAATCTGATACGTATCCAATCTGCAGCAATGTGACTGAGTCTGAACAGCCAGATCGGAATTCTTTTACGGAATTCTTCTAATGACTTTTACGTCAGTCCAACTTGACATTCGTCATAATTCCACGCTGCTGAAGCTTGTTTACCTCTGGATGAACCACATGAAGCAACGTGAAGCACTGTTCTTTTGCGCATGTGGGTCAGTTTATGAGCTGATCTGTTCAGACTAATGTTGCATACAGATCACGTTTAAAAGACAATGTGAACACAAACAAAAAATCGGATTTGGTGGGAAATCAGATTTGGGCCTCTTTTACCTGCTGTGTGAACGTAGCTGTACTTACTCAGATTTGTTACGATGGTGGTGATAGGAGCACAGCTTATTAAAGTAAGAATACTGATCTAGGGTCAGATTTCTCTCATTTAGTATGACCCTACTAATAAACAGAGAGACCAGATCCTAGAACAGCACTCAGAGAAACATCATGAATACGGGCCCAGGGCTCACAACCTCAAAAAACACCAACATACACCAATCAGGCATAACATTATGACCACCTCCTTGTTTCTACACTCATTGTCCATTTTATCAGCTCCACTTACTATATAGGTGCACTTTGTAGTTCTACAGTTACAGACTGTAGTCCATCTGTTTCTCTGCATACTTTGTTAGCCCCCTTTTACCCTGTTCTTCAGTGGTCAGGACCCCCATGGACCCTCACAGAGCAGGTACTATTTGGTGGTGGATCATTCTCAGCACTGCAGTAACACTGACGTGGTGGTGGTGTGTTAGTGTGTGTTGTGCTGGTACGAGTGGATCAGACACAGCTGTGCTGCTGGAGTTTTTAAACACTGTGTCCACTCACTGTTCACTCTATTAGACACTCCTACTTTGTAGATGTAAAGTCAGAGACAGTAGCCAGTCTATTGCTACACAGTTTGTGTTGGTCATCCTCTAGTCCTTCATCAGTGGTCACAGGACGCTGCCCACAGGACGCTGTTGGCTGGATGTTTTTGGTTGGTGGACTATTCTCAGTCGAGCAGCGACAATGAGGTGTTTAAAAACTCCAGCAGCGCTGCTGTGTCTGTGTCGTCAGTGTCGCTGCGGTGCTGAGAATCATCCACCACCCAAATAACAGCTGCTTTGTGGTGGTCCTGACCACTGAAGAACAGGGCAAAAGGGGGATGAGGTATTTAGATTAAAAAAAGAACTACAGTCTGTAATTGTAGAACTACAAAGTGCACTTATATGGCAAGTGGACCTGAGTATAGATACAAGAAGGTACACTTAATGAAGTGGCTTTCAATACTACTGTAAAACAGTGCCTCAGGCAATCGAGCAGCGTGTTTACAATCAGTTTTGTTATAACCTCCTGTGATGCAGCGTTTACAAACATTTAACCTCTTCGGACGTCTGGTTCCCATCACCACCACTGTAAACAATTCGGACTTGGTTCCTCTAGAATGGAAGATTTTCACATCAAACCACTCCGAATTACTTTTTTTATACATCATAACCATTTAAAAATCGGTGATATTTCCCTTTTAGCCTTTCTGTTCTGACCAGATACAACTAGCTTACAGGCAAATGTGGAGGAAACTATCCTGTGGAGGAATCAATTTGTCCTACCCGCCGAGCGGTCCTACTGAGCATGCGCATATCATTACTATAGCGTAGTAACTTAATGTTTAGTGTTTTTAACGTTAATTCAGTGCATATCCTGTATAATATAATTCAGTGTATTGTTACTTACTCCCTGATGAGGTGATTTCGACGATCACAATATCCTAATTATTCTTTTAATGCTGGTAACGTTTAACGTTACTGATAAGGAGATTTAGGCTATCAAATTATCCTACCTATAAATTTCACTGCAGGCAGCATTTTCTGATAGGATAATAATTTAGGCCATCAAAATATCCCACCTACAGTTTTATGTAGAGCACTAACTTACTTAAAATAAGCGGTACGGTAGGACAAGGTAGCACAATTCGTCTCAACACCGGAACACAGTAGGTTACTGCTCTTAGTGTTACTTAGGTGTGTTTACCTATTCTAGCTACGTAACATTGGCGACCAGTGAGTGCTCAGTCACACTGTAGGACAGCTGAATCCAATAAATGATGTAAACGTTTCAATTTAAATCTATATTTGTTTGAGAAACAGAGAATTGTGTTTCTATTTGTGCTCTCTGAAGCCCCAGTTAGCCACAATAGCTACCCAGGTCCGACTTCAGTCCCTCGCTAACAGTTACATGCCTCCCTGGTTCTAAACAGACCCGACTGAGCTCAAGAAGGACTTAATAAACCGCTAACAAGACGACTGATGTGCAGTGAAAGCAGCAGACCGTGTAGTTTATGAGCAGCGGGGCTGTTTAAGGCGCCGCTGATTGAACACGGGCCGAGCTGTACCAGTTAGCTTTAGCTCATGGAGGCTAACCGCCAGTTAGCTCAGCTGCTAGCTCGTTAGAAAGAGGCCTTACAAACACACCGCGACACCGGTCACCACTCCGGTCACCACACAGGACTTACGTTCGCTCGCTTGGCTGCTTGCATCGCCATGGCTGAGACTTCTTACGAACAACTCAAACCGCTTAAAATAAACAACGCAAACTCCGAAACGCCGCCGTTTCTCGAAGGGAACGACTACGCACTTTTGCGAAGGCTCGTGACGCGCAGCAATGACGTTTTTCCGCCGAACGTCTAAAAACAACGGACTCTTTTCCGCAGATCTCCGATCAGTTTTAGGACCCGGGATGATTTACATCACCGGTTAAACCCAGAGCCGTCTGTCTCTCTCTGTCTGTCTGTCTCTCTGTCTCTGTCTGTCTGTCTGTCTGTCTGTCTCTCTCTGTCTCTCTGTCTGTCTCTCTCTCTCTCTCTCTCTCTCTCTCTCTCTCTCTCTCTCTCTATATATATATATGTATATATATAGCCGTATATCTCTCTATACGGCTCTGGTTAAACCCAAAGGCTGTGGGTTTCAGTGAGTTTACAAAGGCAGATATTATATATTAATGATTTTCCGAGACACGGATTCTGAAATGGTTGTAAATGTTATGTTATTGTTAGGAAAAATGTTTCATACACAACGTGAGCTGAAAACAACACCGTCTTTTTAAGTTTTTCATAAGGAGCTTATGCACTGTTTTGGTACCTTAGAGTGCATGAAAAAGAAAATTACTAAAATTAATTTGTGAAAATGGTTTGAAAGACACTAGGGAGTAATTGTGTCTCCCCTAACCCTATGTATATATATATATATATATATTTTTTTTTTTATATTGTTACTTGAATTTACCGACTGCTTCGGTTTGTGTTAAGTAAATAAGTGTAGACTGCATTGCCATTACTGTTTGTACATTGATTGCAAATAAATAAATAAATAAATAATAAATGAAGCACGCTCAGCTTTAGGACCCCGCCTTGTTGCAGTGTATCCAGGACCGGTTTATGAGGAATCTGGCCACTTCCTATCCCCCCCTACCCCCCATTAGGGAGTCCTCAACGAATGGGAGTAAATGACGCTAAACGGCTAAAAACGAGAAGTTAAAATAGTGTCTAATCACTCGCCCAGAACATTTCTTTAATTTTAGAAAGTAGAAGGATGTATTTCACTAAAAAGCAAAGAAATCTTACCTATATATTTTCCTTTTTCTACAGCAAAACGGGTTCTGGGCAGCAGGAGGCGGGCATTACTGCTAGAGCGTGATGATTGATTGGCGAGCGGAGCAGCTCATTGGCTGTTCGCGCTCACTGACGTCATGAACGTACATGAGGTGCTGTTTTAAACTCCTTTAACTCGAGTTTAAAAGCGCTTAAAAATATAACAGCTGTGTTAAAATGTTTTCTGCTGCTCTGTGTTCAGGAAATGATTGTATTATTTTACATTAAAAATGTTTAAGCATTTATAAACTATGGTTTTGCTCAAATGCTCCATATCAACCCATTCATTTTGGACTCGCTCGGGAGCGCCCTCTAGCGTCTGAGAAAAGACGACATTGCATGGTGGTAATTCTCCTCTCTACAGGTTCTCTGGTTTTTCCGCCAAACGTCTAAAACAACGGACTCTTTTCCGCAGATCTCCGATCAGCTTTGAGACCCCGCCTTGATGCAGTTTATCATCAGACCTCCATCTGAATTCACATGACCAAATCGTAAGGCAAATTATTCAGTAACTGCATGAAATAAATGTACATTTTTCTTTATTTATATTTTTTTTTGTAAAAGTTCCCCTCAAATTAACAGAACATGTGTTTTATGATCACACATATTGCAATATGCTTACAATTTACTGCTAAAAGACAAAAATCTTAGACACTATTTGTATTATTTTATAAAAATAATGTTTACAGAGCAGATCACTGAAGAGACGCCATCTGTTTATAGTTTATAGCCCAGATTTGTGGAAAAATGGGTCGACTTTCAGTAGAAAAAAGAAATGTTCAGCTTTTTTTATTATAAGGGTTTAAAATTACATCACCCATCTATTTGACTGGAAAGAAGACAGTTACAGCTCTCATACGACCCCCACCTTCTGAATGTAGCTTATGAAATATGAAAGTTATGAAGAATATGACGAAGTGCGTTTTGGAACTTTTGGAGCTTCCTGAATTAGATTTCAGGCTAATCTGATTTAGATTAAGCAGTATTTTCCAGTCTCTGAAGTAGCTGGCAATATGGCACAATGAGCAATATTTCATAAAAGTAAATGAACAGGAAGCTGAAATTACAGAGGGAGTTATTCACATGCGGTGAGACAGATTCCAAACGGAAAACCATCTGTCCCTGTAAGAAAAGCTTGGTTTTAGTGTGGTAACTGGCAACATGGCACATAGAGAAGTGGTGCCCACAAAAAAAGAGTATATGGAAAACTGAAATTCCAGGTGGATACATACATCATCTAAACCGCTTATCCTTCTGGGTCACGGTGGGGTGCTGGAGCCTATCCCAGCTGTCATTGGGCAGAAGGCAGGATACACCCTGGACAGGTCGCCAGTCCATTGCAGTGCAGACAGACAGACATACACAATCACACACACTCACCTAGGGGCAATTCAGCATGTCCAGTTAGCTTAAATGCATGTTTTTGGACTGTGGGAGGAAACCCACGCGCACACGGGGGAACATGCAAACTCCACACAGAAATGACCCTGGTCGCCCAGCCAGGAATCAAACCCAGGCCATTCTCGCTGTGAGGCAACAGCGCTACCCACTGCGCCACTGTGCTGCCCAGGTGGATATAGAAAGCATTATTTACTTTGGGCCAGAGAAATTCCATAGAAGATTATATTAATCTATATGCACTATTGCTCAGTATACCATGTTGCCAGTTATTTTTAGTTATAGCACTGACTACGACATTGTCCTGAGGAAGGGATGTTTGCTCTCTTCGGACGATTTCTTTTATTTTTCTGGCACATTGCCATTAAAGCCGTCAAAGTCAATAGAGAATTTCAGCTTTTAATTTAACTGTGTGCAGCATTACTTGGGAAAACACATTACCAGTCATTTTAAAATTATTACATTGGTTTGGGCCAGACCAAAAACTAGGTTTTCCTTACAGCTGGCAACTGGTTCTCTATCTGGGATATGGAATTTCTGCGGCCTGATATGAAAAATGCATTCTTCCACTTGAAATTTCAGCATTCCCTTAATTTAATTGTGTGCATGACTGCACTATGTGCCACGTTGCCAGTTTCTCTATTTTCTTTGGCCCAAAGTGAATAAGGCCTTCTGAGTTTATATAAGGTCAGTAATGGTAAAATTGTGGTGAACATAAAAAGACGCTTTTTGTGCAGTGACCTCTCCTTCTTGAAAGGTTTTTTAAAAACAGATTTTAGGCCAAAACTTTATCTCAGTACTGCCTTAAACTACCTGGAAAACTGTTTTTCCCACATTACTGAAAATACATTTACATTACAAGACATAATATTGTGGATCTTAGTTTAACTAGACTGATCACAGTGGCGACTGAGCTCTGTCAGAGAGTCTTCAGCAGAGCCTGAATGGAACAGTCTGCTTGTTGAGATTAATCCCAATAGTTTTAGTAACAAAATAAACAAGCAGACACCAGAAAAATGCCTCACTGATATTTATTTATTTATTTATTTAACTATTTGGATGTGTGTCCGCTGTATGGATGCTGCCTGCTGTTGATATAATAAACGCTTTGTTTGATAGCTTTGTTATATCAAGGTCCACAATAACCCTGAGACCATCCTGACTTGTCATTGACAAACATGCGGACATGTTATACTTGCTTTTAATGTCCAATAAACTAAACTAAATAAACAAAAAAGCTCAAAACTACTGTAAAACTACATATACAAGGCAGCATATCTGTAACAGTTTCATGTACTTATGAACTGGCTTTAAAAGTATATTGCTTTGAGCGTCTGGTTCCTATCACTACCACTATGAATAAGTCTTAGCAAAAAGCGTTCAACAGTAGAACCCTTTTTGGTGCTATGCAGAACCATTTCTAAAAGGATTCTTTAAAGAACCATAAACAGCTGGTTTTACATCATAGAGAAGAACCATCTATGATGTAAAACCAGCTGTTCTCTAGAATGGAGCATTTAACATTAAATCACTCTGAATGACTTTGTTTACATCTCAACTCTTCAAGCGTACAGAAGTTTTAAAAAATCTGTGAATTTTCCTGTTAAACCGTTTGATCATTAGGCCTTTAACGAAAAGTGCCGAACTGATCTCAGATCAGTGTAAATCCCTCACAGTGAAGGAACTACAGTTAAGATCTCAGTTTGATATGACGTAAAGACACAAAAACGGCAGAATGTAAGGAAAATATACCCAGCGCCGGATTCACAAAGCTTTCTTAGGAAAAACTTGCGATGGTTGTTAAGACAAACACTATCTGATATCTGATAGCTGATCTGATGTCATATCTGATCTTGCGCTGACATTTTGTGTATGCATCACACATCACACTTATTGTTTATTGTTCAGTATATTTTATTCCATTAATTATTTTACGGCAATATTCCGTTTATTCTGCTCTTTACTGTGCTTTGTACTGCTGCAATAGAAGAATTTCCCTCTGGGATTAAAAAGTGATCCATCTATCTATCAATAATCTATCTATTATCTATCTATCTATAATCTATTTATCTATCATCTATCTATAAATCTATCATCTATCTATCTATCTATCAATAATCTATCTATTATCTATCTATCTATAATCTATTTATCTATCATCTATCTATAAATCTATTTATCTATCTATCTATCTATCAATAATCTATTATCCATCTATAAACTATTTATCTATCATCTATCTATAAATCTATCATCTATCTATAATCTATCATCTATTTATCTATCTATCTATCTATCTATCTATCTGTGTCTGTCTACCTATCTATCCATCCATCCAACCATCCATCCATCCATCTAAAAAATTCTTCAGAATGTCCTTAAATGCTAAAGTTCTTCAATAAATATTCTCTTAAATAGTCTTAATGAGCTCTTTATATTTTCTTAAAAATCTTCATTGTTTTCTTATGTGGGCTCTGGTGCTTTTTACAGCTTCCCATAAACACCACGAGATACATTTTTAATTTGTATTAACTGTTATTTACATTATTTAATCTACTCAGAGGGGCAAAATGGAGGAAATACATCAAACCAAGTTTTTGGTGAACAAGAACTAAAGGTGGTGGTGGAAGAAACAGCCAACAGAAATGAAAATCCGATAATACGATAATTGTGGGGTGACAGCAGAAGCAGCAGAGGCAGCGCCCGAGTTTGATAAATACAGATCCTCATCAGCTCTTACAGCCTGAGGCAAGTGTGAGGCTGTCAAAGGTTAAGAAAACATTTAAGAACATTTCAAGAATAACTCTTGTTCTTAGAATTGTTCTTTAGAAAATAGTTAAGAAAAAAAATAAGAGAACTCTTAAAAGGTTTTTGAGGAATAGCATGTTTTTTCATAACTTTTTCTTAAGATTGAAGTTAAGGAAAAATCGCACATTCAGGAAGATTTTCTTTCTTAAGACACTTTCATGAATCCGGACCCAAGTCACACGGTTCCCCTCCAGCCTTTAGAAGCTCCTTACTGACATCTTGTGGTAGAAAGATGACAGACTGCATGTTTAACCCGAGACTAAACCTATTTTTAATGTTTATCTTTAACAATATCTGCCTCATTAACCTTAACAGCATTTCCTTAATGGAACTCACACGTTGAGAAAAAAGCCCATATATCATTTTATTAGTTTAAACCACAACACAAGGAGTAGTGCAGCCATGGCATCAGGGGCACAATACATGCTACATGTACAAAATAATTCAAAATTTAACCAGTTGCCATTGTATGAATTTGGTGACAGGCCAGTTAGGTAAACATTATGTGAAAATAATGCATGTGTGTAAAGCTTTTATTCATGACATGGAATCACAGATTTGTTCACGCTGACCGTCTGATCAGTCAGTCAGGTAATAAATAAATAAATAAGCATCTGATGCAGAGAATAGGGCATGTGTAATGATGACAACATGCTAATGATGACATTGGGCTGGGCAAAGCTCCAAAGCTTGAATAGACACGTTTACTCGCAGACACATCAAACGACTTGTCTCTGTTAGATTTCCCTCTCATAAAGACACTGGTCATTAGATTCTGTGTTAACTGTCACAGGTAAGAATAAGAAGCCTTAAAGGTGCAGTGTGTAAGATTGGGTGGCATCTAGTGGTGACGCTGCAGACTGCAACCAACTCAATACCCCTCCCTCACCCCTCCGTTTCCAGGTTTTCTGCTGTCAGCTGTGCCAATTTCGTTTTGCTTCATGTTTTGCCATCTTGATCGATGAGGATTCACCCTTCTTCGCTTTTTCTTGTGCTAAACAATAAGCATGATCCTCCGTTCGGAAGAGTTTGGGTTCTCAAACTTCTCGCAACACAAAATGGTCTTATAACCAGTGCTATAGCGCCACCAAATTCAAGCTGTCGCTTCAACGTAAAAACGTGAAAGGCGCTCTCTAAAGCCGGTGTTTGGTTTGTCTGTTCTGGGCTACTGCAGAAACATGGCAGCGCAACATGGTGGCCTCAGCTGGAAGAGGACCCGCTCTCTATAGCTGCGTCCATAGCTGCATTTGAAGGCCGACTGCGTCACAGCGGCGCGTGCTCATTCCACGCTAACAATGGACCTTTTCCACAGTCACTGCGTCGTCACATCCGGCTGTAAATAGTGGCGTTATCAAACATCCACCTGCACCGTTTAACAGAGCGTCAATAGAGGGTCGCTGGTTTTCAGCATCCCTCAAAAATCGTTCTTCGGCCTCAGCTCGATTGATAGGAGAGCAGTTTACTTGTGTGGTAGTTACTCTAATATGAGCAGAAGGCTAGCCTGTCATGGCTAAAGCACGTCACGCAAAACCTAAAAACATCTGAACTCTGTATGAATCTGCGCATCCGCCGCTGTGGACTCCACTGTGCGGAACTCAGGGGCAGCCCGGTAAACATAGTTCGCTGCGGCAGACAACATAGCCACGCATCCCACGTCTGAAAGCGCATCTCCGTGTCAAAGCAGCTGCGTTCAGACGGCGGAATGTATTCCGCGAAAATCCACATCAGAACCGAGAGGAATTTGCCTGAGACAGGTTTTGCGGAGCGGATTATAATGTTCAACACCGCATCACACATCTACGGAGCCCTGCTGGTGACATCCTGTGTAAATAAAAATAATGCGCGGCCACACCTTATTAACGCGTGGGAACAAGATCCTAAAGTGTGGCCACAACTTAGTAAGGCGTGGGAATGAGTTGATTAAGTCGTGGCCATGACTTAGTAAAGCGTGGGAACGAGATCACGGCTTTCTAAGTCGTGGCCATGCATTAGGATCTCGTTCCCACGCCTTACTACGTGGTGGCCACGCATTAGGATCTCGTTCCCACGCCTTACTACATGGTGGCCACGCATTAGGATCTTGTTCCCAGGCTTTATTAAGTCATGGCCTCGACTTAATCATCTCATTAACACGCCTTACTAAGTCGTGGCCACGCATTATTTTTATTTATACAGGATGTCACCAGCAGGGCTCCATTCACATCCCTAAACAGATCTGCACTCACTGCGCTTCATTTTGGTGGAGAAAAAGGTCAACAGGTTTAGTTTTTCCTTCTCAGTCCATGTAAACATCAGCAACATTAGCAAGTGTCCTGAACACCATAACCAGCTCAGAGACGCAGCATCGTATTTCTACAGTTACTAATCACCAACAGCTACAGTGGAGAGGAGTCAGTTTGGCTGTTTAGTTGAATTATCGGTGTATTAGGAACGCAGTGATGATTTCAGCCTTTGTTTACAGCACGACCGGAAGCCGTTTAACGCTATTATTTACTCTTCCGCATTAACAAACATGGAAGTGTGAAAATGGTCTATAACAACGATTCACAGTTAGAGGTGATTATACACTGATGAAAACATGGTTTTGTATATTATATTCCATTTCTGCTGATAGATCCCCCTAAATCCTACACACTGCACCTTTAAATAACACTTGCAGACAGACAATACATAGCAGCTTTGGGAAAACTGTGATTCCAGTGAAGGAACTGTGATATTTCCTGTCATTTCCAACTGAATGAGGCTGTTTGAAAACCTCTTTCCAAGCAACAGTTTGTTCAAAACCAACTGGCAGTTCTGCACAGTGATATGCAGCCCTACATCTTGGGGGACCAGCATGGAGAAATTAAGTGGAGCCATATTGCACAAGTAGCTTGCAGTTAAAACTAATAAGGGAATATTTTGCACGAGCTGTACAACAGTGGTACTCCTGTTGGGAACGAACATACAGACATACATTTCACCTTTGTTGTTTTTTTCCTCATTGCGTTATCAGCCACATTCAGTTCTCCTGTTTCACACTGTGCACACAATACCAGCCAGACGGCTATAAACGACATGAGGAAACCACTGGAGACCATTATCCCATGGGTGCCAGAAACCAAATTGAAAATTGATGAATGGATTGCAATAAAACATCCCTCGCATCATCACAGGATTTGCATATCCTAGGGAAACAGTTCTTCCTATTGTTTCAGTTATACGGACCAAAAGGTTCGCTCTTTTTTTAATAAGGCTTTGTCTTCTGTTTTTCTTTAGTATGAGAGTTTTCTTTAAGGCAGACCTAGTGGCATGCACATAAACTACTTTTTTTCATATTCACCAACAGTACAAGCATGTTTGAATGTGAAAGCAAGACGGAAAAGAATCTGTTCTCAGTCCACTCGAACAACGTATAAATGATTAATCTGAAACAGTTACCATTACCATAGGAACTGATTTGGCTGACGTCACACAGTATTATGATACACGTAGCTAGCATCAGTAAAGTCGAACAATAAATAGTAGCTTAATTCAATAGAGCACATCGATGATGCGCAAGCTTCAGTGGAATGAGACTGTATGGAAAGTACTTTTGCACACTTCACATTTTGGCAGTTTAACAACTTATATTTATATATTTATATGAATATATTTATATTTGTATAACTCTATTTGTGCGTGACATGTTCTGTATGTGTGTATGAGCTTGTAGTGTCTGTATATGTGTGTGTTTGTGTGCGTGCATGTGTAAAACTTGTTAGCAAAGAACATTCTCATGCACACAAGTGTTTCAAACACAGGAAGCGGATCCATTGAAAGGTAGTCCAAGCAATTTTTTTTTATCAGTGGAAATAGCTGCAAACTGAATGGAACATTAATCTTCTGTGCAGTCCTGTGGCGTTCCCCCAGACGCCGGCCTCATTTTTGCAGGTCGCACTGCAGCAGTAATACAATGGACGGGTCACTCTTTGCTGCCTCTTTGAACTCCTCCAACGTGATCTGGTCGTCGTTGTTCTTATCCATCTTGCTGAAGATTTTGTCGACCCGCTGCTCGGGCGTCAGACCGTCCTCGTTCATCTTCATCATGATCACGGTGCCCACCATCTTGTAAATCGCCTGTCGAGCAAGAGAGATGAGAGTGAGCCTTATGATGATTATGATTATGGGCAATTTACAGCTCTCCACACACGCATAACTCATTTTCATGTTCTGCTCTCAAACTTGCCGTTTGGCCAAAATCAAATTTACTCTGTTTTCCCCTTAGCCCAATCGCAATTGATCAGACATGACATGTTTGAGGTCCAACGTTTGCCTCTGTAGTTTTGTGCTTTTGCCACCAGGCTGATGTTGCTAACAGGTAATGGAAGCATATTGCTGCTGTTGGAAGAAAACGTTTTTCATTTTTTAACATAATTTGAAAATGCCTGTTGCTCTTTACATTGTGTGTAAATGGGCTAAAAGCAACGGCACAAAATAACTTGGAAAAAAGTCTGGTTTCATTGACTTACGTTAAAAGTAAAGGTTTTTTCTTTTCCTGTAAAGTTACCATTTGGGAGATTTGTTTTCTTCCGACAACAGCGATAAACCCCATCAAATCCATACCTAAAGGGGCTGAGTTAGTAAATGTCTCATAGATTTGCTTATGTGATTTCTGACACCGTATGACATACTGCTTTCTATGATAATGGACAAAGTATGTATAGCATAGCTAAAAACAGTGGAAGCAGCAATTTGAAGTCTAAATTTTGATCATACTTATCCATTTTTATTAATAACAGTATGTTATACAGCATCAGAAACCACACATGCAAGTCTATTTGAGAATGCTTAACAGCTCAGGTTTGGGGCAGGTGTGATGACTTGATGATGGCTACAAGCTTTCATTTATTCACTGCAGCTGTCCCCTTTTGGTATGTGAATAGGCTCTTTTCACATTTCTAAAGTTTTTCTGGTGAAAGTAGTCACTGCAGGGTGACGCTGCTTCCGCTTCAGCAACGACAATGACAATGATGACAAGTAGAGCGTGTGCAGCTTACTCAAATGTTCGAGCCTGAAGCAAAAACAGCCTTATCTCAGTTTTAGCGATGTGTCAGCTGACCATGAGCAGAGGAAAAATGGGTTTGTGCAATTAATAAAGGAAAAAACTGTCATATGGAGGAAAAGAACCTCTCTGTCGGCATTTCACTGCCACTGACTAACGTTACACTGAATGAGGTTCATCGTTTAAAGTTGGTGCTACAGCCACTTTTAGAGGAACAGTTTTCACCCTCAAAAATCGTCAGTAGCTGAGAGAGTGAGTGCTCGGGTGGGATGTAGAAACATCTACAGTGATGCCACAGATCATGACAACCCAACACGCCCCCCTGCCGGAATGTGTGGATGTTTAGCTTTTTGCCAGTTACTTTATTGTCTCCAGGTAACGTAAACTTGAGCAAACGCTAATCTAGCATTTTGGTTATAGTTATTTTCACCTATTCATCAATTTATTGCTCTGTAGATGTTTGCTGATGTTACTATACACTGATAGCTGTGAAGGATTTTTTTCACGAAGCATTTATGCCTTTTATTTAGTTTGGACTCCTGCATTGTTGGGTGTTTGGTTCTCCAACAATTCTGGACACATCCTCAAATTTCAATCTTGGAAACTACGACAAAGATAAAGAGACACACTTCTCTGTGGTGAGCTGAAGTGATATGAACGCCTATATTTCTGAGGTTAGTAACTATCCGTAAAGCAATAGTGAAATTTGTTTTACCCAGTGTTTATGCACTTCTGTTTCTTGTGAAAAGGGCCTATTACTGCTAAACCGTATGTTCATGGCATGCAGTGACAGAAGATCAAATCTGAAAGGAGCTCATCTGATATTTTATCATTTTTATAGATTTATGTCTATAAAGGCAAAACTTGAAATGATCACGCATTTCATTTGACAGAAGCCTTGATTAAGACTTTCTCCAATGTGTTTAAGTTGAAATCTTTAGTTTTCTAATAATAAATGAAGAAGTGGGAGGATAGCATTTGAGGTAAAAGGCCTACTGATGGAGAAGCCCGTCTTCTCCTTAGCTAATATTAGCGACAAAGGTTTTGTGGAATCCGAAGCATCAAAATCACAGATCATACCATTAATGGATTTTCTTTACAACCTCTAATCTATTGGCTAGCCAGCTGACACTTTTGCAGTGGAATCAATCGGAACACCTAAAAGTCATAAAGTAGCCTAATAGCTTTATAAGACCACTTGGGATTCGTGGTGCTAAGCATTCCATGGCAGCTGGTAAGAAAGAGGACTAAATACTCATTAATACTTATTATACTAAATAATAAATAGCAAATTAGATTTGATTTCTATCTACTTTTTCTATGTTTAGTGACAGCCAATTTCTTATTTTAATCTACATAAGAACACAAACACTGCACATGCTTCTAATAATGCTCATTAATCTGTTTTCTGAACTACTACAGCATCATGTTCATGTGTGCTGTGGAGAATGCTGATCATTCCTTCTTACAACCAAAGATCAGAACTGAAGATTTCAATGTTCAGATGTCTCAGACACAGCACTGCACTGGTAAGCACTTTTCCATGATTGTTAGGCTATTCATGGAAGTGTCTATACGTACTTCAATGATCTCCAGCATCTCCACTCGTGTGATCTTGCCATCTCCATCCAGATCGTACATGTTGAAGGCCCAGTTGAGTTTCTGTTCGAAGCTGCCTCGCGATGTGATGGACAGGGCGCAGATGAACTCCCTGAAGTCGATGGTTCCATCTCCATTCTTGTCGAAGGTCCGGAAGGCGTGCTGGGCAAACTTTGATGCATCACCATAGGGGAAAAACTGGAAGAGAGAGGAGAAGATATGGTGAGCTCCAGTGGTGACTGGACACTGACACTTTTTGTTGTTTCTGCTCCGAACTCCAGCACGTTGGATTTGTATAACTGTGATTTGATCACACAGCAACTGTGGGGATTAACGTATAGCGCTTCAGTTTCAAATGAACAGTCGTATGCAAAAGTTTAAACACCCTGGACACCTATGTGAAAATAAGTTAGCACATCCTCTACATGGAACACACTTAAATATGTCATTTTCTGCAGATTTTATGACACAATTTATTTGTTGAGTTTAATATGTTACCATAACACCACATATACAATGTAAAATGTGCCATAACTTTCACATATGCCACATTTTATTTATATATGCATTATTTTATTATTTTTACTTTACAAATATATATATATATATATATATATATATATATATATATATATATATATATATATATATATATATTATACAGCAATATCACTGCTGAAGAAAATCTCGAATCTTTTGACATAAATTAAAAACACCTGTTGCTCTTTACATTGTGTAAATTTGACCCAAAATGACTTGCCAAAAAAGTCTGGTTCCATTGACTTGCGTTAAAAGTAAAGTATGTTTTTTCCTTCTCCTGTAAAGTTACCATTTTGGTGATATGAGGTTTTCTTCCGACTACAGCGATGTATATATATCAGGCTATGTGGTAGCTACCAGTGTTGTCATGCGTATGTGGTGTCTTCAAACACATGGGGGCCACTGTAGTATCATCACAGAATTATTTTAAAAATACATTATACATGTGAATACACTATTTTACACAATTTCTATACATTTATTTTGAGCTTAACATATTACATAACATGCATATTACATAACACATGCATGTAAAATGTGCCATAACTTTTGTACAGGCCACATTTAATGTTTTATTTTATTTTTTTTTTCAAATCTAAATTCAGGAAACAAACAGTAATTGTGCATTAAAATGTGCAAAAGTGTGTCCTCTGTTGAGGATGCATTCATTTATTTTTACTTTTAATCTGACCAGGGGTGTTGAATCTTTTGCATACTAATGTACAATTATTAGTGTTGGTGGCTACGGTGTGATATTGTTTCATACAGGATACTCTGTGTGCTGTGTGTAGTGTGTTTGCCATCACTATGCCATCAGCTCCCAGTGCGGTTGGTGGCCTCGCTGCGCTGCGGGAGTGGGCTGCAATGCGGACCTGAGCTGCAAAAAGGCTCCGAGTGCCGCAGCACAAGCAGCACAGCGCATCACTCCTCTTCATGGGGGGATGATCACTTCATCGATTTCAGATTGCAGTGTTTCCCCTAGATGTTTTTTTCAGGCTGGGTGGTAGACCCTTCACAGTTACCATGTGTTGTAATATGTATGTGGTGTCGTTAAACGCATGGGGGCCAGTGTATTATCATTGAGCAGAATTATTTTTAAAATACACTATACATGTGAATACACTACGTTATACCTTATCTGCATGTTTATTTTCAGAAATATAATTGTGATTGACTGTAGGAGTTTGTTTATAGTCAGTTAATTTATTTGGACCATTCTACCAACAAAAACGTTAGCCTGCCTGTTAGATCCTAATGTCTGTATCTTACCCAAGTCGAGCAGCACACGAGTTTGGTCCCACATTATTGTAGACGAAACACTGGATTGTTACAACTGATCGTATTTCAGTATAATTCTTAAGCTATTTTCAAATGTAAAAATACATTAGAATACATAGTAAAAATATCTATTTTAGTTTTTACAGTTTTATTGCAATGTGCTACTTCTTGAAAATAAGTGTGGTGAGCAGGCAAAGCTTCGCGTATAGACCACTGTAGTCGTGTCATCATTTTGTAGTCTGCTCCATGCTCTTATGTCCATATTAGGAACTCCAGGTCTAAGCTCCATTTCTTTATGGCTAGAATGAATAGGGTTTTCCAAAAATCGCCTCTATCGAATCCTGTGTTAAATAAAAATATTCAGAACACGATACATTTTGTCCTGTCAACATTCTTCTCTTAAATACCACTGGATCCTCTGAATTACGAGGTCGTTAAAGAGTTGAAATATAAATATTGCTACATGTGAACTAAAGCTACTGCACACTAAATTCAAGTCATTAGACTGGCAGCCTCCTTAAGCAGGTTTTGTCAGTGTATATTTCCAAGTACAGACTGAGGGCAGATAAAAAGAATTCAGAACAAAATCAGCAGGTTTCCCTGCAGTTCTCTGTTCTTCATCTGATGCTCACTGAAACACGACAGAGCTTTCCTTTTAGTTTGATTTGAAAAGATCTACAAACGTACATGCACTCAGGCTAATCCAGTACAGACTCAGCTTAATATCACTGCTCATACCTGATACTGAACTGACTTCAGCTATCAGGATATCCTAATTATTAATTTAATGCTGGTAACATTTTTCTGAGGACATTTTCTCAGGACATTCGCCAGCTTTTTGTTCGACTTTTCCCGTTCCACCTTAAGTGGTGCAGCAGTCATGTTCTGAACTTCTGCGCTGTTTACGGTGGAACAGGAAAATTCAAACAAGCAGCCGACTTCAGCTTCATGAAGGGTTGAAAGGCCTGATATGAGGAGGTTTATCTGTTTTCGCTTGAAAGCTGAGTAACATTAAATTACTTTTGCTGTTTTACAGAACAGACAGGTCGGTATTTTGTCTCGTTTGCTAATGTTTGTGATAGCTAGTCACAGCTGCTGCACCATTTAAGGTGGAACACAAATATTCAAACAAGAAGCTGTGAAAAAAGAAGCTAAATTCAGCCTTGTAGTTTTTTTTACCCTATTTTCTCCCCAATTTAGTCGTTTCCAATTCCACCCACTAGTTAGGACTTCCCAAATCACACGATACTACCAACGCTAGGAGGGTGAAGACTAGCACAGGCTTCCTCCGAGACCTGTGAAGCGCCACGGCTTCTTTTCAAACTGCCGCTCATGCAATGTCATTGGACAGTTGAACGCGCTCGGAGGAAAGTGCCAACTGCCAGATCTGTTATGTCAGCTAACAGACGCCTGCGCTGACTAGCATAGCATTGAGTGATGGGGGGAGAGGGGAGGGCCATCCTACCCACCCACAGAGAGCGAGGTCAATTGTGCTCTCTTGGACTCCCGGCTATGGATGGCTGTAGCATCACCAGGGATCGAACTCATGATCTCCTGATGACAGGGCCAACGCTTAGACGGTTGCGCCACTCGGGAGCCCCCAGCCTCAAATTCAGTCGCGGTGAGATTTCATGATACCCTGAATTGTTTCCTAAAGAATCGTAATCAAATCAAATCATCGTGAAGTCAGATTTACACCACTGATGATTAGGGATGCATCAATATGGGGCAATATCCGATTTACAAATGCAGTAAAATAAATAAAATGCAGCTACCAGCCCAGCATCACCTAAACACTGTGTTCTTCAGTTTAAGAAAATACCCGTTTAAAATGCTGGTAAAATCTAAACATCTGTCTGATGCTGATATATTTTTAAGCAAATATGTGCGGACACCAAAATAATTCTGATATCACGGTGTATCTCGGCTAATGAGCAGCCACTGTGGGCACAAACTGCTTATGCATCTCCCCTCAGCATGCCTGAGACAACACCAATTTCCGACCCAACGAGCAACCAAACAAGACGGAATGTGTTTTTGCTGATGATAATTTAAAGCCTCTCCTGAATATGTGCACAAAATGATCCAATTCAGTGCAGGGAGGGAAAGCAATCACCCTGGCATATCTCTGTTATTGAGATTTTATCTGAGTAGGAGAATCTTATCATCAAAGAGCTCATCTGTATTTATAAGGAATCTTGGAATAGATGGGCTGATCTAGGATGTGGCCTAGTACGTGCTATGCTCATGGTGCATTTAGTTACAAATCCTGATCCCAAATCAGAAAGCAAGAAAACAGAAGTTAGAGTCTGTTGCGGGTTTTAATGAATATGTTGATTCATCAGGGTGTAATTAGAGAATCCTGTAATCATCTAATTAGAAACTGTGAACGCTTAGAAGCAGATGCCATGTTCAAAGGGTGAGCAATGAAATAGCTGTGTTTTTCTTATAAAACTGTGTCCCTGAATAAAGAGAGAGTTCAGTGGGGGAGGACGGTGGGGAGAATGTTTTTCTGTGTGTGTGTGTGTGTGTGTGTGTGTGCGTGTAGGCATCAAATTGAAGGGGACGCGCCAACACAGAATTTCTGGCCCAATAACAATACAGATAATTAACACCTTGTTGTAGCCAATACCAATATCAAAAGACAAATGAAATACGTGTAAGACACGTTAAAGGTGGGTCACTGATTAATTTGAAATTTACCAGTTTGTGGGACTAATAAAGGATTATCTTAATTTTACATTACAGTGACACAGCTGAATCAGACATGACAATTATTGTTAACATTCACATTTTTACAAAGATTATACAATGTTTTAATGACCCTCTAGAGCCACTTACAATAGATGGGGAATGAAAAGTATGCAGTCTTGCCCAAAGACGTCTGTTTAGCAGTCTGTGTGTGAATATTCATAATATGGTATATGATATGGTATATCAGTGATGATGCTGTCTGGGTGGGAGGTAAAACCCTGATCTTGCGTGTGTGGGGTGGTGGTATTATCAACTTGGCTCCAACTGAGTCAGTTAAAAAAGAATTAGTAACAACAGTGTACAGTGTACAGTGTACAATAGTAACTACATGTGCATCAGATTTCATAATATATCAACTGGTGATTTATACACTTAACCCTTGTGTGGTGTTGATGTGTTTGTTACTCAGTGGTCTGGTGGACCCACCACAATATTGTTTTTTTTTAAATCAATACAGCCAGATGTTTACAATATCACAAATGTCCAGTGTAGGGTTCTCCTTTAGCAGCTGTAGCCAGTCAGCAGCCTGTCCATGTTGTCAGATTCTTCAGATTGATGAAGAATGTGCTGTAGACAGTTCTATATAGAACCTTTTTGAAAATGGTTCTATACAGCACCAAAAACGG